AATTGAAACTTTCAATATCGTGACACACATTTTCATCTCCTCTATACGGTTCACTTGAGCTTAGAATTAAATTTGATTGCATGGTCATTTGTTTGTCGAAACTACCCAAGTTGCTCTTTGTTCATGGGTGCTTGAAAGTTGGTAAGAAAAAAAAAAACAATCTTTGTACGAACAATTATATGTCATTAATAAATATCGTTTGTGCACTCCAAAAACACTTATCGTTCGACTTTCCAACTGTATGACATTCAATCAACGTAATATTCTTTCTCATGTATTATTATCGCGCTATTTACACGGCGGAATTCTTTCTTTCTGACTCAGAGGTGTGTGTGTGTGTGTATACATGTTGAAATCACTAAAGATTTGTGTTCGTTTTAGTTTCGATTTTTGTGAAGAATGTCGATCGATTGTCCGCAGTTATCTGCACGAAATGGATAATATAAGCAGTAATTTGAGATCTAAAGAGAACTAAAGAGTTGAAATACATAAAAAAGAGAAAATACAACAACATTACGTAGGTGTGCTGTATTAAAATTGAATCTCCGTTCGTAAAGTTCGACTGGAAATTGAAACGAAGTTTTCGATTTCCATAGAAAATTTTCCAATTAGAAATTTTCTTGATTTCCCTTGCGAATTCATCGAATTATCATCATCATCATCACCAAAATAAGAGAAAACCACAAACATCACTATGCTGCTGTAACAGCATTTCATCTTTTGTAACAGCCGGCAACAATTATCGTTGCGTTTGGCATGCATCGATTCATCAGCGTTAATATTCAGCCAAAAATAAAAATCAAATTGAACATGGATCAGTTGTATCTTCTCTCTTTCTTTTTATGCGAATATTTATTATGCACGAATATGCGAAAAAAGAAAGAAAAAAAAAGTAAAATTGTTTAACATGATATTTGAGTTATGTTTTGCGCAAATATATCTGATTTTATGCATGGCATAAATGCCGGTATGTGTGCGAGCGTTAAAACCGAAATCAACATTTCTTTCTGTGCCAATAATGATTGAACTTGAACTGTGTATTTTTTTAATATGAATAAATAATAAAAGAAGCGTCGATTAAGAGCGAGCGCAGTGCATGCAAACATAAATTTATTTACTTATCAAAAATCCATCGCGGTTGAAAATCTAGTCACAAAATTTCACTTTCAAATAATTGGTTTTGTAATAGAGAAACGCGACGGGTGATATCGACCCGTTCACCATCTATCATATGTACATAGGAAAGCGAGGAAAGTAATAAACATGAATAAAAGAATACCAATAGCTAAAACAACGAAGAAAAAATGACCGGCTTGGCTAGCACCATTCGTTATGTATATATGTATGCGTTGGAAATCAGCGAATCAATAAAAAAAATGTGACCCGTGCACAGAAGAACAAATGCAAAGAATGCACAATATCTGCTTTTTTCATAATGGTTTAAAGTTTGCAATCAAATTGTCGATTGTCATTTAGGATTCGTTTGTTTCACACGAAATACATTAAATGGTGTGCATGTATTTGAAGAATACGGAGCTAAATAATTTAGAATAAGGATTTCGTTTTGAAAAGTGGCTGACCACGGATTGTTAATTGGCTGAATAATTCACCCCATTAATTGAGGTAAAGTCGAGGTAAAGTCGAGGTAAAGTATATTTGTTGTTGGTGTGCAACGATACGTAAATAAAGGTTTTAAATAATCGACATGTGCTGGGCGAGACATTTATTTATTCGCTTTTTAGGCCATTTTCAAACGACACATGCTTCTTAGTGTTCAATAAGGAAATATTGTGGCGTTTTTTTTTCTGACCCATACATTGCGGATCCATTTGATTTGATTAAATATATATATGAGAAAGTGTTTATGTGTCTGTTTGGATTGTAGAACATAGGCATTGTGTGGGAAAATAGGCAAAAATGGATAGAACGACTTGTACGCGTGCACACTCACATGAATTGGCTAAGCACACATAGAATCATTTCTATTTGTGTACACAAACGCAGATGCACCTAAATTCGAACCATTTGTACATACACAGATAAATATCGACGCAACCAAACCCTTATTCTTACACACATATTCACACTACGTATTTGGTTGCGACCATATGCCGCTATCCGGAATATCAACACCAACGCACACAGACACATACACACACTTATTGTGCAAACTGCAAAGGTATACATACAATTTTCAAAATATATACTACCAATAAAACTCGAAACGAGAGTGGAAGAAGAAGCTACCACGCATATTTTGAATTAACTTCAATTCATGGGAGACATTATGTCCGTAAATGCTCGATGAATATATATATATATGATATATGTATATATATCATTTTGATAGATTTACACATTTTGTCACAAATTTATTTGTCTTTGGACCTAGATTAATGAATTCAATGTTATTTAGTATAATGTAATAAGTGGCACGGTCAACCAAGCGCTACAAATGGCCTTTAAAGAAAGTAAAAGCCCAAATGAATCATTCAGCCCAATTCATAAAACGATTACGAATTACTGCGATGTATTTAAAAAAAACCATATAGAGAAAACAATAACAATACAATGTTGATATATTTCGAAATCATAAACTTGAAATGCATGAACGCGATCGATTTGGATGATGAACACAAAGTAAAACGTCCAATAATAATTATATTGTTGTTGTTGTTGTTTTTTTTCATCGCATTTCTTTTTTCATAACAAATCTTCAGTGAAGCAAAGCACGAATAAGCATACAGCTACATTTTAAATGCGAATTTTCTGAAGCAAATTATTTGTGATTCAGTTTGCTGATGCTCAAAACTACATCTTGCTCTTCATATGCTTGCTATTATTTCAAATGCATGCTATTCATGCTTGACATATGGTTTGGTTTTTCTTTTATTGCCATCGGTGTTGGTGTTGAAGTTTTGCATGGCCAATGCGTCTGTGAAAGTGTATGGATTTTAAAAGGTCCTTTTAAATGTAGAACGAAACTGCTTGTATAGAGAACTAAGAATAGGAAGAGAATGAGTAAGAAAAACGAAGAAAACGACAAAATAGCACACAAAGAGATGATTTTTTTCTCTCTCTCTTCGTCAAAGAGTAAATGTATACTTATAAGTTGACGCGTGGATACAGAAATGGGATCTTCTGAATACAGTAAGCAACTAAAAAGAAGATGAAAAAACAGCAGCCGCAATATTTTTGTGCATGATTTAGTAAATCATTCAACTTGGATGCATTTTTCGATCGCCTTTCTCTCATTGGGAGATTAAAAACATCTGCCGGCGTTACCGATCTTTCAACATTTTTTTTTTCGCTCACTTTGGGTTTTCGGATATTTTTGTTTCTACATCTTTATGAAATCTCGTTTTGCATGCAAACGGAGATTTTTTTTTGTTGTAAATATTAACATTGGTGATTCTCGCAAGGCATTGGCTTTAGTTTGTTTATAACAATGGCATTGGGTTTGGCAGTAAATCAACCGGATAGAGAAGAAAAAATGACTCACTTTCTCATTAGTAAGTGTCGTGCGCGATGAACGTCGTTCTCCGACTAATTGCAAATCGAACTTTTCAAATGACACATTCGTTTTGGGAAATACCGTAAAACCCACCGCATAAATAACTAACTAGCATTTGTGTATACGTGCGACAAATATTATTTGATTTTTCAAATACAAAACGACCCATTAAAACGCATCGGGACGTCGTTTCGTGCATTTCCATGTGGAAATCACCCTAAATATTTTTGTGTTCACACTGCTCATTCAGATGTTCAGTGAATGCCAAAAATAGGCACAGTATATCCCATTTGAGAGAGAGAGAAAAGAAAAAAAAAACGCAGAAATAATAATAATAAAATATCTAAATAACGATATAAACGAACGAAACCAAGAGCCAAATAAAAATCCATCCGTCTGTGTATTGATGTGTTGCTCCGTCTCTATCTCGCGCTCTCTCTATCTCTCTCTCGTTCGTATAGTGTTCAGAGCGTTCGTAGTATTTGTCGTATACATTTAATATTCACCAAATCGCTCCTCGTTCTATCTCATATACGCGCGCACACACACAAGCAGTCTTAATTTCTGTCGCTTTCGGTGTGCGGTTCATGCATTCGCATTTGTTTGTCATGTTTCGTGTGCACATATCGTTTTGCCTGACACAAAATGTGTATATGTGTGTTTATGGAAGCAGTTTGCGTGTGTTGGCAGCGCAAAGGAAACAAGACAGATAAAAAAGAGGACTTTGTATGCATAACAAATCAGAAAAATAACAACAAAAACTGTCCACACCGTTCACAAGGTGTAACTTTTGTTATTTTTTTCATCTTCGACTAATAGAAATATGTGCATATTGTTTGGGTATGGTAGTTGGTTTTATAGAAAGAAAAGAAAGAAAAAGAAAACAAATGAATTTCTGTTTTTCATTCAGTAAAACAACATTGATTGATACAGGGATGCAGAGAGAAGCCACATAATATGAATGCCAATTCATCGTTGACAACTACATTTGAATATGATACGCTTCTCTAACCTGAAATTATCTTAATTTTCTTTCATTCGTATGAAAAAAATAAAATGAAGATGCTTTTCTTCGATGTTGCACCGTGCACACGCCACACTCCGATGATCCGGTGCGCTCGGCCTCTATTTGATGACTAATAGTAACTTAAATCTGTTTATCACGGAAATGAATATACTGCATCGCTTGCAGGCGATTTATATTTCAGCGCGGTTCTTTGTTTCGTTTGTTTCTCGCGTTTTCTGTTTGTGTGTATTCTTTTTCTTTATTTCTCCCACTCTCTCTCTCTCACTCTCAAACCGAATCATCAACATTTTCCTTTGGTGATTCGTTTGCATACCGACACTTGAAAAGATATACACTCAGAGAGCGAGAGAGGGAGGGAAAGAGGAAGAAATTTTGAGAAAGAGAGCGCACAACACTAAGAGTAAATCAGCACGCATGAACTTTATATTCGGGCACATTTTTCCATTTGTGACTACTTACCACATTTCGTTTGATCAATGTTTGCTATAGCTCCTGACTAAATGGAAAATTCGCGTTGGTGGATGGTTGTATTTTATATCTCTCTGCTACTATTCACTTACACGCACACACTGAGTTGGTATTATATCAAAATTCGATTCGAAATGCGAATGCTTTTGAAAAAAAAAAATGTCGAATATTTCGGGGTGTAAACGACAATTATCTAATCGGTGTGTGTTGGTTTGTTTGTTAGCACGGTATATTATATCCTCGTTGATAATGTTTCCTTTTTCTGCCAATTCGAAGTATATATTTATTAACCTAGTGTCTCGTTTATATCGAAGTATAAATATGCGCTTATTGTTCGTTGAACGCGATTGATAGCATTTAAATGGAGTAACAAACAATTATTTAACAGACACTGGCATATATCACTTGATTAATATTATTATTTTTTAAATCAATGAAATAAAATGGAATTTTTTCCATTTGCAACAATTTTACACTAAATGGATTTTCTTTCGAATACACAATTTTTTTTTTGCTGAAGAAATCGAGTTACACTTTGTTTGTATTTTTTTTAATGATACGCTCCCATTGAGTTATTGTATCATAGTGTATTCAAAAGGTTTTCCGTCAAAATTATGCCATCATTCACGAGTTGTTGTCTATCGTTGCCTCTTTATCTCTTTGTTTTTATTAGCATAAGCGAACTTTTTTTTCTTCTTCAAATGCACACAATGTATCTATAACAAAAAGGCAAACTTATTGTCTATGCATCTACATAGTTTGTTCATTGAGAAAAAATAAACGAGACTTGTATATGTTATCATGCGGAATATTTGTTTCTCACATGTAGAAAACTCATTCGCATTCACCAAATGGATACAGAGTAGTATAACAGCTTATTATGATATAATATGGTTACGAGAAATGTTTCAATACAAATAATTATCGACAAAATCAAAAACCGATTCACTGACACAAAAACCTTTTTGCTCTGTCTCTTTCTCACTCTCCGAATTTTACACTATTTTCAGATAATTTCGTTTATTCATTTATTTTCTTTTATTTTTTTGTGTAAATTTTTCGTTTATGAAATTTGCAACCAAACAAAAAAAAAAATAGTCAATGTGGGTAAATGGTACAAATCATAAGCGATCACAGAATTTGGAGATTGTGTGTTGATGCTGTTCAGTTGTGAGGCGAGCAAAAGCTACTCATAGGTCCATTCTCATCTTTTGTTTATATCGTTCTCCGTTTCGTTTTTACTATTTACTCTCTTTCAATCGACACACACAACTCAAACCGTAAGTTCATCTCTCTCGCAAAAACAACGATACAAAAAAAAAAATTGACAAACAAACAAGCCGATTTACTATATTGTTTCACATAAACCGCACCAAATACACTCTAATTCAATAATGATAATTTCATTGATAGACACTGTTCGTTCAAAAATCAAAAATCTGAATTAATTCACATACAAAAACGAAACAATTTAATTATATCGCTGCGAACGGCCATATTTGATTCTGTTCTCAACACTGGCTCCAGCGCGCACTGTGAACTGTGTGAGCACTATTCCTTTTTTTTCTTTCAAATGTACACACATTACACAGCTCGCTTATTTTTGCCTTTAAGACAAACATACACAGAACGTATGGCTGTAGTCATCATATACACTGACGCGTATGGGAGAGAGCATGCGACGACGACGTAACGACATATGTATGTGTTAAGCAAAGCGCTGGTGTATATTGGATGCATGCATATGGTAAATGTTTCCTATATTCTTTCGTGTCGGCTAACTCTCTTCGTCACTGTCTTGCTCGCTCTTTCTCTCTCTCTCTCTCTCTCTCTCTCTGTGTTTGTGTCCCTACGAATCTAATTCTAAGAACAGTATTCATAGGTTTTTATTTCTCTTCTTCTCTATTTCGGATTGTGTTACAGTGTAGTCTCAGCATTGTTGTCAGCACGGAATCGGTTTATGAGTTGTGTGTATGTTTGGTTGCAATGGTTGTGTGCGGCCAACCCCACTTGCTAGCAAATTATGCTCACGCTCTATCGTTCCCTCTCTTGCAGTAGCTCTTGTTTGAGAGTGGAGAATTGAGAACGCGAAATTTTTCACAAAGAGAATCTCACATCAACAGGACACACTCTCACTCACATATACTTGCACACATACTGAATTCACACCCGATATATGTTTTTTTTTTAATTCGTCATCTAATTTTCACAATTTGCCGACTCAGTTGTCTCGATGAGCAAATTAAAACCACTTTATTCAAGAACAAATCACATTGTAATTTATATAAAACGAAATCTGATTATGAAATATGTTTAAATAAGTGGAAAATATTGCCTCTCTTTTTTTCTAAAGGGATATATAAATTAATAAGGGAAATTTGCATTCAAACATTTTTTTTTTTAATTTTGAATGTGTTTGTTTCACACAACGATTAAATGTAGGATTTTCGATTTTTTTTTTTTTTTTGATTTTTTTCATTTACAACATTTTCCATTAATTCAGGTAATTTTCAAAAAAATAAATGTTCAAATAGCATTTGCGTTAACAGAATACGAAATTGCAAACAATTCAAAATGTTCTAAGAGATGGCGCTGTCTATCGCACATTTGAAGTTTCATGGTTTCAACTTTCATTCAGCGCAAGTGATGCCAACTTGACATTTAGAAACCGACGGCTATTCGATTCTTACAATGTGTCGAAACAGTGACGCTTTAGATTTTTCTCTCTATATTTTGTGATTTTTGCCTCAATTTTGCCGCTATTTAAAATAATAATTGGACTCATTCGAAGGTATTCGATGTGCTAAATGATGTTCAACTAAATTATTTGCATCTAATTGGTTAAATTTTTCGAAAAATTGCAGGTGGAACAAAAACCATTCAGTAGTGGTTCAAGTGCCGTACAAACGTGCATATACACACTACTATTCAGTGTTTCTGTCATTCATTCAACAGAAGAAAATTTACTTAGTGATTGACAAATAAAAATAACTGTGTTATTCCGCCATTTTAGTGGCGGCAAAGACCATCCAAGTAGATTTTTGTGTGTTTTTAAATAATAAATCGCAAATTATTCTGCAAAAATGGCTATGAGCGACTCAAAAGCACCATTGCGCACGGTAAAGCGTGTGCAATTCGGCATATTGTCACCCGATGAAATCGTAAGTATACCGATGTCGAATATTTCATAATATTGGACAATAGATCTTTTTGTTTGCACAATAGATCATATTCGCGATATTTTCATATTGATCTTTTCGCCGCATAACACGAATTATAAATTGTAAAAATGAATTGTTTGGAATTTTGCTTTTAGCGTCGAATGTCAGTTACCGAAGGCGGAATTCAGTATCCAGAAACTATGGAAGGTGGTCGACCAAAGCTTGGCGGTTTGATGGATCCGCGTCAAGGTGTAATTGAACGAACATCAAGATGTCAAACATGCGCCGGTAATATGACAGAATGTCCCGGACATTTTGGTCATATTGAACTGTGTAAGCCGGTCTATCATGTTGGTTTCTTGACAAAAACAATGAAAATTTTACGTTGCGTTTGCTTCTATTGCTCAAAGATGTTAGTTAGTTCGACAAATCCAAAAATTAAAGAAATTGTTATGAAAACAAAAGGCCAACCGCGTAAACGTTTGACATATGTATATGATTTGTGCAAAGGTAAAAAGATTTGTGAGGGCGGTGAAGATATGGATTTGGCAAAGGATGCATCACAAGCGGATCCATCAAAGAAACAAGGTCATGGTGGTTGTGGTCATTATCAGCCGTCGATAAAACGTAGCGGATTGGAATTGACAGCTGAATGGAAACATGTGAACGAAAATTCACAAGAGAAAAAAATGGTGGTGACCGCTGAACGTGTATGGGAAATTTTCAAGCATATCACAGATGAAGAGTGTTACATACTTGGTATGGATCCAAAATATGCACGTCCTGATTGGATGATAATCACAGTGATGCCGGTGCCACCGTTGTCTGTGCGACCGGCCGTTGTAATGTTCGGTTCAGCCAAAAATCAAGATGATTTAACGCACAAACTGGCCGATATTATTAAAGCCAACAATGAATTGAAAAAGAACGAAGCGATGGGTGCTGCAGCGCATGTTATCGCGGAAAATATTAAAATGTTACAATTTCATGTGGCAACATTTACAGATAATGACATGCCTGGTATGCCGCGTGCAACACAAAAATCGGGCAAACCATTAAAAGCAGTAAAGGCACGTCTAAAAGGAAAAGAAGGTCGTATTCGTGGTAATTTGATGGGAAAACGTGTCGATTTTTCAGCACGTACTGTCATCACACCAGATCCAAATTTGCGCATTGATCAAGTCGGTGTTCCACGATCAGTCGCACAAAATCTTACATTTCCCGAACTCGTTACACCATTCAATATCGATCGAATGCAAGAACTTGTTAAACGTGGCCATTCACAATATCCCGGCGCTAAATATATTGTTCGTGACAATGGCGAACGTATCGATTTAAGATTTCATCCGAAACCAAGTGATTTACATTTACAATGGGGCTACAAAGTGGAACGACATTTACGTGACGATGATTTAGTTATTTTCAATCGACAACCAACTCTGCACAAAATGAGTATGATGGGTCACAGAGTGAAAGTATTGCCTTGGTCAACGTTTCGGTAAGACAATTAATACCACTTTTGGTGAAAGTCTCAGTTTGCTAATTTCTCGTGTCCAATGTTTTTATTTTAGAATGAATCTCAGTTGTACGTCACCCTACAATGCTGATTTTGATGGTGACGAAATGAACTTGCATGTACCACAATCGATGGAGACACGTGCCGAAGTAGAAAATATCCATATTACACCTCGACAAATTATAACACCGCAAGCGAATAAACCAGTCATGGGTATTGTGCAAGATACGTTAACGGCTGTTCGTAAAATGACCAAACGAGATGTTTTCATTGAGAAAGAGCAAATGATGAATTTGTTGATGTTTTTACCCACTTGGGACGGTAAAATGCCGCAACCATGTATTTTAAAACCAAAGCCATTGTGGACGGGAAAACAATTGTTCACTCTCATTATTCCGGGCAATGTAAATTTGATTCGAACACATTCGACACATCCAGACGAAGAAGATGATGGCCCATACAAATGGATCTCGCCAGGTGATACAAAAGTAATGGTCGAACACAGTGAATTGATAATGGGAATATTGTGTAAGAAAACACTTGGTACATCGGCCGGTTCATTGCTACATATCGTTTTCCTTGAATTGGGCCACGAAATTGCTGGCCGTTTCTATGGTAACATTCAGACTGTAATTAACAATTGGTTGCTGTTGGAAGGTCATAGTATGGGTATTGGTGATACAATTGCCGATCCTCAGACATATCATGAAATCCAACAGTCTATTCGCAAGGCCAAAGAGGATGTCATCGGGGTTATTCAGAAAGCGCACAATATGGAATTGGAACCCACCCCGGGTAATACACTTCGTCAGACTTTCGAAAATCAAGTAAATCGTATTTTGAACGATGCTCGTGATAAAACTGGTGGCTCAGCTAAGAAGTCATTGACTGAATACAACAATCTCAAAGCTATGGTCGTGTCTGGTTCAAAAGGATCAAACATTAATATTTCTCAAGTGAGTTTAAATTCAAATGTGGTCATTTATTTAGTTTTTTTTTCTCGTTAAAATCCCAATGAATAATCTTATCTAATTTTATCATTGCAATCATTCGATAGGTTATTGCTTGTGTAGGACAACAAAACGTTGAGGGTAAACGTATTCCGTTTGGTTTTCGTAAGCGTACATTACCACATTTCATCAAAGACGATTACGGTCCCGATTCAAGAGGATTCGTCGAGAATTCATATCTGGCCGGTTTGACACCATCTGAATTTTATTTCCACGCTATGGGCGGTCGTGAAGGTCTTATCGATACAGCTGTCAAAACAGCCGAAACTGGTTATATTCAACGTCGTTTGATCAAAGCTATGGAGTCGGTAATGGTAAACTATGATGGTACTGTTAGAAATTCGGTCGGTCAATTGATTCAGTTGCGTTACGGTGAAGACGGTCTTTGTGGTGAAACTGTTGAGTTCCAAAGTCTACCGACCATTAAATTGTCACACAAAACATTTGAAAAACGTTTTAAATTTGATATGTCCAACGAACGATACTTACGTCGTATTTTCAATGAAGATGTTGTTAAAGAATTGACCGAATCAGGTTTTGTAATTCAAGAGCTTGAAGGTGAATGGGAACAATTATGTCGGGATCGTGAGGCCTTACGTCAAATCTTCCCGAGTGGTGAATCAAAGGTCGTATTGCCATGTAATTTACAAAGAATGATTTGGAATGTACAGAAAATTTTCCATATCAATAAGCGTGTACCAACCGATTTAAGTCCGATTAAAGTCATTAACGGTGTCAAAGAATTGCTACAAAAATGTGTGATTGTAGCTGGAAATGATCGTATATCAAAACAAGCCAATGAGAATGCAACATTATTGTTCCAATGTTTGGTGCGATCAACATTGTGCACGAAATATGTAGCCGAAGATCATCGATTGACAAACGAGGCATTTGAATGGTTGGTTGGTGAAATCGAATCACGTTTCCAACAAGCTCAATGTAATCCCGGTGAAATGGTCGGTGCATTGGCCGCACAATCACTTGGTGAACCAGCCACTCAGATGACATTGAATACTTTCCATTTTGCTGGTGTATCATCGAAGAACGTAACACTTGGTGTGCCTCGATTGAAGGAAATTATTAATATTTCAAAGAAACCAAAAGCTCCATCGTTGACCGTATTCTTAACTGGTGGAGCAGCACGTGATGCTGAAAAAGCAAAGAATGTATTGTGTCGCCTTGAACATACAACATTGCGTAAGGTTACGGCCAACACAGCCATTTACTATGATCCGGATCCACAACGAACCGTTATTGCTGAGGATCAAGAGTTTGTCAATGTTTACTATGAAATGCCTGATTTTGATCCAACCAGAATTTCACCATGGCTTTTGCGTATTGAATTGGATCGCAAACGTATGACCGATAAAAAATTGACCATGGAACAAATTGCCGAAAAGATTAATGCCGGCTTTGGCGAAGATTTGAATTGTATTTTTAACGATGACAATGCTGACAAATTGGTGCTTCGAATTCGTATAATGAACAGTGAAGATAGTAAATTCCAAGATAATGAAGAGGACACCGTCGATAAAATGGAAGACGACATGTTCTTGCGTTGCATTGAAGCGAATATGTTGTCAGATATGACATTGCAAGGTATCGAAGCGATCAGCAAAGTGTACATGCATTTACCGCAAACGGACAGTAAGAAACGAATTTCAATCACCGAAACGGGTGAGTTCAAAGCCATTGGTGAATGGTTATTGGAAACGGACGGTACTTCAATGATGAAAGTATTGAGCGAACGTGATGTGGATCCAGTTCGTACATACAGTAACGATATTTGTGAAATTTTCCAAGTGCTTGGAATCGAGGCTGTGCGAAAATCAGTTGAAAAAGAAATGAATGCGGTTTTACAATTTTACGGTTTGTACGTCAACTATCGGCATTTGGCTTTGCTTTGTGATGTTATGACAGCCAAAGGTCATTTGATGGCCATCACACGTCATGGTATCAATCGACAAGACACTGGTGCACTTATGAGATGCTCATTCGAAGAAACAGTTGACGTCCTCATGGATGCTGCCTCACACGCCGAAAACGATCCAATGAGAGGCGTATCCGAAAATATTATCATGGGACAATTGCCAAAAATGGGAACCGGTTGTTTCGATTTACTATTGGACGCCGAAAAATGTAAATTTGGTATTGAAATTCAAAGTACAATGGGTCCAGGACCGTTTGGAGCGACTGGCATGTTCTTTGGCGCAGCCACACCATCCACACTAAGCCCAGGAAGAACACCATGGCTTACACAAACACCTTCACATCCAGAAGCATCGCCAATGGGACCAAGTAAGTTTGAAATTTAAATTACTAGTAACTAATTAGTATGGGTTATAATTTATTATTTTCATGGTTTATTTATATTAATTCTTGTTTGTCACTTTTAGCAAGCGGTATGACACCAGGCGGACCAAGTTTTTCACCATCTGGCCAATCAGATGCATCTGGTTTATCGCCAGGATGGTCTCCGGCACATATTGGATCACCAGGATCACCAAGTAATCCAGCTATGTCACCGTATGGATACAATTCACCAAGTGCATCTCCAGCTTACTCACCAACGAGTCCAAATTACCAATCTCCCGCTTCGATATCAAATTATTCACCAAACAGTCCGAACTATTCACCAACATCGCCTGCATATGGAGGTATGAATTCAAATCTATTGCCGTTTAACTGTTATTGTTAACATAAGCAATAACACAATATTCATGTTATATTTTCTTTTGTTTTTGAAACAATTTAAAGGTTCTGCAAGTCCAAGTTACTCGCTAACAAGCCCAAATCCGGCTTCACCGCACCATTATTCACCAGTGAGCCCAACATATTCACCGGCTTCCATGAATTCGTATTCGATTAGCTCACATCCTTCGATGAGCCCATCATTCCATCAACAAAGCCAATATTCACCATTATCGCCACAACAATATGTAAGTTGTCACCTGCTTATAATCCATTTCAAACTAACTACCTCTTAGATGTACTAACGTTTTGATTTAATTTCATTTAGACGCCGACATCACCATCGTATAGCCCCACATCGCCGAGCTATAGTCCAACCTCGCCACGCTATTCTCCGACGAGTCCATCATACAGTCCATCATCTCCATCATATAGGTAAATAAAAAAAATGATCAAAATTCTTTGTTCAATTCTCTAATGAAATTGCAATGATTTTACAGTCCCTCGTCGCCAAGTTACTCACCATCGAGTCCGAGCTATAGTCCAACGTCACCGAACTATTCGCCAACATCGCCGAATTACTTTTCACCCGCAACAAACACTCCAGGTATAGCACTAAATAACCTAGTAACCTTTTAGTTCTAGAAATAAACGTGAATTTTTGTTTCATAATAATGTTACAGGGTCTGGCAGCACAGGTTACAGTCCGTCGGCAATGTCACAAAATACATTGTCCTATTCACCAACAAGTCCGAATTACACTCCGGCAACACCATCATATGTACCCGCATCGCCAAATTATCTTCCATCATCTCCAGGTACTTACACATTTTACTAGCACTATTTTCCAGGTTTTTTTAAAAAGAGTTTGGATTTTTAATTGGTCTTATTTCATTTACAGGTTATAGTCCAGCCTCACCAACTTACTCGCCGGCTAGTCCTTCGAACTATAGCCCATCGTCGCCACGGTATTCTCCATCCAGTCCAAATTATAGGTAAGTGACTCATAGTTGATTTTTATTTAATATCACTCACAATATGTTCTCAACCAATCATTCATTTCTCGTTTGTTTTCAGTCCGACTTCACCGAATTATTCTCCCACTAGTCCGAACTATTTCTCTCCAGCTACAAATACTCCAGGTAAATTTTTTAATTGACTCAATTCTCTTTTCAAACATAAATTACCATCTTTTGTGTTTTTTTTTTTTTTTTTTCATATTTCAGGTTCTAGCAGTACTGGCTATAGTCCATCGGCGATGTCTCAAAATACACCATATACACCGACTAGCCCAACAAATACCTATAGTCCAAGTAGTCCGTAGATAAATGAACAAAAAGCAAACTATTTGGCATCCATTTTATAAGTTAATTTGTCAATGTTTCTTTGAAAAGATTGAGAAAACAAATCGTTTCTAGACAATAGGATAAAAAAAAATAATGTGAACAAAGACCACTTTGATTTGCTGATATGTTTATTAAAACGAAGATTCATTTAGTGAAACACAATTGCTATTACAAAATTTACAGCTTGGTTTTATTTTTATACATTATTTTAACAAATATGGTTCTGAAATATCGCAAAATGAGTGGAAAGCTCATATTATTGTCACGTTAATGGGACAAAGTGTGATCGATCAACCATTTGTATCGAAACAAGAGCTGACTGAGTTGTATTTATTTAAATCATGGTCAAACCCACCATCTCGTTTAAAACCCATACGCTACAGAACTACTGGTGATCGAACATTTATGGGAAGTCAGTGTCATAAAATAATTTTACCAACATCAAGTCACTCTAATGAAAACCCCTCAGAATTTTTAACTTTCTAAAAAATATGTTTGAGGGATCGAGTCATAATAATCGCTGCTTAGGCGAATATGGGCAGTTGAGTATGTGTTTTCTCATAGCCATACACAGTCAAAGTAAGTCCGTACAAACGTCCCGATATTCACTCAAGCAACGATGAGGTGCCGTGAATTGTTCTAATACGATTTTGTGAAACCGTATAGGTCTAATCCCGGTGTAGAGCGCTCTTTTGGAATAAATTCAATTAATTTCAGTTAAATTTTTTCTAGAAATTCAAAAAAGTAGTCAAAAGGCTTCGCTCAATTTACACAAAAATATTTTTTTATTGTGCTATTCAAAATATTCGGTAGTTTTTGAGTGCCATCTATTGAAAACGAATAATAAACAACAGATGATAAAAATATTGTTTATACATATGCATTTGACAGTACATTACATATGTTGTTAATAACGAAAAATAAAACTTTTAAATTGCTTTTCTATCAAATTTCCATCAAAAACTAAAACAAAATGAAAGCAACAATTCAAAAAATAAAAAACAAATTGAAACTAACAACGGAAAAGTTTTACCAAAAGTTTTTCCCCCACTACACAGTCTTTCAGCGTTCAAATTGAAAGAATATCATTTTAAGGCATTTTTCTCATAAGTGCCTCTTCACAGTCTAAGCTTTAGATCGATCAATCAATGTCGTTGAAAATTTGACCAGATCTATTCCTCGTAACGCCCAATCATCCCGTAAAGTCAGATTTTGAATTTCATGTCTGAGCACGAAACCATCGTGTCACCAAAATGGTTGAAAAATGATCAAAAAAGTAAAATGTATGGATTGTGTCCATTTGGACCCAAAAAAATTACACCGGTCAACAGATATTGCTCAAAAACTAATCAGCACGTCTCCTAGTAGTCCCAAACAAATACGGGTTATAGTGCCACTTTTTTGGGGAAAAAAATTATCAAACACGTTAGATGGCGTTAGTTTAAATGTAAATTTCTATGTACACACGGTGGCGCCGCCCTACACCAAAAATTACTGAACTATAGAGTAAGGTACTATTGGTCCCAAATCATCCTGCAAAGTCAGAATTTGAATTGAGTTTTTGGAAAAAGATTTATCGAGTTAACAAATTTTGGAAACACGCCACAGGACACAGGACACAGGACACATCACACACAGCGACGCACATTAATATGCCCCAAAATCATCTCCAATCGTGTTTTCTACATTAAATATGCATAGAAAACATGTTTTGGGATGACTTTAATTTTTTGGCCTAATACAATACCTTCCCTACACTAGGTGTGCGGAAAAGTAAAACATATTTTCTTTAGGTAAAACGCGCCACAGTTAAAGTTGCCGAATATGTACATCCAAGGTTTGAGCCAATTATCGAGTCTCCGAGTGTTTTTGCATTTAAAGATGGAAAAATTCGAGCTGTAATTCGTGCCCAATACACACATGGTAAACCGTTAAAAGGTTTGGCTACTGTCACAATCACCGAATTCAACTACATTTGTTGCCATCGCGAAGAATCGGAAAGCAATGGCAGTGAAAATTTAGAAAATGATAACCGAGAAGATAAAATTTTGTCGAAGAAATCGTTTAATATTTACGGCAAACAAGCGGTTGAATTTGATATTGAAAAAGATTTGAAAATAAATCAACGCTGTTATTATATGGATTTAAAAATGAAAGTTGATATCACTGAAATTCTAACTGGTCTAGTACAATCAACTCAAAAAGTGCTTAGAATTGATAAAGATTCATATGAAATCAGCAGTGATCTGGAAGAAGATGGAGTAACAAGTGTAACACCCTGCGACATGAATGTATGTACTGAATTCACTTTCAATTTGCTTTAAAAAAATTTACTTGATAATTTCAATTCGAATATATAGATTAAAGTGCGAAAAGTGGATGGTATACCAATCACCAATCTTGATCCGAGTAAGATAACTGTTGTTACAGAACGATTTTATGACAACAATAAGAGCCCAAAGAAAGATGAAACTGATTATGAACTGAATGAAAATGGTGATGCCCACATAACTTTGGATGATGGAAAAGATGAACTTAAACTTGCATTACAGGTGAAGTATGGTGATCAAGAAAAGCGTTTCGGCAAATTCTCCACTAAAGGCGTTACATCTGGTAGTCTTCAGGCAAGAATTCTAACAGAAAAGTGAGTGACAATGTATACATTTTTTTCGAGAATCTCATTTGACTTTTTTTCTTCTATCTATCGAAATGTTCAGATGCGACATCAATAAAGAGGTCGAGATCGAAGTTATCTCTCGTCAACAGCTTCAATCGTATACCTATCTTATTGTTTGCTTTAGTAAAATACTTGAAGCAAAAACCATTGTTCCTGTTCTCGCAAAAACCACAGCCAATGGGTATTCATATAAATTCACTTTTCTACCGAACTCAGACTATTCACCTGGATCAACAGTTGTTGTTTACCACATTAACGGAAATGAGCTTGTAACAGCCTCCGTGGAAATTAAAATGAATGAATATTTTTCGAATTACATTGGATTGGATGTTGAACCAAATGTCGTCAAACCGGGTCAAATTGTCGATATCAATGTGAAAAGTAATCCCAATTCTTATATTGGATAGTAATCCAATTGCAAGTATGCAATCGATAAAAAAACAGTACATTCACGTAATAGTTTGACAATCTATGAAATTCTGGAGGAATTTTATTCAGTAAGTTCACAAGTTAAGAAGAGAGTCCGTGAACGAAGAATGGACTTTTACGACTATTTGGATTATTTGGATGAAAATAATTTGAACTATGATAATCAATATGAAGCGTTTGCAGTAAGTTTAAAAAAAAAATCAATTTTTTATGCATTTTCAACCATTTTATTGATACAAATGACCTGCATTTTACTTAATCATCAATCTTTTGTCAAATTTTAATTAATCTAAATTAATGTTTTTCATTTTATCAGGGAGCAAGCCTAATTACTCTTACAAATGCCGTTGAACCGGAGTGCATGACACGCTTTGGAATTGGCTGGGCATGAATACAAATTCGATATTATATCTCGATTTAAGAAGTCGGCCAAGTCGAATGGTAAATTTTGAAAATTCAATTACTTGATATCGATCGAATTTTCATTAATATTCCAATAACAGGAGTCGAGTCCATAAATGGTGGGAAAGTTCAAAAGCATTACAAACCCGGGATGATCATGACTCGAAAAATCTTAGCGTTGAAATTACTGGATATGCTCTTTTAACATTAATGTTAACCGATACAGATGCGGAATGTTTGCCGATTGTTAAATGGTTATTGACTAAATGTCATATCGACCAATTTAAGTATCTGGACGATTTCATTTTTGGCATTGAAGCATTAAACAAATTCTCTTTAAGAATTTCTACCAATGAAGTCAATTCGAAAATCACAATTGACACATCCAATGATAGCCAAGTCAACTTCGATATTAACAAAGAAAATGCCTCAATAACTCAATTTCAAAAGGTATATGATGCGCATTAACATTTATTTCCATTCAACATTTTAAATGTCTTTCTTTCTACTTTAACGGAACAGTTGAGCTCCGATGTTCGGTCAGTACGCGTAAATGCAAGTGGCAATGGATTCATTTTGATGGATATAGGATATCGTTACAACATTAATAATGATGTTATGCTTGAAAGTAATAAATACGCAGCCTTCATGCTCAAATCAAATGTGAGACTTGTGAATGATGATCACATCAGAATCGCAATAAAGACAAGCTACCAACAGACAATGGGACAGAATTCGGACAAAACTTAAAATGTGGTTGTCTTGGAGGCAGAATTACCAAGCGGTTTCGTTGTCGACTTGGGAAAAATGAATGATCTTAAGTCAAATCTGCCGACTCTAAAACGTGTCGTTACAAAGAGCTCCAATACGCTGGCCGTTTTCTATTTCGATTATCTTTCATCCGATCCGATTTCATTTGATTCCGAGAGCATAAGGTTGAGAACCAACAACCAGCTTCAATCACGGTTTATGACTACTGTAACAGTGGTAAGAATTTATTTGTTGTATTTTTGTGCGTTTGAATTACGAAGTTTTAAAAATTCTCTTTTCTGTAGTTTTGCGTACGACTGAATTCTACTCCCTTTCGACTAACACAAAGGACGAGGTTAATACATAAGAGTGTCATTAGGACGAAGTAAAAATTGAATATATCGATTCTTTCCTAAAAATTCTTGTTGTTCATAAGAATGAACTTTAAAAATCGAAGAAAATATTTCAGAGAATTGTCTTATGATTTACTGATTTTTATATGATGAATTATACATATGACTTTCACTCATTTTTCTATGAAAAATTCCATATTCAAAGTACACGTATACTAAGCCTACCAGATTCTTTTAAATGTTGATCCGGTCCGGATTTTCCGAGCGATTTTTCACCAAACCCGGACGAAATCCTGATGAATTTTTTTTTTTTTTTTTTTCAACAAAAAACATAATTTTTCGCTTTCCGCAAAAACGACTTGACTTTTAATGTATTTTTAATAAATCAGAATAAAAAACCTCTTTGCGAGGTTAAAACAGAGTGACGCTCTGTTGTTCAAATATTCTGCATACAAAAGAACTGATATCATTTTGTATGACGCTCGAACGTTTAAACAAAATTTGGAATAGAAGCAAAAATTTTATTGAACACAACATTTTAAAAATAAATCCACAAAACAAAGCAGAATAATGCGTATACAGTGTCACGACCAATAAAACGAAAAATATACGAAGATTTGATGAAATTTTTGAAATATATTCATTAAATTTATGTAGCCTAAATAAATGATTGAAACACAAATTTTTTGCATTATTGTATGATAGAAATAAAAAATATAATCATCAAAAAATTCCTTTTATTAAGTTTTAGTCCCAATAATTTTTGGAGAATTTCAGATTAATGTGAATTTTTTTCGGTTCCAAGAAATGTTCTTGTTTTAGAAATCTTAAAGTGTAAAATTAATAAAAATGGACGAATATTTAGTGTCAAACCGTAATAAATTGCTTAAATGATAATGAAAAAGGGATCCATTTTCCGGATTTTCTTAAATTGAATTTATTTCCAAGCACGTAATCAGACGACCGCGACCTTCATCAAAAGTAAATTCAATGGAGAGATCACTAGAACCAGCGACTTTTTTATTATATTCATAAGAGACGTAACAGTCGTTGAAATTTGGCATATCCAATCGAAATTCGTAGGTGTTACATCTCTTGATATGAATGGCGATTGGCAGCTTGACGTATGGTATTGTTCCGTTGACAAAATTCATGGTGCCAGAGAAGACCATTTTTCCCGTTTTTCGATCGAATGACGTGCCAGGAATTTCGGTGATGGTAATGTTGGCATCTTTATGGAATGAAATGCCATTGCGATGAGCTAATGCTACACCATAGAATCCGCCGAGTAAAATATTTTTATTTGTGGTAACATGCATAATTTCGCAACTTTTTTCAATGTAGTACGCAGCTGAGTTCGTAGCTGTACGCGCACACTTCCACATTTTGCTTGCGTTCCACCAAAAACGCTTTTCTCGCGAAAAATGTCTGGGGACATATTCTTTGATAGTAAGTGAATGCACTATATCGGCCCATTCGATGACAGTGAATAAATCGTAGTAAGTCAAGGTACGCTTGGTGAATTCTTCCATGGAAAACGTGCCGAGACGAATCAAATGGAGACAATCGCCCAACTGAGCTCGTAAATTCTGAGATTTTTCTGCATCCAATCCTTTTTCTTTGCATACAGTTTTCGCCCAAGCCAAACAACTATCAAATAAAATAGTTTCTTCGCATGGCATCAAGTCGTTTTTCAATATGTGTGTCAACACTGAACGATCGCAATGAAGAAAATCGTCTGAGCCAAATACCTGAACGGAATTCAACGCAATATGATGCTCACAAAACAGCTTCAGTTCAGATTGTTTGTACAAAACTGCCAATCGATAGCCCCAGCAAATGTCTTCCGATGTCAATGTATCTTTCAAAAAGCTGACACATGAATTCATGCATTCTGTAGTCACATACTTATCGGCGAGATACATAACCTCAGGAATGTATTCTTTTGTAAATTGGACCTCGATGAAGTAAAAACATTGTAAAAACAGTTTGAATGCTTCTGGAGACGAATCAACAATTTCGACGTTACCCTTCTCTTTCATTTTACCGTAGAACATTTTTTCGAATACTTCGCTCGCTGCCGCCATAATTATTTTATGCGCTGGAATTTCTTCGATGACTTTTTTATCAGTTGTAGCCGGTTTTGCTTTCAATTCGTCAGCTTTAGTTTTGAAAATATCTTTTTCAATCGTCTCACAGATCACAAAATTTACATCTGATGTTTGAGTGTCGAGATACAAATTTGTACAGGCTTTGTCCCGCAGTTGACACTTGTAAAAGACGATATTTTTGATCTTATTTTCTTCGGTCGAAGTAGCCATTTTCGTCTATATTTGTGCTTTGATTTCGTTGTAAACTGTAAACCAATTGTATAAAATATAAAATTTAAAACTATAAAATGTAATGCACATTTAAAAATTAGTTCAAAGCTAAAATATGTTTTATGTCCCGAAAATATACCAACCAATATCAAATGTAAAAATATGGTGAAATTAACAGTGAATTGCTGTAAATTTTGCTGAACAAGTTCGATTGTGTCTCCGACTAATATGTTGCCGGTTTTATTGTTTTCTGTCAACGCATACGACTTATAATTTTGTGTGTATGCATTGCTATTGGTTGATGTAACTGATCCGATTATTACAAATGTCAAATGCAACAAGTGACAGAAAGTTTTTAGTTTTTAACAGCAATCATTGCTTTATATGCCACATTTTCAAAGGAACAAATTATGATATGACAAATCATATTATTTTTGATTGTTGACAACATGGGATTCAATATGAGTCTAAATAATCAGAAAATCTGTTGATTCGGAAACATAATTATAACGGTTGAAAAAATCGTTTTCTAATCACAACGCTTAAAAAAATAAACGATTACAAGGGGCATATTGGACAAGAATTTTGGTTTATGTTCAAGCATTGAAATTCTCAAACCCTATATCATAGTTTTAGTACTAACTTATCAAGTTTCACGTTGTTGGATGTAACAATACCGTTGCCAATAATTTTCACAAGACGTTGGTATTGAAAAGATTGTTATTCACGTAATTTCTTGAATCTAATTAGTACTACTTTATTCAGAAACTTACCAAAAACTATTACAATTCCATTTTTCCCTGTTATCACAACTTACCATAGATTCCAAAAAAGGAAAATGATAAAAATACCGCAACAAAGACAAAAAAAGGACAATTTTAAAAATACTTCAAAATGAAAAAAAAACACACTTGTTCATACTTTTTTACGATCAATTTATTTGCAAGGTGAACTTTTTTTCTATTCCTTTTTTACAGCAAACAAATTTGAAAGAAAAAACTAATTAAATTTTTAATTCTGAATCGAATTTTAATCGGCTACATATTTGCGATTTGGTCCCATGTACCATGTGCATTTAGTCGTAGACTTTCTGTATAGAGAAAAAAACACAAGAACAAAAAAATCAATGAATTTATCAGTCAAAATCATCGCTTATTTTTTTCGTTTTTAATTAGAAGTTTCGGATGTCGAAAAGAAAAATTCAAAATAAAATGTTTGTTGAAAAATGTGGAAATTAGCGTCGAACGACAAATGGATCAAACTGTATTCGTATCAAATTTTGATGTATTTTTCATTTAAACATATTCTTTTATAATATGACAAAATAAAAATAAGTACCTCGTAACCGGGATAATTCACTGTTTTGCATTGTGGACATTTGGCTGCCTCGCCTTCTCGAATATTGAATTGGACATATTCATTGTCGCATTTCCAGCAAATATAAGTTGCACGCACGTTGTCTTCCATTTTTATCTTTGCTGCGTTCAGCGATTAACGTTGAGCTGGTTGATAGCTTTGATGTTGTTTCCACAAAATATCTTACAATACTGTTCGGTTAAACAGAAGTCGCAGTGTGTTTCGACCAAATGGTGTATGTTGAGTTCTGCCTCTACGTATACATACATATACATCAATAGTTAAAACATTATTTAATAAACGATGAGCGATAATTTCTTTACGGAGAATAAGCAATATTGGCGTTTCTTTTACTCTTATCAAGTAAACAATTTAACGACTACTCCAAATGAATGCGCATTGTGCACACTATGCAAAATTGGTATATTTATTCGAATGCTAAGAAAAAGTAATGACCAAAAACAACAACACACAAATGAGACCAGCAGTAGACTTGTTTTAATGTGGTAGTGAATTGAGAAATACGATAAGAGCCATCGACAGAATGCGTTTATTCTCTAAGTAGACGAAACATGGTAATTGGCTTCCCTTGCATTTGAATTTCGATTTACAAGCATTTTGTATTGAATAAATGTTTTGAAATTTGGAGCATAAGCGATAAGAAATGTGCGATTTTTATGCAATTTATTTATTTATTGGTACAATTTTCGTCATATACAACATGTTAGAGATATAAAGCCCAAATAAATATTGACATTTTGACTTAAAATTAGGAATTATTCTGAATTAATAATAAATATTTTTTAATTTCTTTAATAAAATGATCTTTTTCATCAATGTTTCTTATATTGCTTGGAATTGAATTCCATCATTTGTAGAGCAGTGCAGCACTGCTCATAACGAAGATTTATTGTGTCTTTGACAAACAAAACATTTATAGTAAATAGATATTTACATTTCATTTGACAAATGCTATTAGTTTTGGTAAAAGATAATTTATGGAAAGGATTGGTAAACAAAACTTTCGAAACGAGACTAATTACTATTATTCAGCCACCCGAAAACGTATCTCTGTTTTCAATTTTAAAAAATCCCTTGGATAAGGAAATTACTTTCTTAAAAACAATTTTCGAGCAAACCTTTGAACATGTTCGTTGTTCGGTGTTTACTCAATAGAACCGTTTTCAAATGCTCAAAATTTATTTTTTCACAGCCCTTAAAGATACAAAAAAATTGCCGGTAATATTTTATATACACGGTGGTTATTTTGCTTATGGATGTGGTGATAATACTTCTCAAGGACCAGATTTTTTTATCGAGCATGAAGTTATCGTCGTAACTGTAAACTTTCGACTTGGAATATTCGGTTTTATGTCTTTGGGAACACCAGAATATTCGGGAAACATGGGTTTAAAAGATCAACAATTGGCCTTGAAATGGACCTATAAGAATATTGAAGCATTTGGCGGAGACAAACAAAAGATTACTCTATTTGGTCTTAGTACAGGTTTAACACTAATAGCAATAAATGCTTTTATTTTGAATTTCTAATGTGATCCTAACTAATAATATGGAAGCGACGAAAAAATGAAATTGTTTACTTAATCCTATTCTTTTTAAATTCAGGAGCAAATTGTGTTGGTTTGCATTTAGTTAATAATGAATCATCAAAGTACTTCCAGCAAATACTCAGTATAAGTGGAACACCCAACAAATGTCACAACTATCAGAAAGGGGACCATCGTTGTTTCATTGAGCATTTGTACAATAGACATTTTAAAGGCCATCCAAGTGATACAGAATTAATCGATTTTCTCAAAACAGTAGATGTCATGGAAATGTTAATTTTTTTTCATGAAACATTCTCGAGAACGCATTCGCTATGGAATCCTGTAATTGAAAGTAATCAATATGTCTATTGAATAGAATGCATTATTAACCAGTAAGTTCTACATTAAATTTTATTCATCCCAAACTTTGCAGATCCAAATGCAATACGTCCATTTATTGTTGACGATCCAATGACTTCACTAGGAAAGTTGGATAGTATCGATAAACCTGCATACTACACGATTACACAATATGTATGTATTAATTATTTCATTGAATTATTTTCATATTAAATATATTTCCAAAACCGTTTTATTGTTTTTCTTTTTTCAAGATACCTGATTACGGGAACAGGCTATTCAGACCCAAAAGTTGTTCGTGAATACATAAAGGATTTCAATATTGACTTACCAATATTTGGATATAAATCAATAATTGAGAAGAAAGTAAGGACATGTACTTGTAGAGTTTTCAATGTGCTTTTGTGACATTCTTCATCTATGTTCTATGTTTACATTTAGCCCGCATATCTTGAAAAGATAATGAAAGAGCTCCACAATTTTTACTTCAATGTCAATGCATCTACACCCTATGAAGAACTACTCAGGCAACGCCTTGTCCTAGACTCCGATCTCTACTATCTATATTACAACGAAAAATGGATGGAACAACATGTTGCTATTTCGAATAAAGACACTTTTTATCATCGATTTTCGCTTCAAACCAAAATAAACGAACATTCAGAGTATCCGGGTGCCGGCCACGGAGACGAAAAGCCATTTGTATTTCGGTAAGTTTGTGTAATGGCTATATTGTAAATCAATCAAACGTTATATATCAACAAATGTTTACAGGTGCACTTGGTATAAACATGCAGCAAAAGTGATAGATGATAAGGACACTGATGAGAAGAGCGCAGTAGCTTTTGAAGGGATGCGTGTGATGCAAAAACTGTTTACGAACTTCATAAAATATGGGTATTGTTTAACAATAATATTTGGTTGTTTATGTTAATTTGTGATTGTGTGTATCTATTTGCAAATCACAGAAAACCCATACACAATGGTGATCTAATGGCTCAAGAATTCAAACCATTTCAACGTTCAAGCAAATCGGACGAATTTGATTTTATCGACGTGACCAATGCTGGTTTATTACCAAGTAAAGCACTGTCCGAAGGTAGAACCAAGTTTTTGGATCACATAATCAAAGAAGTTCAACGATTAGTTAAAAAGCATGGAGATGAACCTAAAGAAACGCAAATTGAACAGCTGTATAAGAAGTTTAAAGTAAAGGTGGCAAATGAACACGTACGAACGGCTCAAAATCACTATTTGGGTCTTTCGGCAAACTCCAATCAAACATTCCAACACCTCTCAAAGCAAACAGTTTGGTTGTTCGATTGCATTCGAACCAACGAACATGTTCAAAAATTTGCTCGAAAATTGTTTTTGAGAAAGTAATTTCCTCTTCCTTTTAAAACGATTCAAAAAATAAATATCCTTTGATTAAAAGAAAAGATTGTGAGCATGGCATTAAATTCCATTTTGGCGATTGATTTTCAATAAATGGCAGCGTAAAATGAAAAGACAATAAATGCAATTCTTTTTGTGTTTTTATTCATTTTCAGATCAGAAAAACCAATTCACTTCATTTTTGTATTTGCGGTTCTAGTTTTGTTTAATTGTTGGAAAGTATTTATGTATCGAAAAATCAAATTCCGGTGGACATTTTGAGTCTTTTTTGTGTCCATTCGCTAGCAGGTTCATTACAACATAGTTGATCTTCGCTATTTTGATTATGTCGATAATCTAAAAAATAAGATAATCATTTCATCAGCGTAATGAATTGATATTTTGTTTTGCATAAAAACAAACCTCAGCGTCAGCATTTGGAATTACTTCCAAAATAGTTCTGGCCCTATGGAAATAGTTACTGGCATCCAAATACAAATTCATTGACGACCGATTCAGCGTATAGCTTCGATATTCTTTGAATTGATTGTACGAGACCGGTGGTGGTGTTGTGAGCCCAAAAAATGGAGCAAAACGATGATCAAATCGAACACGTTCATTGTCAAATATTGAAAGTGGCTGTGGAATACGATCGTCTTTGGTGAAACCAGCCAATGCCTATTGAGCAAAACGAAGATTTGAAAAACAAAAAATTAAAACAAAAATGTTACGTAATTTTTCGTTCAAAAAAAACTTGCATTATAATAACCGGAGAACATGTTTTTCAATGCCTGGCTAAACATAACTTCACGACCGTATAGTTTCATAGATTTCTTTTTGGCTTTTGGTTTTTTTGATTTAGTCGATGGTTTTTGCATTTGATCAGCTAAACATTCAGCTCTAGTTAGTGTTGTTATAATCCAATTATAGAGATAATCCGATAAGTACCAATAAATATACATATATTCATGCACGCTATAGAGTTCCAACTCTAGTCCGGACAACAAGTACATTGCCATTGCACGAAGGCAATGATATAACACCCATGTGCTGAAGTATGGCCGACGATCAGCTTCATCTGGATTTAAGTCACACAAATATGTATCAACACGTTCCGCCTCGTCTTGTAGACTTGCAAAATCATCTAATAGCCGTGCCAATTTGTCGCGTTGCCGAGCACGATTGTAGCCGCAAATTTGGATAAACATCACAAACGAGTACATGTTCATGCAGTATTTGAAGAAGGTTTCAATGCAAAATTTCACCTGTAAATTTTATGGAAAAGACCAAATTACGTTAAAATTAACATTTGTTCAACGAACACATTAGATATGCAGTAATTCTCTACCTGAGCACTCGATGTGAAATTATTCCGAAGTACTAAGACGGTTGGAGCACAAAATAACTTTACCGAATCGCGAAGCATTTCCGTCACCGGCGTCACACCAAACACTGAATTTGGTTGTGGAAAATATAAGCATTGCAAAATGCTACGGGATAAGAGGCACGGTCCTGACTTTTTGCTGAATTCAATGAAGAAATTCTAAACGAAAAAGGCATCGCACATTCAGCATTTTTTTTTTCTACCTCAAAAAAAAAAACAAATACGGATATTTGGCTTACCAATGCACTATGGTAGTTGACACAGTGCACTATTTTACAGGCCTGCTTTGTGCGATGCACCAATTCTTCAAGAAATGCAATGCTAAAATCTCTCGCTTTAATTTTAGTGTAACGAGGGAATGTCGGTGGCAAAACACGTTGATTGACTGTTGGCGAAAAGCCCATTGGATTTGGTGCGTCATCTGTTTAAACATATACATTTTATGCATAGTCAATATTCAGCTTAGATTTACAAGCAAAACATTTATGTCAACAATTGAATAACTGCCAGGCCTTACCGTCGGGGTCTGGTTGAGTGCCTAGGCTAATTGTTCGTTTGATTAGTGGAATGAGATCAGCCGCACCATTTAGCAGTCGAACGATTTCATTCATCTCTTGTTCATTTGGCGATACACTTTTGCTGGGTGCTAACGCTGACAATGCTTGCAAAAACAGTCTCAGAAATTTTAATCGGCCAATTATTCCTTGCAGTCCCTGAAAATAAAAATGATACATCTCAACTCTTCAACATTGGATCAGGTCTGAGAATAGCCCCTTCATCTATCTGAATATTGAATGTTTGCAAATTTATACGAGAATGCATCTATGCTACACGGTGATCTCACCTGAATTTGCAATGACATTTATTTTAATATAGGCCAAATCGGTTTCACTTATATAATCATTGATATACATTATATAACAGAAAGAACTGGTGTTCAAAATGAAACATCAGTTTTTGGCCGGAAATCTACCAAGCTATGTCGTATATTATTTTATCGATTCCTACCTCGTTTCCGTCAGGGGTGGCTTTTAATTGTTTGGTTAGTTCATCTTCAGCTTCTTTTAGCATAAAACATGCTTTGGTATTTACAATGTCTGGCGTCAATACATAACCATAGTCCCGAGGATCAAAATCTTCTTCTTCGTACACTTTTGCGCTAAATGGAAACATACGAACAATTAACGTGCGCACACCATCTGGTTCTCATAAATTTATACTTACTGTAGCACAAATTTTCGTATGATTTGTGTTAATTTATGCATGGCACAACAAAATGCTCGCAACGTTTTATCTTCAATGCAATGTGGCTGATGTAAATATAAGCAGGTGAACATTGTTTGAGCCAATGAATGACCGTCCAACCATGAAATCAAACATGCATAGATGCCGTCCATTATGCCAATCAATTCGCTTGGTTCAAATGAAACCAGTTTCATTTTTTTTGTCTATAAAAATGATAAAAAATCAAGTTAAAATTCATGTCATATCGCATTTGAATGAATTTCTCTTACTTCGACGGCAGTTTCAAAGGTAAGTGGACCGCCTGGATTTTTATTGCAACACATTCCCGCATCCATTTTTGGATCCATCATTTCAATGGCTGACATTGCTTCGAAAAGGCCAAATAATTTCTGATGATGCACCAATTCGCCCAATTGAAGCTCTATTCAAATAAAAAAAAACAATCGTTTGAATTAACAAATAGTGTTTCAAATGATTTTTCTATCATTGAAATGAATCTAAAATACCTTTGACTGATTCAAAAAATTCTTGTGTTATATCTTTCCATTCGTAGCACACTTTTAACGGCAACAGTGGTTCCGTTTCTTTTTTCGATTCATCACTTGGTTTCGATGCATTTTTACTGGCATCTCGCTCAGAATCATCAATTGAAATGGCAGCTAAACCTTGATTTAGCTCAGCTACAGTTGAACTACGAAGAAAGTTCAATTAAAAACAATCAATCCTTAAATAGTAAATGATTCATTAGATAAATCAGTGAATTTACTTACCTATCTGATTCTGTAGATGACTTCATATTTTGTGAATTTTTCTTCAGTTATCTATTGCTTAAACAATACAAAATGAGTTCTAATTTTCCAATGCATTCAGAATTGGCATATAAATATTAAACCTTAAAATTATTATTACACGATTGTCAGTTCAGTAGGCTATTTCAATTGACCCACATGCAGATGGCGCATCACACATATGTCATACGATTGGATCTGATGTTGTTAATATTATTAATACAAGAGCACGTGTAATGATGACAGTATTATAAATTAATCGAATGTTGATTTCGAATTATTCACAGCATCAGCTAAAATGTGTGAAAATCAAGTGGATTTAGGTTTTTTGGATAAATGTGAACCATGGCTATTGGTGAATACATTTTTTCCAAGCAAAGTTGGCGGTCGACCAGCGTGGTTAGATGTTGAATCAATACCATCTAACGATAGACTGAAATGTTCCGAATGCGAAAAACAACTTACATTTTTATGCCAAGTATATGCTCCACTCGACGAATATGATATTTGCTTTCATCGAACGCTATATGTATTTATTTGCACCGATGCACTTTGCTGGAAACCGAATACATCAAAGTACGTTTGAAATTTCAATATAAATAGTTGAGTTCTTTTGAATTTTATTCTCCATTTTATTTTACTTAGAACCATCAAAGTGTTCCGATGCCAATTGCCTAAAGTAAATAAATATTACGAACCGACACCTCCAAACGAAGACGTTCCAACGGTATGTTGTCTTGTTTTTTGTTTTTTTTTTTAAACTAAAATCAAACCTTTTCTGACTTTTTGTTGGCAAACATTTGACAGGATGAAGTGATTACTTCGGTGAAATTATGTCAAGTTTGTGGTTGTCGTGGTCCATTGAGCTGTGGCGCATGTAAATCAACTAATTATTGTAGCAAAGAGCATCAAAAAATTGACTGGACCTTGGGCGAACATAAGACGGTGTGTGAGAAAAATGCAAAGCAATCGTATAGCAATAATGAAAAGCACAAATATTTATTGGAAGAATTTGATCTGGTCACTGAACCAGAAGAAATTACCGATTCAGATGATGCGGAAAGTGAACAAGATCAAGAAATCCGTCGCATGAAAGATTATGATGAATTCATGAAAAAACATAAAGAACAAACAAAGGACGATGAGCTGGCCAACGTTCCCGATGAAGAATTTGAAAAGTACACAAATCAAATTGATGACGATAAAGATTTCGATAAGTTTAAAAAACGCATTGCTTCCGATCCAGATCAAGTGATTCGCTTTGATCGAGCAGGCAGTCCATTGTGGATTACAAGCAAGAATAAGCCGAAAATCAGTGATATACCTGCATGTGAACTGTGTAATGCGCCAAGAATATATGAATTTCAAGTAAGTCGTCTGCAAGAATAAAAAAAAAAAACAAATACGATTATTAATAAATACTGTCATTTAAATATTACAGATTATGCCACAGCTGTTGAATTCGTTTAAGGAATTAAACGTTGATTGGGGGATTTTGGCTATTTACACATGCAAACAAAGTTGCAACACAAATGGAAATTATGTCGATGAATATTGTTACAAACAGGATATTTGTGAAGATAAATAAACATTTTATTTACACAAATGAACCAACTTTGTTTGAATACCTTTTTTTTTCATATTAAAAACTTGGTTTATTTTGATACTAAAAATCATTTTCCATTTCTTCTTTTGTTTTGGATTTCGATTTTTAATCATATGTGAGATGTTTTTCGTTCCCTTAATTTGAACTTTTCACATGGAAAAATATATTGACCCCCAGGGGTTCACGTAGACATTACAACGTACCAATCAAGTTGTTTTCAGATTCCCATACAAATTCTGACGATTTACTGCATTTACCTTGATGAATTTTCCAAAAAGAAAAATATTGATTCGAAAAACTAGGTTTCAAGTTGTTGACTGATACCTTGCTTACGTGGTATAAATTTTGCATGAAAAGTTCAAAATGTAGCATGACAATGGAAAAAATCTCAGAGACGATCAAAAATGGTCCGGCGTAATTTAAAGAATTTGAAGCGATAATTTCATTTTCTTTATTCCTCAGTACCAACATTTCATTCTTTCACATTTATTTATTTGAAAAGGTGCCACATTGTGAAAAGTTCAAAAGTTATTTTAAATCATTCAATCAATGGTCTTCTTTTATTTATGAAGCAGATAGTCTGAATATGTATTCATAAAATGCATATCATTTTAATTAAATTATTCATTTTGATTCTTTCAGTTCACATAAAAAAAGGCTGAAAAATAAAATGAAAACACCTTGAATGAAGGGTGAGTTATCATGATTTCGATGAAATGATTGTTTTATCAATTAATTCATCCATATAATTTAAAGCCCTGTATAATTTATATGGTTTTTAGAGTCGTGTTCATGGTATCTTTTACGTTATTTATCGTTTGTCTACTTTGATCAACTGAAATGTTATCGTCGAATATGTCTTCTGTGCAGCTGCAATGATTGTTTAGAATGTGTTTACAATGCTACGGGAGGATAAAAACTCCATTTACAGTATAAATTGTGATTTATTCTTGTTTCTGGATATTTTTTCTAAAAAAAGCGTAAACTTAAAAAAAACCATAACTTTTCTATCGCTGAGATGTAAAAAAGCGAGTATAAGAAGAGATATTCGTTTATGAATGCTGATGAATATTCGATGGTGATATATTGAAAACACATACCGTCATGTACAACATTTTATTGGCTTGAAAATATTTCGTAGGAAGAACATATGAGATGATTTCATTCAAACACATACAAAAAATAATAATAATAATTGAAAATAAATTGAAGCATTGATATTGATTTACATCAGATGCCATAATCACTGCTTTCGGGAATTGAATGATCTCAACATATTTGAGAAAACTATCACACACTTAAAAGTTTAACTTTTGCTTTTGTCGTATATGTTCTCATTTTTTTTGTTTAGTTTTTTCTCTCTCTTAAATCGAAGAATCATTATATCTCAAATAAAATTGAATGAACACTAGATTACATCTCAGAAATAGAATTTAGACATTCAATTTTTGTTTTGTATTAACAATTTAAACAATGGCTAAATGTTTATTGATTGATATGGGCGCTATTAAAGTATATTTAAACCTAATACATGAAAATAAGGAAACATTAAACGTAGTCGAAGCGATTTTCGCCGCTTACATCGTGATGTCGTTGTAGTAAGTTCATACATTGAAATAAACAATGTGTACTTGATGCCGAAATGGCTTTCAATAAAAGTAAATCAGGATCTGTTGAATTAAGTGGTGGTTCGACATTTTCAATGGCCCTCGTTAGCATTGCATTGCTGTGATAAAAATGAACAAAAATGAGCATAAGAGATAAATTGGTAAAATCGAGTGGTTGACATCGAAATATCAAACGATGACAACTCACCATAGTTCTGTGTTTTGCAGCTGTTGTCGCGCTTCACCAAAAGCATCTGATGCGGCAATGATTTCTCTTGGCGGTAGCAGCTCAAATTGTGAACCGATCGACTGTAAAACAAACGAAGAAATTTTCAAATACAATCTCATCCATTGAATAGATAAAAAAAAATTATTGCGCAAATAATGTGTCAGCATTTTTACTACATTTCTTTGAATTTTACCTGTGTATGACATTCGGCAATATTACGCAGTGCGTCCACCCATTCTTGACGTGCTCTTGCATTGTTTGCTCGTAACTTTAGTGTATCACCGTTGGCTGTACCGATTGTAAATGTTCGAGAGTCTTCGTCACTTGGACAAACAACAGCACCAGCCAAATGCTCTTGCCATCTCGGTGTATTGCCAACGATATTTGGCGGTGTCGCATCTTCGCCACTATTTTCACAAATATAATAGCTTAGTGTTCCAGTTTGTGGATCTACGGTGAACCATCTGTATTGCCATCCTATCAATTACAACAACAATATGTTACACTCATTTTGATTATCAACTATAGAGATTATAATCTCTCTCTCTCTCACTTCGTTTTTTTTCTAAGTGAGTCATCATAATTTATGATTCATAAAAGATCTCATTTTTTATCGGGCTTATCAACATATGCAATAATGATTCGAATAAAATTTCATTTCGAAGAGATTTTTTTTTAAATATAAAAAATATAACAAACCTTTGACTACATTTGTGTATTTACATAGTAAACCACTGATTTGTGTTTGTTTGGTACCGCCAATATTTCGACCTGAAACTGGTTGATCCATAGATACGTGAACCCAAATTGTTTAGTGGGATTCCTTTTTTACAATCAAAAAACCAAAATCAACAAATTCCTATTGAAAATGACAAATTAATCATCATACAGTCACTAAAACCACACTTAATACAGTGCTAAACTGAATTTTCTATGGAAATAATGAACTTAAAGATTTGATGTGTCTGATAATTTTCTAAAAAAATTGTAAATATTGGAAAAAAAATTAACTTGTTTCAAACTAATGCAGCAGCAACAATAAATATGCATGTATATATGACAAAATAGTTCTCTTCAAACGTCTCACCTTGATTATGACAGATGACACATTTATTCTGTTGAGCGCTGATGTAGTCACACAATTGGCGCAATAATTCAAAATACCCAAGACTGAAAGAAAAAAAATCACAATTTCGGACAATTAAATTAAATATATATTTTTTTTTTACTTCGTACGTGCGTGATTACATAACAAAATCGTATAAAATCATCATCATGTTTGTTGCAACAATGAATTCAATGTAAGTTTATCAAGATAATTCTACAGAAAAATATATTGTTCATTGCATAGAAAGTATGGGGCAATTTCATTTTATCATTAAAAAAACATTTCCATGATTTCTTGGTGCGCGGGATTATGGATTATAGATAAGTTAATTTTAAAAAAAATGTCTTGCGATAAGAATGTGATAAACGCTTAACATGGCGTATTTAAATAAATAGGTTTATATTCTTCTTCGAGGTGTTTGTGCATTTAATGTTTCCGTTCATTTGAATTTGTTTGGCATGAGGCAGTAAATTTGTTCTTTTATTCACTTTCTTATCATTTTTATCTGTGGGCACTATGTAAGATGTACGATACACAATGTACGTATCGCTTTTGCTCTGAATATAATAAAAAAAATTATGTCGGGTGAAACACAATGTCATTTGTTTTTATCTCATTCTAAATTTCCGTGGATTTCTGACGCGTTAAAAATACTAATTGGTGTAGATAATCATGGAGACAGCGTTTATATTTGCCTCAAATGAATTCACATACATTCAAATTTATGACTTTTTTCATTTCAAATTCAATATACTGAGTACATTTTTGATGGTTTTTTTGTAGCATTTTGAATGAATCTTCTGTTCAAATGCACAAAGGTTTTTTAGCCAGAGCTTAAGAACCAGCTGTATATTCTAATTGTTTTGTCTCTTTTCGGTTCAAGTAGCTGTTAATTTATTGCCCTATTTTTTTGTTTGAATCGAACAAGAGTTCATATTGTAATAATAATAATTATATTATCGCACTATGGTAAAAAAGACTGAATTTAAGGAAATTAATAATGAAGAAAATATAGTTTACTGTACTATGTAAAACTAAGAGTGAATGTTCCAAAAGTTATAGATAATATTTCATTTATTTGTTTTTTAATAAACGTATCACACAATGAATGTATGTGCGCGCGTTTGCGTGTGTATGCGTGCGTTGTACCTGTCCATCTATTTATCTCAAGTCGAAAGATCTGTGTCGTTAAAAAAAACCATACCGCACGTTGATATGGAATCGGCAAATAAAAAAATATGTTATCGCTGTCATTTGCGCTACTATCACACCATCAAATATATATATACACCTGACAAAATGTGTGCATACACTTTTTTTATTCTCTTTTTCTCTCTCTTTCTTTCTTTTGCCTTCATTCACCTTCTCTTTTACTCGCGTTGTTAAATCAGCTTTCGTTTCATTCATATAGACAATCATATACATTTCGCTCCTTTTTTCCTTCTCTCGCTGGTCTTATAAATTCAATACACAAAGATTTTCTTGCTTCATTTTCTCTACAAGTATATCACAAGTGATATCGTGTATATTAATCTAAAGTGTATTTTCTGCGAGGAAAAAGATTTTGAGTACGATCCAAAGCCTCTGCAAAGAGCAACAAGAACAACAACAACACAAATTAACTGTTGAATTTCAAACAAAAATGAAATTTCAAAAGGAGACAAAAACGAATAACGAAAACAAATTCAATAAATAAGAAGCGCGCGCCCGATGGATAGAGTGAAAGAGAAATCACAAAAAAAAACAAATTGAAATTATTGACAAGTAAACATTTGTATTGACCAATGCTGGTATACGTTTTTCACTAATTATCACATATCGATTTCGTGCGCATACACGGCATACTAAAAAAATTTAGCTCGATCTTAAGCCGAAGCAATCGTCATCGCCAACACTGCGATTTCGTAGACAACGATGGAAATCCTGTCGTCGTCCAATCATCATGTAAGTTTCAAGTGATTTTGTACAATTTTTTTACCGTGTCCGATAATTTAGGTGCAAAAAAACAGTTGTTATTTTTTCGTCTTTTTCTCTCTCTTTATCTCGAAATCTTCTTCACATGATCGTTAAACACACATATAGGCATGTACCTCTCTCACTTCGGTGAAACGGTATTTAATTTGGTTTTTCTTTTCATATTGCTGTCAAATTGAAGTATGTGTATTTGTCGAAAATAGAAGTGTGCTTGAAATATTGAAGTATTTGGTTTGCATTGTACCACATTTCATTGTACCCTTCTTTTTCTATAGTTTTTTTTTGTCGCTCATATTTTTTGAAACTTTACCGAACTAATAATGATAAGAAAACGTTTACGATATATTGTTTCCATTAAACACAGCGAGGAATTAATAGCGTTTGCACGCGTCAGAAGTTGGTTATGTGGCAAATAAAAAAAAATATTATTCGATTTTTTTTCGTCTTCGACTTCGTCATCGTCTTTCAAACAACAAGAAAGCCAAGAGAAAAAAAACAATGTAAGTCATTTTGTTCATTACAAGTAAATTATAGGTTTGTTCTTTTTTTGCGATTGTCGCTTTCAGCAATTTTCAACCGATCATCGCCATCAACCGATCACATGACTTATTTCATGTAAATTATTGGAATCTTTTGTGGAAAAAACGAATCAGCAAATAAAGAGAGCTATCCGTCGACAGTATGGCAATATTAGTCTATTTTAGATTAACTGTCATGGAATTGCTCTCTTTATGGACTATTCGAATTACATCAGTCCCAAAAATGTGAAGAAGAAAAACCGATTTCTCGCAATCACATTTCAGACGAAATTCAAACGAAATTCAAACGATCAATTTGATGATGAAAAACTATGCAGATTAATACAGTGTCCACACCGAATGGGTTACCTGAAAAAAGGCGTTCGCCACATTTGTTTTAAGTTTTCATTGAATTAGATTTTTGATAAATAATTTCAACTAAAAAATGATGTTCACGGTTAACTATATTGTATGTTATTTAATTTGCAATTTTTTTAAAGTTATTTTTGTGATATAAAAAAAAAACTTCAACCAATTCGTGCCACACATTTATTGAAAAAAAAAAAATTCCATTAAAGTTATTACATTGCACAATTAATATTTTTGTTTGATTTATTTTTTAAGAGTTGAAAAATATATATTATTATTTTTTTCGGTTTAAGCTAAAAGTCATGTGAGACTGCGTTTCATCATATGTGTCTGTGTTTTTGTGTGTATTTTTTGAATAAATAAATTAAATCTCTTCATTTTGTTCAAAGGAAAAGGCATCAAAATCCATATCACGCAAAAAGTTTCCAATGCGTTCTCGTAAAATTGAATTATCAATGATATCAGGCGATATTTCGAGATTTGTCATTGGCGACGAATATTTTCCTTTTTCGAACCATTCTTCTAGCGCTTCTCTTTCGTATGAAAATCCATCTGCGGAAATGTAAATTGAACAAGTTTTTTGTTTTTTTCTTTTCTTTCTTTTCTCACCGCAACACTTTGTTTAAACATTTTTAAAAAATGGTTTGTATACCTTCAGCAAGAATGGGATCTTTCATAATTTCATGTGTAATCGGACAGATAAAGTCTAACGGCACTTCAGTTCGACTTGATGCTAAATTAAATAAAATTGAACGAACGCCAGTTAGATGGCTATCCAATGTGAGTGTATTCGTTAGGTCCCAAATTAAAATCGTTCGATCATTTGAACCGCTACAAAACACCGTCGAATCACTATTTACAGCCATGCAATTCACATATCTTGTGTGTTCAGTCATTGTTTTGATACAGTTACCCTGTAAATCCCAAACCTTGATTGTTTTATCCATGCTACAGGATAGTAACAATGTGCCCATGACATTGAACCTAAATCAAAGGCAATATCGTTAATTAACCCCTCATTTAAAATGATCATATGAACGCTTGAGAATAATAATGAAACTTAATTTTTGTTCAAACTGAAGTGTCCCTTCGAAATATTTCCAATAAAAGTGTCCCAAGTTTGTATATAGTTTGCCATATAAACTTGGGACACTTTTATTGGAAATATTTCGAAGGGACACTTCAGTTTGAACAAAAATTAAGTTTCATTATTATTCTCAACCATTCATATGTTAAATTTCACATCGACGGAAAATTATCACACTAACTTAATGCATGTAACTGAGCTGCCATGTGCTTGAATTGCTAGTATACATTCTGTATTCATGGTCGATGTTCCAACAACCGTTGAATTTCCACAAAGATGTTCCTAATAAAAAAACAAATAATGGTTATTTTATTTCAAACTTTATTTGGATGCGTGCGTACAATACAAATATATCGACTTTAATGTAAGTAAAAAATAAAAAGAATATTAACAATTCAGAAAGTCAAAACTATGATTCAAACATACGCTAATTACAAATATGATTACTTTCATTTTGAGTCGTTTTTAATGATTACTACGACATACTATCTTATGAAATATGGAAATGTTCACATACCACGACTCCATCAGGAAGCAATCGCGAAGATCCCTTTGGCTCTTTCAAGTCTCGAAGGCAGTAAAGTCGCCAAATTTTAATCAGTTGATCAGTTCCACTTGAAGCGAACGTGTAGATTGTTGTATTATAATCGGACGCTAGAAATATCGTTTAAAATGATCCAAATAATTGTGCAACACGAATCATGTTTTATTGAAAAAATTGTTCAATCATTTTAAGAGCTGTTCTGGGTACCGAAGTGATGCGAACACTTTTCTTGTAAGTGTTGCTCTTTCATATAATAATGACTCAATGAGAAAATGTTGAACACATTTTTGGGTGAGAATAAAATTTGTACGAAACCTACGGTCAGAATGATAAAGTTTGCAAAAGTCCGTTGATAATACTCCCATATCATGTGCACCATCAATTAAACAGTCAGACTCTTCAGAATCGTTATCCATGTAACTAATTCTAATGTTGCCCAGCATACAAGCAGTCAGTAGAATTGTCGAATCCGGTGAAAATGATAAACAATGGACGGCTTCTTCATGCCGTCTTATGATTCTAAGTAAAGAAAATTCAAATCGAACATAACTATTTACATATTTACATTGATAAATAAATAATAAATCGTATAGAAAATCGTATGCCCAAATATTAATGTAGAAAATTCTAAAAAAAAAAATTACTATACCGTGTAATAGACTTATTTTGGCCCCAAACGCAAACAGTACCACTATCATCAGAGCTAACTATATTTGCTCCATCCGGGCTGTATTATGAATGTCGAGAAGATGTATGACATAAGAAAAATGTTTTATTTTTAAATGAAATCAAACGATGGTTGTCTCTTTCTGAAATACCTAAATAAACAGCATCGAATTGCTTCACCGTTTTCTTGTGATAAAATGTTAGTTCTGGAACCGTCTGTTAAATCCCATAAAATCATGGTGCCATCAACGGATCCTGAAGCTAGTACGCCTCCCTGTCCAAAAAGCAATTCAAAGCAAATTAATTTTGTGGTTTCAAATGAACGCGCCCGTTTAATTCAAAATTTTGCCGCATTGCCATTTATAATTCATGTGCGCTAACAGCGACATTTTGACACATGGTGAATTGTCAATGGCAACAAACCGAAATACATTTGAATTGAGTATGTGTGTGCAATGCAAGCGGCAGCTTCTAGCTTCTATTCAGTTTTAAAAAACGATAATAAACGATTTTCGAAGCAAATATGGATTCAAATCGACGTGAATTTGATCCATTGAACATTTGGCCAAATGCAAAAACAATGAAAATCGATAAAATTACGCCGCATAAAATTGTTGTGGTATTTTTGGTGCAAGAATATTTAAAAGTGAAAAGTGAATATGAAAGCCATGAAATGTATCCGGCAAATTATTCGAAAAGTTTTTGTATGTTATTATTGAAATTAATACAATTTCCGGATATGTCGTACAATGATTTGAAAATTTTTCTATCGAATCCGGACGCTGGCATCGATCCAATACATTTGTCCGGTTTTGAAGAGCTCATGGAAACGATATCCACCGTTGGACTTGATGTTTTATTCGATTTGCAAATGTTCATCGGAAAATTGCTAACCGACAATGTGCATGTCAATCAGTTTGGCGTTGTTGGATTCTACATACGACGAATTCTGTTGGCGCTCAATAAAATGGGATTCGAAGAAATTAGCGATTTATACGGCAGCATTACCGAATACTATTTGGCACGGACAATGGGCTCTCTAACAAACGATGTCACAACCAATTTTGAATCGGACGACAGTTTGAAACACACCGATTTCTCAAATTCATTGGCAGACAATGATGTGTATGCATTAAAACCGGTCAAATTACAACATAGATTGAGTGAAAATATCGACGATCAATCGTCGTATACACGACCATTGTCAAAGCGAAAAAATCCTTTATTTATGCCACCAACGCCATCCTATGAACCGCCAATTTCCACGAGCAAAGACCGAGACGGTCACAGTAAATGGTCGGTGAAACAAGCCGACTTGTTTATTGCGCAACAATGTAATTTATTGGAAAATAATGAAATATATGCCCTGAAACCGATTGAATTACAACAGCGATTGAACGAAATAATCGAAGATATTCCATTGTACACACAAGCACACGCACTCACTTATCTGAATAGTTTGCGTGTTCGTGACTTCTTCAGCTCATTAGATTCATATCATAGGGCCTACGATCAAAATTCTGCGCATGATTCAGATGCATCCGGCTCCGATTCCAATCAATCATCAAATAATGGCCAATCAAAGAATGCCAACCGGGGACTACAATATTCAAGTCTAAATTTAGCCATATTGCATATGAAATTTGAGCATTACAATGAAACGTTGTCCAATCTAAAGGAATGCATAATGTTGGCACAAGAAGCCGGCGACAAGGCATGTTTGCAATTGGCACAATTGTGGTTATGTTTGTTGGATAAAAAATATGTGCTACTTTGTGAAACAAATGTAACAAATCAACTAGAAAATACAGCCGTTCATTCTGTATCGTTGGGAGTTCAGTTCGTTGTTAATGTGGCGGCAATTTCTGGTAAAATTTAAAGCCAATTTAATTTCTTTATCAAAATAATAATCGTATTTGTTTTTCGATATTTTTAGGTGTTGTACCATCCAAATTGTTTGAGCTACTCATGAAAAGTGAAGTCATCAATTTTCAACACAGCCTAATGGATTTGGTGGCAAATAGTTGTTCGCAAAAAGCGGCCGTTTGGCAATTGTATGGTAAAACTGAACTTGCATCGTTATGCAATCAACTGTTGCTGCAGGTCATTCGATCAAGTAAAGATAGCGATTGTATCGAGAATAGCGAAGCGGTTTGTATGTCGCTGTGTTCAATTGCACTCTGGCTAAGCTTACAGGGTGAGCACGTCTTATCGGCGGTAGTGATTCAACATGCATCCGAACGTTTCCCGCGTGATCCATTGTCACGAAATTGGCAAATGACCAACGCATACATTCAATCCCAGCAGGCCATTCATCGATGCAAATGGAGCGACGGACAGAGAGCATGCGGTCAAATTCGAAATTATAATTCAGTACTTAGCTCATTGCAACAGGCAACATTGAATATATCGCGTGGTAATGGTTCGGCTGCATATAAACATCTACAGCAATTGTTAAACGACGATGGACTTGAACCAATCTATCGTGTTCGTGCAATGATTTTAATGTCAAACACATTTGTGCGTAACGAATTGACGATTAGCGCCGAAAAGCGATTTTCAGCCGAAGCGATGGGCATTTTAAATGAAGCTTCAGTGTATGCAAAAGAGAAATTTCTATCATACGAAGCTGCAGTAGTTGATTTGCACACCACCTATATTTTATTGTTGATGGGAATGCCACAGCAGGCATTGAAATTGATTCGAAATTGTATGGAAACGATTTTGGCAAATGGCGGCATCTATGATTGTACGCGAACACAATTTTTATTTGTCAAGTGTTTGATTGCGGCCCAAGGCGATAACCACCTGGAGAAAATCAATAAGCTATCGATTATTTTACCAATTCTTGAGGAATGCATTCAGAATTTCATGAAGTTGGAAGCATTTGCCAAAGTCAAAGATATTTACATTTATTTATCAACATTTTATGAAAGCGTTGGACGCGTTGCCGAACGCAATAAATGGGCGTGCAAATTTCGTAACTTGGATGAACAATTTGCAACGCCAACCGAGTATCTCAATGTATTTTTATAAGAATTTTTGTTATTTTCAAAATTGGAAATGAAAAAACCAAACAAAACAATGAAACTGAAATTAAAATGTGAACACATAATAAAACGAACGTTTGAATTTATACATTACAAAAACAATTGGTGGTTTCGATTGCAAAAATTTGTGCTTTTCTTACACACCTGAGGCGATACTTTAACACTCGTTATACCATATTTATGACCGAGCAAAGGTGAATAGCTTTCTTCCAAAAAACCACAAGATACATGCCACTTCCACACTCGTATTGTCTTATCACTATATCAGACAAAAAAAAAAGAAAAACACTGATTTTTTTATCCATATTTCATTTGATTTCAAGGCCAAAATTCGCAGTTATTTATTTCAAAAAAAACGTTTTCTTTACAACTAGTTTGGGCGAAAATTGAAATTTATATGAATAACGATGTACTTTTGCATTTAACCCGGTTAAAAATGAAGAAAAAAGAGCGACGCACTTATTACTTTTGTGAAAAAATTGATTTTGATTACCTCGAACCAGACACAAGTAAATTATTTCCCCAAAATTCCACACATGTTACGTCTGAATAAGAAAAAACATGAAAAACATTGAATGCAGTTGTTGGAATGCGTCATTTAATAATATTAATTTTCTTTCCTCTTGTATGAGCTTTTATTTCTTGCAATACTTTAACATGTTTCGCAATGAGTCTCGACATGTTCCATAAAAAGAAATGAAAACGTTGTAAAAACAAAAAAAACTAATAGTCTAACTAAAAACGACACTTGGCACGGATCACTCGGCTTCAATTTTGAAATGATGAGAGCAATCTGAAACAAAATAAATGTGAACGTATGTAGAAATGTTGTATCGGTTGAACCGATTCGGTTCTGAATTGTATTAGTGTCGGCACGGACGGAGTTAACGTAATAATTTATGGTGATATGATGGTAGCACAGTACAAAACGGGAGACACATTATAGCCTTGACATAAACATACGGTTTCTCACACCGACTAACGTGTACTATTCAAATCGATCGATAAAAATTTTTATTCAGTGTATCATTTGGTATGGTATTTTTTTATGGCTTGGCTAGTCCTAGCGAACATAATATATATATATGTGTGTGTGTGTGGTGGATGCACGTTTCCGTTTTTCGATTTGAATCAACAAACCGAATGCGAAAAATCACAACTGTAACCCAGATCTGATTGAGAGCGTAGCAAATCGGTAACTGAACAATTTTGGTGTCTGTCAGGCCACTCATGAGACGCAGATACTAAGTGACCGTTTCGCTAATTATTTATTCAATAATCTTGTTGACATGTGTTTGAGTTGAGGCCATTTTTTTGTGGAAGGAGAACTTATTTCTTTCCTCAACAAATGGAGGTGCTTGAAATTGGCCGAGTTCATAATTAATAGTGAATAGCTAAATGAAAAGTCATTTTTGATTATTACTTCTATTTCTGGAAGAGTATTGTTTTGTAAGGATATTCCTTTCCAAAGAATCAATCAATGTCGGCTTAGCGTTAGCAATTATGTTATTGCTGTTTGAACATCAAGGGAATTATTTCATTAAAACAAAGTAATAATAAATATTTGTATCATGTTAATGAGCAATAAACTCTCTCTCACACACACACACACTCCTAACGTGTTGTCCGACACAAACACAATTGGATAATTTTAGGTGCGGATAGCGACACAACATTTCAAATGTTGGTAGGTCTTTTTGATGACAAAATTAACACTGTAGAGAAATGTATTGGTAATTTTAATGAAAAAGCACTCACCACACGCAATAATCTGGAAAAAATGTATATTATTGTTGACACAAAATCTATTTATAGTTTAATTGGCAGTGGTGGTTTTCCAATTTTGTGAAAATGGTCAACGTTGAATTTATACCATATCCACGTTGTGATAAAATGTTTACGACCATGTACTTGGTGCCGATGCCACCATCGATGAAAGTCACTTTGACGGGTTTTTTATAAAAGTTAACATGCTGAACGGCCACAATAGACGAGTTGTATTGGCCAACCTGAAAGTTTTGTAATTAAAGAGGTTTTTTTTTCATTGTATTAAAAAAGGTGTGCAAAGTCATTGGATTTATTTATTTTTTCTCATGATTACCGTCGGAAGTGTCAGAGTCAGATTTTGAACTTTAAACACGAACGATGAAGCTATCGCCGTTTTTATATCTACCGCACGTACATTATACAAATCACCCCATGTATTTATTGTTTCCAATTGAACCAAACATATATTTGAGCTGAATAAATAAATAAACACAAGTAATAATTTGTGCATGATTTGAGCTGTGAACATGTTGAAACAATAACACCTGTTTTATTTTTGGATTTTTCGTTGACCAATAGCCAAAATCAAATATGAATCGAATTCATGATGTGCGGCCGAGATAAGCTTATCACTATATTTATCAAGCTAATCTAATGGGACCAATTATTATTCAACAAACCGTTGTATAAGTGGCGAATAACAGTCAATGACATCATCATATATTCTGGGCGTGCTCAATTTTGTTTGATTTCATCAAAATAATTTTTCGCCACCAAAGTTGTTTTTGTTCGTGCATCAAGGAAATTAACAATTTCAAAAAAAAAAAAAAAAAACGGTCCAATTCATGTTCGTACATTTTCAGATGCACAATTGTTAACAGCTGCGTCTTTTGAAAAATGTTTTTAGTGAATTTCAGTGAGATAACTTCAAACGGAGTTTGACTACTCAGTTCCAGTGTTTTTATCCGAAAATTAATTTTTTTTGAAAAAAAAAAGATCTATGACATATTAATAATTCAATATGTTTTCTCTGTTGTTTTGTTTTTAGTATGTCTTATATGTCAGACGAAGAAGTTAACTTCAATTGAAGTCCCGGCAACGTACCAAGTTCCAGCACTACCGGGAGATGCATTCTCAGTGGACGAGTTTTACGATGAAAACGGTGTTTTGATGGACCGCGGTCCGGTGGATACGTACATTCGCGAAAAGTTCCGTGCAGGTCAGTGGTCAGATCTCTCCCGGACAAAAGTTCGGTATGTTGTAGCAACATTCCATGTACATAGAGGTCATTTTTATCAAAGCGCGACGATGACAAGCAACGTTGACAGTAGCGCCATGGTGCGGTTGCCAGCAAAACTAAAAATGGCACAAATTTCGATCGCCCAAATCAAAAATGGTACAAATTTGTGCCACCCAACATAAACGGAGACAACCATAATGAAGTTGCTGCGTTGCCCAGCTGTCATTGTCGTCGTGATTTGATTTTTATACGATCCGGAGCATTTTCTCAAAATATCATGCCTTGAAAGCCAAAGGTCGGCTCGAAAGTACTGGTGCTGGTGACTCTGATGGTGGGTACAATCCTGAAATGGACCGTACGCCAGTTAACTCCCCATTCCATTCTCCACATCGATTCTCTCCATCTCGGTCTCGGTCACGATCTCCACCTCGATCTCGAACTGGATCGAAATCTCGATCTCGATCTCGTTCTCAATGGCGTCAATCTCACAGTTCGGCAAGATCACAAAGTTATTCCAGTTCAAGTTCCGATTCTGCTTCAAGTATTGATAGTCGTTCATCGGCTCGTGATCGGCAGAGTCGTTCTGGTCGTAGTCGAACACCAACACCACGACCACAACCAATACCAGTGTTCCAATCGACCGCTTAACTTTTGGGTGTTTCAAATGAAGCAGTTCGAGCGGCCATCACACTGCAACAACGTCAAGTGGCCATGGCTCAAGACGTTGCCACATTCCAAGACAACATTGGCAAAATCCAACAAGCCATCCAAAATTTCCTGACACAAGACCATCCGTCAGCCTCGAAACTCGTTGAAATGGAAACGACATTGGGTAACATGACCATTGATTGCGCGATAATTATCGGACCGAGGTGGACCGATTGAACCAGGAAATCAACCAATTAAAATTAAACATCAATTGGTCAATCAGCAAGAAAAATATCGTGAATTATTCACGAGCAACCCTTCTGATTTTTGTCGTTTGTGTAGCATTGGCCGAACTATACAATGATTCAATTCAATCACTTACTTTTCATGATCTTGGGTCGAATCTTCGCAAATTCGCAAAAGATGTTTACAAATTTGAAGTGAGTTCTTAACACTTTTTTTATGTGTATATCAGTGACTTGAATAAAAATCATTTTAAATTTTCAGATTTCAAATACATCTAAGGGTTGTTCACGCTGTTTATTCAGTTTGAATGAATTTCATCAATATGCCAATTGGATTCTGAGTGTTTGTTTTCCAAATAAATAGTTTTTTCAAGCAAAAAATGCAGGGACTACTGCGACATATTTATAGTAAGATATTTATTTATAATACTTAGAAATAAGTCTTATTTTGTTGCGTGCACGCTACAATGCAAACGCACGACTCTGCTTGTACATACACAGAGACGAAGAGCGCAAAGGCTACTCTGTGTTCTCTCTACTTGCTCGCCAAAAACCAACACAACGTCATCAGAAAATAGCCCACCATCACTTGAATCGAGTCCACCGGCCCAGCATGACCTGGCATAACGCGAATAATTTTTAATTTCGCAAATTTCCACCAATCTTTTCCATTCTCTCTCAATGAATTGCAGTCATGTCTAATTTTTACCAATTTTGAACAATTTTTATTAATACTTATCCTTATTTTCATAAACAAATCTTTTCCAGTCACAAATCTTGTATATCCACATGGAAATCCAATTAAAATTGAAAATAAATAATAAAAAAAATAATTTCATAAATGATTTGGATTTCTATTCAATTATAATTTCAAATTAGTTAGCATTGTTATAACAGCAACAATAATGCACCATATGCAAACTGTTATTAAAAGGTTTTATTGATTTTTTCTATTAAGACGACACTTTGTTAATTTATAAAAAAAATCATAATTCAATAAAATGATATCAAGCTGTTGGAATTGATTATTTAAACGTGATGACTTAGGGCGTTAAACGTTTTGGATCACGTGGGAACATTGAAGTTTTTCGAATATTATCCAATCCCAAATATAACATAACGACACGTTCCATTCCAATGCCACCGCCGGCATGCGGTGGGCATCCGAATCGGAACGCTTCGATATATGAAGCAATCTTCGAAATGTCGATTGCATGATGTTTGGCTCGTTCAATTAAGTAGTCTGGATCGTGAATACGTTGGGCGCCCGATAAAATTTCTTCACCTCTCATGAACATATCGTACGAGTTTGACCATTTCTATTCAAATAGATAAAAATGCACATTTAATTATCAAAGTTTATTCGATAAATAAGAAAACAATCGCATTTCATATTGGAAATAAAAAATAAAACTTACAGGATTATTTGGATCCGGCATTGTGTAGAATGGACGAACAGCCAATGGGAATTTATCTAGAATATAAAAATCAGTATCGTATTTGGCTTTAACCAATCGACCCAATAATTTTTCGTTTGGCGTTGATAGATCCTCTTCGTCGCCCATTTCAATTCCAACCTCACGCAACATAGCAACACCTTGTGCATATTCCAGTCGCAATGGTGGCTCTAAAAATTTAAACGGCTCCACATCGTATTGATTCGCAACAGCTGTTATTTCGGTCGCATATTCATCACGCAGCCCTTTGAATATTTCGGTGAATGTATTTCCAATTGTGTCAAGCACTTCGTGATAATGATATTTAAAGGTCATTTCCAAATCTAAGCCCACAAATTCAGTCAAATGACGATGTGTATTTGAGTCTTCGGCACGAAACACAGCTCCAACCGTATAGACTTTTTCAAAGTCAGCAGCAATTGCCATTTGCTTGTACAATTGTGGTGATTGAGCAAGATAAGCAGAATCTTCAAAGTCAAAGTGAATGAAAGAAATGAGTTATTAAATCACTGTAAATTGAATTGGAAATGAAAATAAGTCAACGTACCTTTGAAATAACTAACCGTGAATACATTTGCACCACCTTCACTGGCAGCTGAGATGATTTTCGGTGTATGGATTTCAGTGAAACCATTACGAGCCAAAATATCACGGAATAAACGACAAACGCCAGCTTCCAAACGGAATATAGCCTGATTGGCTGGTGTTCGTAAGTCCAAAACACGATTGTCAAGACGAGTATCTTGATTGACACGAATTTGAAGACTATTCGGATCCTGCGAGAAAAAAAAATGAACCAGTACAAAAATTAATTCCAGACAATAGTAAGCAATGAGAACTTCACAGAGCTCAGTATGCTACGTACATTGTTTTTTTCTGGTCTAGAAGCGTCTTCAATTTGAAGTGGAAGTTGTGGTTTTGCCGATGATACCAAATAAATTTCGAACGCTGCCAGTTCTAAATTTTGTTCCGTACATGATTCGATTTTCGATGAAACGGCCACAATTTTTGCACGCAAATCAATTATACTTTCCTTGTTGATGCTAAAAAATAATGTGAAATGTAAATATACATACTTGAACAATCGAATCAATCTTTAAAAAAAAGATCCAATGGTACCTTCCAGAGAATTTCACCATTTGCTTGGACACAACATCATTAACAGCGATGAGGCATTGCACAGTTGAGCTTTGCTGACGCAATATTAAAAAGCATTGTTTTCCTTTGCAACGTGACGTATGTACTCGACCGCGCACCCATACACTTTGATTTGGATATTTTTCCGCAAATTGTGATAGATCTGAAACTCTGGTAAAAATACGATCTTCATGACGTTCTTGCGATTGAATCAACTTGGAAGCACCATATTTTCCCTCTGAATAGTCTTTGGCAGCTTCGGCATCGTTGTTACCGCTTGCCCCACTTGTTGCTGCTGCTGCCGCTTTGTATTCGGCTTTCTAAAATAAATGCGTATTATTAACATATTGTATTCCCACTAAAATGACACTTGATTGGCATCCGATTTAGTGCAAAATGAAAGCAATATTTTTTTCATTCGATTAATTAAAAGAAGGAAAAACATCTTGCGCCTCATATCAACATAAACGTCACAAAAATATCCATATTTGTAATTACTTTAGCGGCCTTTACTGCTTCTTTGGCTAGTTTTTTTGCAGCTTTCTTCGATTGTGTTTCACCGGTTTCGTTAGCCTCAGCAGCCACATTTGTTTTCTCGTCTATGCCCATTATTTGCTGAAGGTGAAAAAAAGTTGAATGATTTGCATTAAATTTGAGATTAAACTCTTCTTTATCACATAAATGTTGATTATGTCTTCAGCACTGATCAGTATTTTTTTTATTACGCAGACATGGAGATAACCTCAAATATTAAAACACTGAACGTAACTAGATACATGAAAAACATTTATTGGTTTTATATGGATAAATATTTTCAAAAAAAAAAAAAAAAAATGTCAATAAAAAAATTGCCAAACGACGTTGAAAACCCACACGATATTATTTCACAGTTGATAATAGCACTGAAACACGTAGCAAGTCACCAACGACTAACAAAACATGCAATAGCAATATGTTCCGACTGAGATCGAGAACATGTATAAAAATGTTGAAATTTTTGCACAACAACACTACTGTCATAATCTCGGGTCGACGGTCGTTTCGATCGCCAACACCAGGATGCGTTGTCAATGCACACAGACGATTTGTCAAGCATATATAGTATTTTTGTTTTCATCATCTTTCATAAATTTGTTTGGGCGTATTAATAAGACGAAAGAAAAAAGAAATTAGTTGCAAAAATGTCCAAAAGCGAGTAAGTACAAATGAAATTACATTTATTCAATCAGATTTATTTCAACATACACTTTCTGCAAAATTTAGTTTAAAGATTATGCCAAAAGCGATTGTTTGTGAATGTGAAGACAGCACTTTCTCTGGTGATATTACCGTCTCCAGTGGATGTATTATTCATCCCCGTGTGACAATAATTGCAAAATCCGGACCAATCATCATTGGTGAAAATTGCCTTATTGAAGAATACACAACAATAATCCATGATACCGGCGAAGATACCAGTTCGATGACTAAGCCTCCGGTTTTGGTAATTGGTGCAAATAATGTTTTCGAAGTTGGATCACGAGTGGAAGCGCTGAAAATTGGTGAAAAAAATCTATTTGAATGTAAATGTTTTGTATCGTCGGCAGTAAAAGTGACAAATAATTGCATCATTGGTGCTGGTTGCCAGCTGATTGGAGAGCAAACACTAGCTGAAAATACCATTATCCATGGAAAAAACTGTGCCGAACGAGAATCAATTGAAAAATCAGTGGTGAGTACACATGATTTTCGACAATGAATCAATATGCAATGCCTCGTTTAAATTATTTTCTTTAATTCCAGTCACATTCACTTCAACTCGTATTTCTACGTAAACTATTGCCAAACTATCATTTATTGCGGAAGGCAACATTCGATCCGAAAAAATTGAAAGGGCACATTTAACGATAGATTTATAAATCGAAAATTTGAAAATAAAAATAAAACAATGCAAATTAAATGAATAAAAACAATTTTAAATGAAAAAAAGAAAAACATGATTCAAAAGCATAGAATTTTTTTTTGTTTGTTTACGTATTGAACGCACCCTGCCTCTGTCATATGTGTCACGGAATTCGATATACATTTGACAGATCACTTTGTTTCGTGTGAACTGCTTAGGAAAGTAAAAATAATCCATACAAAATAAATGAACTAAATAAATTATGGAAAAAGAGCAAGAGATATTAGGCCGGCTTCGGCAAGATATTGTGGATAATAATTTACATGTTAAAGCCATAATTCAGGTGAGAATACGATCAAAATCACATCGTGTGCATACATTTATCAAATGAATTAAATGTTTCTGCGTTGTCACGACAGGACATAACTGGATTTCGTGGCACAATTGAAGAGTTAAATCAATTCAATGAAGCTGGACGGGCAAAATTGGCATTATTACGAAAAAGTATTCATCGTTTAGACGATTATGTGGCCGATTTGAATAATCCAACACTCTCAGCGGAAATTGATTCACATCGTCAACAGTTTTCCAGGTATTGTATTATCATTTTTTAATTCGATCAACACAAGCACCCAACTATAAATTGTACTATACACATATCTTTATTATATCGAAAAAAATCGCGTATGTTTAGAACTTTGCAAGCATTCCGCCGAGCTAATATTACTACAATGTTGGAAATAGAGAAATTGGATAAAGCTGAACTACTTTCAAACAAGACCGAAGTACGTCATCGAACTGTCGGCCAATCGAAACATGCTCAATCTAGTTTGGCATATCAACAAGATAGTGTCACCGAAAAAATGTTATCGATATCACGTCATTTATCGGAGACAACACAAAAGAGTGCGGCCACACTGGAAACATTGGTTGCATCATCGGCAAACGTTGAAGGTACAAATGATGAACTTCACAATACAGCCGGCACCATATTGCATTCCAAAAAATTACTGAAAAAATACGGCCGACGAGAGTGTACCGATAAGATATTAGTTTTCTTTGCATTCACACTTTTCATTGTGGTTGTTTTATATATTGTTCAAAAAAGACTTTTTTAACAAAATATTATTTAGTGTTAAAAAGATGATTTTTGTTTTTTTCTTCTCTCACACTCTCTCTATTTCTTTTTTAATTAATTTATTATTTTGCCCGTTATATATAAAAACAAACGTATTTAAAATAAAATATTATTATTACCTATTATTTTGGTTTTTGGGAACACATATCCGCTGAATAGTTTGAGGGAAATATTCATAATTTTGTGATATGAACGGATTCGAATGAAATGTTATTTTCTCTTTATTATTTATCGCACATAAAGATTAGGATAGTCCGGAATAGGTAATCGTCATGGATATAAAATATTGACTTAAATAAAAGCATGTTGGTTTGCATTTTGTAAAGTGAATTTTTTGATTTTAAATTAAATATCGTTAAAAATGATTTTGATAATTAAGTAACGTGCATCATGTTCGTGCCAAAAATATACACAATGGAATATATCAATATTGATGTAAATTTTCTTTATTTTCACCATAAAAATCACAACATTCCAACTCCAATAAAGAAAATGAAAAATAAACAATCTCTTTCAAACAATAGTTGCAAATTATCAATGAGTTAAACCGCACTCATGCGTACGACAACCCAGAAATGGTATTATCAGTATATTTTTGGCGATATGTTCATTTTGCTGAATGAATGAATCAATGTGTAGGATGGAATTTAATTTGGAGAATTTCACATTTTCATTTCAATCATATCGCCTTACTCAATGAAACTTCACTTTTTGAAGTTTGAATACAAGGTAAAAAGTTACGCACCTTTCAAGCGAAAAGTAAACAATTTATTGAACGGTTGTCATTCTACGAAGTCAACAAAATATCTAACAGATCAGAATCAAATTCTTCCATTTCAAACTAATATACACACGCGTTGGTTTCTACGAGTTCCTCTTTGTTCATTCGATTCGTGGCCCATTTGCCATTACATGAATTCCGAGTAATAATTGTTGTGTGCAAATGTATGTGTGTGTCGTGTTCCTTATTTTCAGGTTAAATAAGAGGATTTAAAAGAAGCAAATTTGTCTGTTGTATGTTGTAGTATATGGCCCATTGAATGAATGGAACAAAAAACGGTAAGAACTCAATTATGCGCTTTCAACTAAAGAGAGAAAAGTCCAAACACATCCAAGTCCATTATTTGAAATGTGTATTGTCTAAAATTGAGGATAATCTCTTTTATTTAGTCCCATTTTGTTGTTGCTGTTGCTAACCACTAAACATTCGTTTCAGCTACCAAAATATGATGTTATTGAATTTCTATTATAGAGCATATGTCAGCAGTTGGATCTTTTCGTTATTGTTTTCAATTTGATGTTTTCGGTTTGTATTTTGTTTTCTTCTTTCATTCATTTTATTTTATTCTCTTTTTTTTTTGAATAGTTACATTTTTTGTTCAATAGTTTCTACTTTTCTTCTTTTTATTTTATGCATTAAGTTGTTGTTATTTCAGCCAGATCAAATGCTAAACGCTGCAAAACAATTCATTCAAATTGAACTGTTGCAAAAAAAAAAAAAAATTAGTAAAAAAATAAGATTTTTTTTCTTTATTTTGTAGTCACCGGCTATTTTGAAATTCTAAAGATATCTTTTAGGTACTAATAACTGCAAAATAGCCTAAATTGTGCATTATTCATTTCATCACCCTGCACATTGGCCACGATAAGCCAAACTAATTATAGCTAGAATATATCAGATCTATATGCTATGTACTATAAGTAACTATGCTATACTATGTGCTGCATAATGTTATAAAAAATGTCATGTCTACCGCTATAGTGCGCTTGCATTGAGTATTTGGCACAGTTATTTTGTTTTTGTTGTTTGTGCACATGAAATGTGCGATTCACATCTTCCCTTGACTATACATATCTACCATAAGTTTGACAATGGTCACATCTTGGCCGATGTGTCGTCGGAAAAATAGCTCTTCAATGGTGTAACTTGATACTCGTTTCAGTTGATCCAACATCAGCATCAAATTTTGTAATCGCAACGGTTGAATTGGTTTCGTAACATTTATGTGAGCTGCCAAATCGGCAATCGCTTCATCACGGTATGTGATTATCTTTGATGTATCTTCCAATTTGGCATTTGTTGAATCATCTTTCGTTTCGTCATTTGCTTCGATTCGGGCAGCTGCATTATACAGAGCTATCGAACGTATGCAATTATATTCGCGACTATCAATATTCATTTCGGCTAATTTACAAAGTATACTTTGAAATTGATTGGCCTCATTGTGGACAAGTGCACTTTTTTCATTATTTTGATAGGCAAATAGCAACGGATTGAAATTAAATTGTAACATATATTGTGCAGCGCCTAATATAAATAGATCGGTCCATGAATGTTCAAGCAATATAAGTTGATCGCCAATTGGAAGCGGGTTAACAAGGCACAACGCTTTAATCCATCGTGTATTCATGAAAAGTAATTGGGCAGCTGTTTCACAAATCCATTCAACGGTTTTTGTGGGTGACATTGGAACTGGATGAAATGGTGACATGACCGATGTTCGATAAGCCGATTGTTCAATTAAACTACGATTCCGGGCGGATAGATCCAAAATGTATGATGGTATCGTTGGCGGTTGTATGGGAAGTGTACGAAATACAAGATCTTGTTGAATCTTTTTAACATCATCCGAACTGATCATATCTTTGCTGCCAATGAACATTGCCATTTGACGGCGAAGCGTTGAATTCCTTGGACCACGTTCATGTTGAACGGCATCTTTGTTCATACCAACTTTAAAGCATTTTTTTAATCGACACGCACGACACTGATTCCGATGGGTTTTGTCAACAACGCAATTGCCCTCCGTTTTTGCTTTGCATACATAATTACGTGATCGTCGAATCGAACGTTTGAAAAAACCAGCACATCCATCACATGCAAATATTCCATAATGCTTGCCAGAACTATGATCACTGCACACTTTACATGGCACATCGTATAAAATTCGACCTAAAATTAAAAAAAAAAGAAAGAAAGAATAGAACATTATATTTTCATGCGGGACATTCAACAATTCAAAAAGTCTTTATTATTATTACAACAACGTTCGTTTCTTCGTTCGTGTGTTTTTTTTTTGCTTCGAAAATAATAAGCAGAAATTGATCTTATAACTTTTGTCTGTTTTCAGTGCAACCTCTCAACATCCTTTTTCTCAAGATGCGAAGATAAGACGAACAAGAATTTATATGAAATTCAATAGCAATAAAGTTATGATGCGTTTGTGTGTGTCTGTGTGTGAGTAAGTTACATCGAAAATAGACTAGAATCGAGTAACTCGGATCCAATCTCTTTGTACAGATTTCACGAGTGGTGGCAGAAAAAGATGATGATGAAAATGATGATGTGAACTTGATTGAAAAATAAAAAACTTTTCTTTTGAATTGTCGTCATGGAATATGAAGTGACGTTGAAACGGCAACCATTGTTTTCATTGCGCAAAAAAAAGAGAAAATCATTCAACATAAATGTTTAACGATGAGAAATCGTTGATTTTTTGAGTGTGAACAATAATGCACCGGATGTTCACTATTTACCCTTTGTCGCTCACTTTTTCATTATTATTTTTTTTCACAAAAACTTGTACCCGAATAGTTCATTTTCTATACATAAAGTCATGGGCTTTTTAAATGGCACTGACATTCCAATATTACATCATATTTTATAATTAAGGACGATCAACCATCATAAATACGTTTGAAATTTGATTCGTCTAGTATTATCGATGCATAATTAAATGGCAAACCGTACCGCATCTTCAGCATTCCACTTTTGTTTCGCTAGGTATAAATGTTTTATTGGGATATGCTGATTGTGTATTTGTGTGTGTGTGTGTGTGCGTAAGAGAGAGAAAGAGATAATTATCTTTTTTTAAGAAAGAAATAGAGCGAAACAAAGACGGTAACTTTTACGTCAATTTGATTTCCAAAGCGAGTGATATATGAAACCATTGAAAAGCTAAAAGTTGGTAATTCAAAACGACGAATATGAAAACAAACGTTTTGTTCCAACATATTTGTAGCTCAATAAAGTATTCATGATTTTCAATTGTTATGGCATTGATGTATGCTTTGGCATTTTTGTGTCCTTTTCGAGAAATTGAAACTCAACATTCTAATATTACATATTTTTGGCTATTTATTTCAATGGCATTGTTGATTCGAAAGCATATTGCACAGAAGCTGTGTTGATTTGAAACAACAACATTTGACGTTTCTACAAAAATGGCTTTTTGAATTTGAAAGTTACAAACATTTTCTGTCAATGCGGCATTTTTTGGACGATCAAAAAAATATATTTGATATTCTAGTGCGTACAACGTCTAAACATATATCGTTGATGTAATTATATAACCGATATTTGAGCGTACACATTTTACACTTAACATTATCAGCCGTAACGATTTTAATTTAAATAACTGTTAACCGCTTAAAAGCTCTTGATGCGAGCGCTTCATGTTGTTGTGTTTTTCTTTTGATTTTCTGCTGTGAGAATTATGTGTTCCGGCGAATGTTTCACCCGACCAGGGTGCCGATAATATTGTAATCATACATATTAGCTACCAACACTGATATTCGATTCCTTTTGTGCGTTGCATTTCTTTTTGATAAAATGGGGCAATGAAATTCAATACCATAAACGTTAGTCATTTCTGGTAAATTATAGTGTTTGAGATCAAACGCTTTTATTTTGCTGCACTTTTTTTTTCTCATTATTGTTGGGTAAATTGAAAGAATGAAATTGCCTCAGTGCGAAACAAAGAACCGGATATTTACATATACGTCGAATAGAACGTTTACGCTCCTTGAAATTGATTGTTCATTTTGTTAACTGTTAGTCCATGATTTCTTGATAATTAAATGTGTGTAATAAACATCGTTGCAACAACTTCAACTTAAATTATGAGACGTTTCTGACATTTTTAAAACACATAAATCATTCCAGTATTTCGGGAGCCAAACATCTGACATTATTTTTGGTTTATGAATTCATTTACTTTGTAATTACGGTTAAACTTAGTACTTTAAGTACAGTGTTTATTCTTATTCGGCTCAAAATCACAAACTATTTTCTTTTTTCTTTTAATCGATTTTTCTTATTTCGATTTTTCTCGTTTTCTCTCTTTCAAATACAATGTCTCCGTTTCGCCATGGATGTTTAAAAACGGCTTACAAGTTATTTAGGCTTTAAATTGGATGCTTATTCAACATTACCTGCTTCTTAAAAAAATATTTTCGATCATCTTTTTTACAAACGTCCTTTTGTGCAATTGTTTTGTTCTTTTGTACGCATGGAGAAAAGAAGCAAAGAAAGAAAGTTAGAGAGAGAGAGAGCAAATGGAAAGAGAAAATCGTTTTTGGTATTAACGAAACAAATACAAGAATTATTGGGCCCATAGCAACTAATTGAGCAAGAGTACATCATATCCTAGATAATATTTCATTTAAACTAGATCAATCGTTTTATTCGAAGCATTTGGCAATTCAGCGAAATTATCTTCGGTTGATTTCTTTTTTTCGTGGAAAATGTTGTTTTGTTTATAGATTTCTTTTTTAATAAAAGTTTTTTTTATTGAATTTCCACAAGATAAAGTTGACGTTAATCTCATATCTGGAATAAAAAACTAGCATTTGCAGCAAATATATATATATATATGTCAAACGGAATGCAATTTGCGCACTTATAATGTTATTTTCATGGAATGACCTAAAATGCTTGTACAATATAAAAGATTTTCTTTTTGAATGAATGATGACTTTTAACTTTTAAAGCATGACTCACTGCATCGATTTTTTGCCAAGAATATATTCCAACAGCTAAAATATCCGTTACTCAAAACATTTCGTTTGTTTTTTGTTGAAATTTCTGTCTGTTTTTAACTTTTTGCTTTTTTCTTTTACGAATTGAAAACTGATCTTTGATGAGGATCGAATTGCTGAGAATGGACAAAAGTCGACTGATAAAAATCACTGAACCATTGAAGAAATGACAAAAAAAATCACCAAGATTTGACACATCCGAATTAAATCGGAAAATCGCCAAAACATCATTTCTTAATATGGTTTCTTTTCAGAATAAATATTTATCAAACGTTTTTCCATTACTTACTTGATGCAGAATTCATTTTCAACTAAAAATATATGATATTCCAAATAAGAGAACAAATTTAACTTTTGATCGTAGATCACACAATAAAAGAAACTGGTATAATTCACTGGTAAAATGTCCAAAAAGTCTCTCGCAATGATTTCTTTTTTTATTTATTTTGATATATTATTCATCATTTTCATTACAATGTCGAAGGAAAAACACATTCAATTTGATCACATTGGTTTTCATCAATTATTTTGCAAAGCAAATAAGAAATAAACAAAACACAGTCAAGTAAAGTCAATCTGCGACGAAACTTTTCGCTAAATGACGTGCGCAATCTCAGTTCGAATGATTTTTGCCAGCAGTTGATTGAATTTCTGGAATCAGTTTTAAGCCAACACACACAAAAAAAAAAGAAAAATATCCATTTCACAATACAAAAATAGAGACACCATGATTTTAAGGACGAAACCATTAGCTAAGAATATTTGATTTTGTGAAAAGGCAGAGTAAATCACGAAATAAACAGCAACAACAACAATATGTCGACAAGTAGAAGAGGGCGTTAACTATTCCATATTGTTTTGCCCTTCGTTTTTCGATGGCATTGTTTGTGAATCGCATCAAAACTTATTTGGGGTCACAAAATATTACTCTCTATCCCTAAATAGTTTACCGGTGAACTAAAAGGTAGAAGAAGAACGACAATACCAAAAAAAAAACCGAATATGAAAAGATAGAATGAACGATAGAGACAGATGATGTCTGTCAAATGGTACTGGAACGAATTTTGAATGATGCGAAGCAAAAGTGGGATGGGAATACGAACATCTTTTAATAGGAACTTGTTTATTGTCCCTTTAACTGATTCGGATTTGTGCTCATTTCATTCATGCAATACTGAATGTATATGTATAGTGGTAACACACATCCCCACCCCGAATTTTAAGCTGTTGAAATTTTATGATTTTCGCCTTTTTCACTTTGTGATTTAGCTTTGTGATTTATGAACATTGAAAATTCCCTTCAATAAAACTCTCAACTGAATGACTGCAACAGACGTTTTTTTCATATTCACATTGAATTTAATAGAGATAAGTACAGATTTTTTTCCTATATCGCTCGATCTAAGGCAACAACCGACGAAATATGGGAGTCGCTAAATAACATGTAGAGATGCTTTATTTAGTGTTTGAACTGTTCATCGGTACTAAAAAAGGTTCTCATTTGTTCAAAATATAGTGCATTGTTGATGTAAAATCATACAGTACGGTATCTATCATACGGTATAAATTGAATATCACCAAGTATCGAGTTATGATCGGCTCTTGGCTGTACTGTAGTTTTCCATTCACGGAGGGTTTATTTTATTTAATAGTGATGCGTTGTAGGCAAAGCAGTCGATTGAAATCACTTAGTTTTGTTAAGCGTTAAAATTAGCTTGGAATATAAAAAAAACCCGAAGGTTACAGTACTCATCCCAAATAATTAGAATCAGTGCGCGTCAGTTAATAGATTGACGTTTGTATTATGCATCAATTCACGCATAGATAAACGAAAATGCTTCGGCTTAGCCAAGAGAACGAAAAAAAAAAACTGAAATGGAAAATGTTGCAGCTGTCTATTGTAGTTTATTGTCAAATATGTTGTATTTAAAGAGTCTAAATAAACTCATTCGAAAGAATGGTTTGACTTTATGTGCCTTTCCTCTCGCTTCTTCAATTAACAGACAACTTTTGAAACTTTTATATAAATGTATATTATGTATCCTGTTGCATTTATAATAAATTACGCTCGCAATAGCATGATCATTTGTAGAGAGATTCCATGTTGTTGTTGTTTTTTCGATGAAATTTTCAGCTTGCAATATTCCACAATGTCAACCATTTTCATGTTGATTTGGTCTCTAAGAGTTAAAACACTATTTTCGGTTCGATTTTGTTATTCCGAACAAAGAGCGAAATATGAAATATTGATCTTATATTTGAAACCATATTCGTTTCGATGAATAATAAATAGTGTCATGAACAAAGTCAAATGAAATGTTGCACCGTTAAACATGGTGAAAATACTGAATTTCTCGTATTTTTTGCCAACAACGATGACACCTTAACACAATAACCACCATTTTTCTTTTCAGTTTAACATTACGAAATGCGTACGTGAGGAATAGTTTCGATTTTAAATCAATCGAATCTGTGTCAAGTCATGTCTGTTTCAAATGTGATTTCGTGTTTATTGAATTATCTAATTGGATAGGCATTTTTTGTACAAAAAAAGAGAGACTTTTTTTTGGCAGGTCATCAAATCAATTTTAAATGCAAACAACGTCTGTTTTTTTTTCATTATCTGAATCTCATTTTATTCATTCGCTATTGAGTATTTTTTTTTTTAATACAATTTACATTTTGCAATAAACAATTCTTGTTTCGTGTTTATCTTTTTAAAAATGTGAATCTACTACTTGTGTTTCGTGCAGCATTAATATTTTATTTCATATTTTGCTAAAAAGAAAGCAGAGAGGAGAAAAAAAAATTAAAATGTTTCTATTGGAAAAAATACAAGTTCATAGGGAAATTGTGATTTTTTGTTGAGTATTTTGTTTGAAAGCATAAGTGTGTTTGTGTAAATATCGATTTGGTTACACATATAAACAAACAGAAAACAACGTACAAAGAATATAGTAGTAATAATAATAATAATAAATTGCTTCACATGTTTGAGCAAAAAAAAAAAACGAGAAAAAACTACAGCAAAAAATAGTCGGAACGTGTTTAAACTTTGTTGAAGCTGTAACTAAAGCCATCCGGAGTTCTGCTCAAAGATAATTTACCTGAAAGAAGAAGAAAAAACAAAACAAATGTATATGTTATTAATTAATGAACATTCTGGAATGGACGCTTTTTCAGGGGGTGATAAACTAACCTGGTGGTTGGAATCGATGTGGGTTTGGTGTTGTTGATTGATATTGTGCAATGTAATTAACGTTGTTCAAATTATTGTATTGTTGTGGTTGCGGTTGTTGAACGTATTGTGGTTGTGGTTGTTGAGGAACGGGTTGATGAACGTAGGAAGATTGGACTGGGACACCACGCGAGTTACCTTCAAAGCTTGGATCGTTGTACCGTGGATCATATTGGCCATCATCAAAACCATCAGCACCACCCAAATCGTAGTTCTTTGCATTGTATTGAGCTGCTTGGACGGCAGCCAATTGAGCATGAGCTGGTGCTGGTGGTGGTACTACAAATTAAACAACAACAACAACAAAAACACATGACATTAATTTATGATGAATGGGCGGTGAAGAAATCCGATTTTGAATCGAGACTCTTTCAGGGTGAAAAACTAGTGGTTACCTGGCAAATGGTCACCGGTTGCTTGGAATCTAAAGAAAAAACATTAAAATATAAATGTTAGCACACACATTAAATAAGCATATACATTTTTTTTTTTTTTGATTTTGACTTTCCACACTGTATCGAAATAATAATTCCATTACATTGTTATTCTCATTTTCGCAACGCTCGTGTATTTGCAACAAAGTACTCGCGAAACCGGTTAAAAAAATGTACCGTAAATAACTTCTCTCATGGCTGATTGATTATATCGAATATTAGATAAATTGGTAATAGAGAATGTACCGAAAAATATCAGACACCAAACGAAATCGCAATTGATATTACGTTGGTTTTCTCGCCTACGGATCCTTTGTCTTCAGCATTTTGAATAGAGAGAGAGAGAGAGAGAGAGAGAGAGAGAGAGAGAGAAACACTAAACTCCATCACATTGGCATACCATACATTAAACGTTGCACTTTTTTTTATCTCTCTTCTGTGCATTTCCGTGATTTGTGTGCATTTGAAATGGAGTTAATTGCATAAGTGGAATAATGTGCCAGTTGTTTCATCAATTATGATTTAAATTTGTGATTGCAGTTTACACGGATTTTAAGCTATGTTTTGTTTTTGTTACAAGATACAGAAGAGATGAAAGCAAAAAACAAAACAAATGTACAGTTCGAATTAGATCCCGAAGCCATATTTTGCATACATGATGATAAAAATGTAGCAAAGTGTTTCGCTTCGATGTACAGTGAGCTTGTATGTTTTCGTTTAGTAAATGCGCGCTTAAATAAAATTGCAATTTGAAATTCAAACTCAATTAGAAATACATACAGAAGAGATGTCTCACTATTAATTACAAAATTACATAAATGCATTGAGTAATTAAAGCTTTCAGTACATCGAGGTGATGGTAATGATGACATTACATCTCCAACTTTTACTAATTTCACCATTTGCAAATCGTTTCTGTTTTCAATGTTTAGACCATTTTCAATTTCTCCATTTAATCATACTGTATTCTATCAAGTTAATTGCTGTTCTGCATGTGTTGATCGACCATTTTGTGAGTGTGTTTGTGACGAAATTTCTATCAATTTGATTGGAATGATTTATATTGTTAAAGAACACACAATTTTTGTACATTCACCTGAACTAATCACATGGTATCAAGAAATCTATATATCTATGTAATGCACATAGTATAACGTCTTTTTTTTATTCGATCCATTACCTCATAAGCCACGTAATAACTATTATCATATATTATCATGCTGGCTGGTTCGCTGATATGTTCAACATTTAACATTCAACACAAAAATCAAGTTGTTGTTGTTGATATGTGTATATGGGTGCACGGGCTTATTTTGTAAGCTTACTGTTTTTTTTTTATTTATCACTACTGGCCTATGCATTTGACCAGGAAATAAGAGACTTTCTATCAACAAAATGTCGAACATGATTATATGCAACCAACGCACACGGTCAAATTAATTCACTTCATTCGCTGTGTGAACGAGTCCGCTTAAAAGTGGATACAGTTTCCTTTTCTCTTGTAAATATGTAAAATGTACAATGCTTAAATGGTGTACAACAGTACAATGCGGCCGTTGATCAACAAAAAGTTTCACGTTCTCGTCCATTACACTCCTCTCTATGCTATTTATATTCCGTTCAATAAACGTAAAACTGTCCATTTCAAATTGAGGAGTCAACGACGCGTTAAACTTTCATTTTTCCAAACCGGATTATTTGCCAAATCTATTATCAATTGATCACTATTCTAGGTCCTTTATTTAGTCTGTGGTCACCGAAAGATCAATATTTTTTTATTATAAAAATGAACTTGCTAGAAGAAATGTGAAAAGATTCCTTATTTCGCAATGAAGAAATAATTTTAAGGAAAATTCGATCGATTCGGCTTGTCGGCCGAATTTAAGAAAATGTTCTGGATTTCGAATACAGGAAGTAGTAAATTCATCTCAGAATGTCCATTGGAATCTTGATACAGTGACATGGACATGTGATTCAAGCACAAATTTCACATGATATTCATGAAATCAACTGTAATTCCTCGTAAGATCATAGCTTAATGGATAAATGGGTCTAATTTTTCTTACCCGTTCTTTCCGGCCGTGTATGAAATGCTGCGTTTCTGTCCGTTTGGATCGATGTAACTATAAGATCCTCGGCGAGTTCCATCTGAGTCAGTTTCCTCTTTAAAGTCTGTCCCATCTTCTTGTACCTATATTAAGGCAATGAGTTTGTTTTTTTTTTAAATGAGGATGATATTGCTACTGATCGGTCACTCATAATTGTGACTACGAAGAAATGTAGTCTTGAAAAGAACCTACATATGCAGCGCCAAATTTTCCATCACCCGACAGGTAACGTTGCTCACTAATAATAGCAGCCGTTTTTGGATCAGGATTGTATTGACCCTGTACACTGAGCGCAAGCACCGATGCTAACACAATCTATTCCATCACACAATGCCAAATAGAACAAAAGGAAAAAAATATAGAACACAATATATTAATTAAAAATTCACCATCAAGATCACAGCTTTTTAAAAATAGAACTTTTCCATTTGATACTCACAAAACGAAACATTTTTCCTCGTTTGAAAAAATCTAACACACACAGACACAATTAGAATGAATAAGGTAGAAAAATTTGAATTCACGTTAAAATTCAAATTTAAAACAAAAAAGACGGTGCACTATATATATTTTTGTAAACTGCTATTGATCGCAAATGTATAATAGCCTTTACGGTAAAAATGTGTATATAGTACCGATGAAACTGACCGATCGAACGAAAGAAACTGAATGGTGAGCTATTGAATGAATTTTGGTTTATATATCAAAGTATTGAACCTTGATTACCCCGGCCTATTGTTACAATAAAAAAAAGTGAAGCAGCCAGGCCACCGTAATGGACAAGAAAGTGTAAACACACATACACACACATATATATTACCATTTTTAATCATTTTTATGCCATGCACTATTATAACAGTGCGCTGCGCTGCGATTTAGCTGTTTATCATAATATTTGTTATGGCGCTATATTTTCATGTTCCCTTTCAGCGCATATTTTCTTCTTTCGCTCTTACCTTTTTCCATATGCTCAAGCGATACACACAATGACCGTTTGATATCGAATAAACGAGTTCGTTTTCTAATACCTACAAATAATAAACACGAATGAGCAAGAGAAGAAAAAAAAAACAACAACAACAACAACAGCAACAATCAAATACAATTTTCGCAAAATTTCATTTCATACTTGTTTGGATTTGGTTTTTTTCATTGATTTTGATATTTTTCGGTTTCGAAATCGGGACTGTGATAAAAATTAGCAAGCATAAAACAAAAATGTAATGCCAATAATAACAATTTTCGAACTGCACAACGGTTGGTGGCCGTTGTTATTGTTGTTGGCTCTCTTTTTGGAACCTAGACTGAAATACACTTTGTTATTGTTATAAATTTTGTGGCTGTTATTGTTGCTGACCAAATTGTGTATAAGCGCACAAGCGACAGCGAGCGCGCACGCTCATTTGCTCGCTGTCGTTGTCCGAGCATAAAGACTTGTTTTGGCTAGTTAGCTAAATTGTGTATGCGCGCAATGTACATATGTCTGTGTGTGACGTATGCGTTTATGCATGCACTTCATAGAGAGCAATTATATAATATATATAACACGTCTAACTAAAATGATATAATAGCAACACTAGCATAACGAACTGTACGCCTGAATATTTCCTATTGCTAGAGCCACAAGACATATGTGTATCTAATGGCTTTGTTTTCTCTTGTACACAATATGCTGAATCTATTGCAAGACTGTATCTAATTTTCTTTGAATTTCATTTTTTCGATTGGTCACTTACGTTTTAATTTCAATTACACTTTGATAACTCACCAATCAATCTTGGTGTAGTGCAATCATTTTTTTTCTACGGTGAGAAGTTAATGTTTTATTGGTGTTGCATATTTCTTTGGTATGTTGTACATACATTTAATGAGAAATAGCGCGTCGCCAATTGATCTCCTTCTTTTTATTTGGAGTTTTAATCGAAACGAAAGTTCTACTGCATCTCATCTGCATGCCTTCGCATAATCATCTCGTGTGTGTGTCGGAAAAGAATTCTGATGGCATTAATCTTGATGTATCATTCTTCATCTTGATTGCCTCTGCTGGGTGATAAATTGGCCGTGCATCCACACAACAATGCTATACATGTTCGTCCGGTTTAAATCGATTGTTTACCTTCGAGTCATCAACTCGTTCACTCTTTGAACTTTTCACCATTTCATCTGTTGCACGAAATAACGCACGCAAAAGCAGATCATATTTTATTTTCGGCCGGTATAAATCTCATATAGAACATGCACTGCTAAAAACACGGAATTAATGCTACAGTTTCCTTGTTATGTGTGTTAAGTGTTAAGTTAACGTACAATTGATGAAAAATAAAACTTATGGGTACGGCCGGTCCGGTATCGTTATTAACTTGCTTGAAGTTCACCTTGAATAAGAATATCTGTGCTGTCCTTACAATCGTTTCACTTTCGAAACGTATGAAAGGTGTATTGAGCCTTCTTAATTTTATAATTAAATACTATATAAGTGGAAACTTGAAGTTTTAGTATTGAAATCGAACGACTCTTTTTTATATTATCTCCGCAAAGGAAATGGCAAAACAGATAAATTTTACTTCCAGATTTTATTGAGAAAATAAAAATTGTACTTACCGTCAAATTTCTATATCAAAAAAATATATCTGCGAATAGCATAAGAATGATTTGACAAACATTCATTTCAAACAAGCTAAATACCACATTTCGCATGCAAATTGTACAAGATATAGAACAATTTCAGTTGTTTTCCGCAACATTTTGTTTTTTCCCCTCTCAATGTAATATATATGATACATTTCAAGCATTTTACATACCACCTTCAATCATAATAGTAATAATATCAACCAAGCTAAATTGTATCAAAAACGGTTCGCGTCATTTATGCCAGTCTACTATCTCTGACGAACAGAAAATGTGAATACTTGTTTGCAAGCCCGATGAAAAATTCCATAAATAAATAGAAATTAATTGTAGTCAACTTTCTGAATTCGATTAAATCGTAGCATTGTATTGAGTTTGATTGTAAACTTGTTTTAAACTTAAATTATTACTTTCTTGTCACATTGGTAAAATCATACATCCCTGTATTTATTTTAACCACAAATATTATAACACATAAAACACACATTGAAATACATTTATAACCAAATAGATAAAAAGCACAAACCTGCTCCAATTGAGTTGCTTCCATATGAAATTTTAATTAATGATAAACATCTTTATATGCCAATAATATCATTTGCCCAAATTAACTTTTTGAACATGAACGCCAAACATATTTATTTGTTCTTTGTTTTTTTTTTTTTCGATACAAGTGATTTTCATGCATAACATTACGAAATTATATTATTCAACGGTATCGTTCTCTCCTACCCTTCATGCCAGACCATAAAAATGGCAAATTTTTGGCCAAAAATAATGACGATATAAAATCAAAAATCAACACAAATTTTATGAAAGCCTCTTTCTATAGTTCTTCAGAAAATTGTGGTAGAGAGAAATATGCTTGGGTTGGATTGAATATTTGATTTATCGGTCGGGGGACGAATGTAACGTCTATTTTATTAATATAGGGTTGTTTGATGTGCGACAAGGCACTCATACACAATTATTCTCACATTGAGCACAAAGAACCATTATAGGCCATTTAGCATCACCTCTACATTATTCTTGCATACATTTTCAATGGACTCACACAATGCTCATTTCCATTTTGCTGCTGCATTTGTGTTTGTTAATATGATGATAATCTTGATGGCTTGCATTCTCATTCACAATATCTCCTATAATCCATATTATCCCAAAAGCTATTGCCTTGGTGCCATTTGCCGTGTATGTGAACGTAAACTACTCAATAATATAAATTAAACATTATATAAAGAGAGAGATAGAGAGAAAGAATGAGATAGAAAAAATGGTGGAATTCAGCAATGCGTGCATTTGGTTCGTAAAATGCTTTTCACAGAAAAAATAGCAATCTTCAAACCGTTTTTTTATCTCTTCTATACGCCATGCTCTTGTTTCTTTTTGATTTACGGAATGTGAACTATGTATATAAAACCAAGTAAGAGATCTAAAAATTTTTTTAACTTGCCGACTTTTTGCTTTTTATGAACAGAAAAGCAAATTAAAGTATGCTAGAATGGCTTTAGATTCCAACGATTTTTCGGAGTACAATATTCCTTTATTTGTTTTCTTCGGAAATAAGATCAATTGGTTCTTTCAAATCAAGCAGGGAGTTGACGCAGACGAAAAAAAAAAACATTAGCAACATTACAATACAGCTATATTTTATATTCAACATTCTTCAAAAACTATCCAAACCATATGCTTCCCATATCCTCCTTTTGATAAAATTGCAACTGAATCCTTCAAAAGTTCTAAAACTTATAGATTTGACGATCAATATTCATGATCAACAGATCATATATAACAAAAGCATTCAAATGTTCAACCAAATTTTGTTGAAGAAGTTATACCTTCAGTTTGTTTTTCAAGTCAATGACATACTATTTTGCTGTAATAACATATTAAGGTTTAGTTCACTTTCTTTTGGTTTCATTTTTTTTGCAGAACACATGGAGATATCATCATCGTAATCAAAGTGTGGCCGAAAGAAAAAAAAACTAAACAAATAAATATAATCATATGGTTTTCACTTTCATTTTTTTCTTTATTCGTACATCTTCGATTTAAAAAAAATTCATATTTGATTCAAATACACCAAACAAAAAAAAATTAATAATAATTTTCTAATCCAAGCTGCCATAAATAACCCGTTTGTGTCTTGCAGCACAATCTAAAACGCTATATACACACACACCTAACGAGCCGTTTTGTTTAAATGAATATTTTATTCATAACAACAAGACGTCTCTCGCAGGACTCAAACGTATATTAAAATTGTTTTGTCGTTTACATATGATTTAAATCTAAAAATATTTATACATTTGTAAATTCTATACATGTCAATGGTATGCTACAATTAGAAAAATTCGTACATTTTATCATTATGCAATTTGTTAATGTTAGATTTCCGAGACGTTTGAAGAGATTTTTTTTGTGTAATGAAACCTATTTTTTTTACATATTGGAGTATATATTAGCAAAATCTAGCACCAACGATTATATCGATCGTAAACATCCTTGTTGTATATCGATTTTTATTGAAATCAATTGCGTTTAGGTAGAGATGTCATTGGAGGAGAAAGAAATCTTGTCTTTAATTTAAATCTGTCTCACATTACTATTTCACTATGACTTAAAGTCGATTTTGTGCGCTGGATGACTCTTTTCTTTGTTTTACATTATTCTGTGTTTTTTTTTTTGTTTAAACCGATGATCAATGGACAAAAACAATTTAAAAGAATTCCTTTTTAGACTATTTGCGTAAAATTACACATGGTGATAAATAATACTACACTTACACCTATACTATGCTTTCTCTTAGAAACGAAAAAAAAAATGCTTAGATCATTCATTCGGCACATAAAAACAAACTCATTCATTTCAAAGCTTTAACTTCATTTAGATGAATTTGGTGACAACAATCAGTGTAATTGATATTGAATAGATTTTTGGATTTCAAATTGATGTGGATTTGATGGAATTTGTCGTTTTTGTGGTGGTAAGTATGGTAATGATACTTTTGGATGATTCATATGAATGGTTTCTACATTTTTTCGTGTCATTGTGTGATATAAATCCAATGGTTGTGCGTCAAATGTATGACTATGGCTGTGCTGTGATAGTGTTGGATGTGATTTAAATGTCGTTGGTATTGAGTCGATTGATGGTGGTACGAGATGCGCGTGCACTCCAGGTCCAGGTGCATTGTTGTGCTTTTCAATATGCAAACCGTGATTATGTCCAACATTATTGCTGGGACCACCATAGGTATCTTTTGTGATCTGTTCAAATGGCCCGAGCTGAAATGTATATGTGGATGTGACCGATGATTTGATCGGTTTAAATTTTGGAATATAGACATTTGGATCATTGGGTATATTGTATTGTGTAATGTGTTGTGTTAATTTTGAATCTGGTATGATATTGTCATCGTCAATTGTTTGTATCGAATTGTCTTTAAGTGGTAATTTATTCGGTAGTTTTCGTAAAAGAAGTTGTAATGCTTCGATCGCTTTTTGATTAGCATCTTGTGTCGTGAGTTCGTTGTCTGTCTCAAGTCCAGCCGTTCCGTCATGTTTTACGTAGTGTTGCTCTTGTTCTAGAAAAGAGTTTCGAACGATTAGTTAAATGCATAAATGACAAATTGACTCATACAAAATTGGCCAAAACCTAAACAAAAGATTCAGTGCTCAGTAAGCACAAAAGGCGATAATAAAAAAAATGTGTACGTGTGTTGGACATCTCAATCGACATTCAACATGCAAAACATGTGCCTAATTATTATTTGTCACGCGCAATACAAAATTCAGTGCAAAAATTCATAAAACAGTTGAAAAGAGTGAAACAATGCAAAAGAGGCAGAGTGTGTGTGAGATAGAGAGAGAGTGACAGAGAAAAAAAAAACAAGTAAACAAAGTAAATATGGTAGATATGGTACTTTCCTTGGAATCCAACAGATATTTATCATCATCGCACTACATTTAATTTGATAACAAACAATTGAATAATTTTGCAATTTTTTTCTTCATCTTCATCTTCTTCTTCTTCTTCAAAATATGTACCGAATTACATTCGTCAAAATCTTTCGTAATTTTTAGTATATCCATTTCATTTTTTCGACGTAATTTTGTTTAATTTTTTTTTTTTTTTTTTTTCATTTTTTCTTTTCGTGACGATTGATGATTTCGCGACTCTTTTATATTCATTTGGAATAAGATTTACCTTTTCTATCTGTGCTTATGTAATTCGTAATGTGCGAATGAGGGGTTTCAAGAAGCGGTGGCGGTCCATAGTGAGCGTGAGCAACTGGCGGTATATAATGATTGTCATAGGCAACGTCTACCGGTAAATATGGGATTTGAGGTTCTGGTGCATAACCAGTTATTTCATGTGGCTGAGCATACTCTACTAGTTCATCATGACCATAGCTTGTGAAATCTGTAGTTGTGATATGTGTGATTTGGTATTTTGTATATTTTTGTGAATAAGCAAAGCAAAGCCAAAAAATAATAATAAAAAATTTCTCATTTGTGAAATGTGTATGGCAAATGTAAATTGCAAAAAGAAACTGCTGTCCAGTGCTACCATTAATAACATACCTTCATGTGGATGACCACCATGTCCAGATGATGCAAAGAATTTGTTATAATGAGGTTTATGTTCTGGCGGCAACAATTTTGCTGACAATGCAATTTTTTTACCAACATTCGTTACAGCATCTCCAGATGCGGCGATTAACTGTCAATTGGACATTTATTTATGATAAATTTTACTGGATTTTCGAATGATTTGCATTTTTTTTTTCTTTGTCTTACCTTGCCACCACTACTTAAAGCATATCCACTGCCTTTGATCAATTGACCCTTAATTGCTGTTACGCCTCCGGTTATCGCTTTCACTGCTTGGAATAATGTATTCAATATGTTCTTCTTCAGCTCCCATCCATCAAAGTGAATTTCCTTTTCCTAAATGAAAAAAAAAGAGTGAAATGAACATTTGGTAATTATATATGGCGTGTTTGCAATTTATTAATTTTGTTAGATAATGAAAAATGTGGATCAACAAACCACTGGCGGTTTTTCATGTGCAAAAGTCTTTGATGATGATGTTCCAGACGATGCTCCAGCCGATGAAGCCGATGCTTTTCCTATCGATGACGTGATTGACTGCAATTATTTCAAACATAAAATGTTATTATGCGAATTAGATTTGTTCACTTTTATGTTTATTACAGATATAAGTTTGAAGGCAATCAAATACTTGTTGGTATTTTGAGTAATATATAATTCTAGATGTAATTCAGTTGCCGAAAGCACTTTGACTGTAAATCGATCTTGACACCATCCACAATTTTATGATTGGTATGAATGTAAATCAGTTGGTAAGTATGGTTTTTTTTCACTTTTAGTAGTGAAAGTATTTGTCGCAATAAAATGGTAACTACGTCGATGAACTATTTTATTCAACGCTGAATAATAATGATAATGTAATATATTTCATTGACTTACGCTTTTGATTTTTCCTAAAAAGTCGGAGCTAGCTCGTTTCGGTCGAAAATGAATGGCGTTGCTTTCATGTGGATATTTTCTCGCATCGATCACATTTGAGCACTCTATCATAATCAATAGCATGCAAAAAGTTGTAACAAATTTTAACTGAAATGATATAATGGTGATTGAATTAATTTTGGTCTATGGACTATAGTAATAAAATAGAAATTAATCGCTTCGATCAAAATACAAATCACAAATCGTTGTACCAGAAAAAAGAAAATAACAACACTCTTACCAACAAATAGAATCAACAATTTACCAACGAATTTTGTTCATCGAACAAACGAACCAGACAAACAAGCAATGGATTGAGGTTTTACATGAATAAAAATATGTGTAACAATTTTTATACGAATTGCAAACATTCAAACAAAGCATGTAAACATTCAAAAAATCCAATGAATTTTTCGCTACATTTTTTTTCGGGTAAAAATTATTTATTGAAAAATGACTTTTAATACGAAAAAATTATTTGGTCATAGCGCTCCCTGTTGCGAAATATTATAGTGCTGAAATTGTAGCAATAAAATATAATTGTTGTGGGATGACTTTGTGAGCTACTTTTTTTTTCACTTATTCTCACCGTTCATTTCTCAGGTGTTTGCGATATATTGCCATTTAACTGATATCTCAAGATAAAACCCTCTCTCTCTACATCTTTTTTAAAACAGCTGTGTCGCTACCTATCAATTAGAATACCATATGATATGCTCGAAGCAACTGAAACTGTCATTTTTGCTCTGATTTTCAAAAGTTGTATGCATCAAGAACGGCAAAGTGAACGTAGACTAGTTTTATTCCTTTGGCCCGATAAAACCGATCGAATTGTGAACTGAACTGAGCTGAGCAGTACATTGATTTTTAATTAAGCGCATTATTAACGAAGAGAGATATGGCCTTAAAACAAGACCATTGAAGGAGTAATTAAATTTATTATACATTGATGACGGCCTATTGATGCAGCACCATTGCATATTTGGTATTGACGTTGTTACGAACGCGATGTCAAAGAAAAATGATGGAGAATAATAAGAAGAAATACACAGAGAGAAACAGAGATACATAGAGTGACAGAGAGACAAAAAAAAAAACGTCAAATGTTCAGACATCGCACTTTGCCGTAACGCACCGATTAAAAACAAAATTGAAAGCGAAACTATATTTATACGTATATCTATATATATATAAGTGAATGGCTTTCGAATATTTCGATTTTGTTTTTTTGTTTTCTTTGGTATCTATGTTAAGGTGCTGTATGCCGTTTTTTCGTCTCCAAAACATAACTCGTATGTATGAGATGGATTTTTTTCCCCAAGAAACCGGGTCCGGTCGCATGCATGAACCAGATTGAAAATTATTCAATACGATACATTTTCATATTTGAATACGTTTTTTGTTCGAAAAAAAAAAAACAAATAATTTCAGCGATTTAAATGTTCGACGTTAATTCTACAATATACTTATGTATCAATACTGGTAGAATAGTTGTAGTACGATAAAAAAAAACAAGATTTTGAGCCGATCGCAAGCTTGTGTTAAACATTCAACGAATTTTGCATATGTATATGTGAATGAGTGAAAATGCAGTCGCAGCTGAATCGGTGTTAAGGACCTGATTTGCACGTATAGTTTTCGTTTATAACAATATTTTTTTGAATACTTTAATTAAATCATTGCAATTTTTATCAGATGTGAACGGCTTTTTATGTGTTCGCAGTAGGTGCGCCTGCGGTTTTTTTTTTATTTATTTCGTTCAAGTACGATATTATGTTGTCGCTTTGACATTTTCGTAACAGTTTCTTAGTAATTATTATTGTCCAACCTTTGGTGCATGATGGTCGCATTACTTTAAGTATATATTTTTTTTATGCGTACATGCACTTTGGTTGAATTGCCTTTTTTTAAGTGAACAATTTAGAAGATTGAATCATATTTTTGACTTAGATACGATAATGAGCTTAATGGCAAACATGTCGACAATGAGGTGAGCGACGTTTTTGGTGACGTATCACAATCACGCTTTTTTGTTAGTTCATTGCACTTCTTTTTATGTGAACAATCGTCAAGATAAATTTACAGAGAAAATAAAGATATTGACCGAATGCAATTTTTCTTTCTGGTTTTTCCAAAGAGAAATTTCATTGGGGGGCAATGATGTGCGCCACACATCAGAAAAGGTCATTTCAAGAAAGAGAGAGATAGAGAAAAAAAGAAAGAGATGGAGAAAGAAATGTAACGGTCCATGTCCAAATATTCAATTTACCGCCAACTATGATGATGATGTGATTTTTGCATGTGAATGTGGTTAAATGCCATTGATTAGTAAATTGAATATATTACACATTTGTAAATAAATTGAACATTGTGTGGACGCTGTTTCGCTTTCTTTTGAGTTATGTGAAAACGCCGCGATCGAAACACTTCAATAGTATCTTGTTTAAAATCATCATATTTGATATTTTTTTTAAAATATGATAATGAAAAAATTTGCCTATCAATTCTATTGAATATAAAATCTATTCAAAACCGCAAGTGATCTGATGTTTGTGTGTGCGAATGAATGAATGAATGAAAGATAAAGATGAGCACACGCGCATACACATGTGTGATTGTGTGTGTGTATGTAGATTGTTTTGTAAATAATAAATATCATAAAGTACATATGAACAACATGAATTTATTTGGATAGTGTGAAATTCTGAGCAAATGCGCTACCAAATGAGCTTTATCATTAAATTTTATATTTTCTTTCTTTCTTTCCGCCTTCATGTGTTTTGAATAATAATTAAATATAAACAAACGTGTAAACATACAAACATTTGGCGCATTTGAAACAACGAAATGCTATTCGTTATGAACCATACGGAGAAAGTAATTTAGAAAAAATCAGTTCACATCTTGATGTTAAGCAACCGTTGTGAGATATGTTTTAATAAAGAAAGAAAGAAAGAAATGTACGGTTTTCGTTTCCCAAGTACACGATTACGTTTCTTTGCAATTCAATCGCATTTCTTTCACCAGTGAATGATTTTTATCGCGGAGATAAACTCAATCAAATTACTTACATCCATTGTTCGATGCGTCGTAATACCGGTCAAAAATGCAATGTAAAAAAATGAGCTACCGATCAAAAACAAAATTTCTGAGTCACTATTTTAATTTCTGGTTTCACTTTCATTCGTCGAAGAGTGAAAAATGTCAAATGATTTTTTTTTTAAATTTCGATTTTTCGTTTTTGATGCTATTTTAATATTTTTACTTCACTTTCTTTTTGTCAAATATTTAATGCATCGTCATCATCATTGTTATATCACTCTCGATCACTGTTATCAATATGAACAATGATAATATATATAACTTATAACACCGAAAATAATGCAAACACGGTCAATGTAAATTATTCTGTGTCTGTTACAGTTTTCAAACGAAATGAATATCTGAATATGCAATAATATCACTTGAGAGTATTAAGTTTAGATATATTTTGTAGTGCGCGGTTTTCGTTTAAATGATTATATGCACGTGCAGCTGTGCTGTGTGTGCTCTTGTCACATAGCCCCGAATTCAACAAGCGGAAAATTAAGAGATGTGAATTTGCAATGGTTGACGCACAAAACCAGACTGAATCCAACGATATGATCGCCGTTCGAATCCACGCACCAGCATTTCGCTTTCACTATGATTTGTCGGTTCGAATACCAGAGATGACATACTTTGTTGGGTGGAAGCATACAAGCACACGAGTGTGCTAGCTCGCGCTCCGCGTACACACAAGACAAATTTAGTCGCTTTTTTAAACTCTGTTATTAATATTATTATTATTATTTTTTTTTTATTTTTTTTCTTCGCCTGTATAAGTAGGTATACGTGTGGAGAGGTTGAGGTGGTAGTACGATTGGAAATTTCGATGTATAACTAAGACACTTTTTCTTCTTTCTTCCATTTCTCTCTGTTGTGTTTGGTTTCTCTTTCATTTCACACAACCATTTCTATGTATATACATATTGATTTATAATATGGCCAAAGAGTGAAGACGGAATTTAAAACGAATACAGAAATGCGCCAACGATCAAACGAACATCATCAAATCGGAAACACACGTTTCAAACATATAAATTGGAGATCAATTGAGTATGTGTGTGTGTGTATGTATGCATATGTGCAGCACGTATGTCCGTATGTATTTATGTTTCTTTGAAAATCAACATAGAAATTGTTCATTCAGGGTCTGTGATTAAAATATGATGATATGTAATTCAAATATATATGCACATTACACGTTGCCACACAAATTAATTGCATCGAATGAAATAATTAAATGCAATGACAATGAGCAATGAATATCAGTTACGTATTTGTCCGCGGACAAATCCAATCCAGATTCGTTTGCTTTGACTCGAATTTTTTTCTGATGCATCTTAAGGAATGTTAGACCGAAACGGTGAAGAAATCAAAAGAGCAAACGAGAAAATGATATAAATATGAATTATTTGAGACGCGGTGCAAATGCCATTATAGTAATTCGTATGTAGCAATCACCACCACGTGAGCAGGTTTTTCAATTGCATGATTGATTATTTGGACGTGTCTTTTGCATGGTCATTGCATTGTGTATAGAGAGTCTTCTATGTGATGTGATGCTAAATAACATAACGCTGTCTATTCGAAATAAAACCAAAAGTGTCTCATGTCATTCAGTAAATCACGCATCGTGTACAATATTCAATTTTGATGAAAGATGATACAAATAAGACACGCACTCAACAACAACAAAAAAAAACGGATTATGTATAAACGTAACGCTGCCTGTCGTGTATTACAGCATTTGTATTGATGAGTTAATTCCGCTGTTATATTTCTCACCGTATTTATATTAATTTATGGTACACTAGTACACTATATAATTTAGGTAAACTAATTTAGCTATTGTTGTTGTATAAGGTAATGTTTTTTTTGTTTGTTTTGTGCGTGAAAAATGGAGTGAGAAAAAAGTGTACATGAAACTATTAGCTTACTTATGATCCGCAAAAATATGTGCTTTTTTACAAACTATGTATAGCAATTAATTTTGATGCTTAACATTGATAATGAATTATTTTCTTCTTAAAGTTAAGACATTATTTTATTATTTGGCGATAATTATAGCGAAGTAGTAAATCTTTGGAATCATCGATATTTGTTTTAATCTTACTGCAAATAGTGTTGTGGTAATTACCATCGTCATCCACTTTGCGCCCAAATGCCAATTCTAACAAATTGCCATTTTTTTCGTTTATACGCCACCAATCACATGACTATAATTTGATTGCATAAATAAATAGTATGTATTTATAAAAGTTTTGACTATGATTTTATTTTCGCTATCATTTTACTTATTTTTTTTTCGTCTTCTACTTTACTACATCAAATGTTCCTAAGTTGTTTTGTTTTTTTTTCTTTGTTGCTTCGTTCGTTTCGTTTTGCCATCTTCTTCTCCTCTATCATTTGCACAGACACGACGACAATTGGAAAATGTGAAAGCACTGGCAAATCACCATGAGATTTGAGAGATGATTATTTTCAATTCTCCTTCCCAATCCAATTGAATAAGTGAATCAATGAGAATACAAATGCAATAGGTCTTTTGCAAACAATCACAATGGATACAAACGAAAGTAAAATTAATTTTACATATTGCAAAATCAAATCAACAAATTCGCCGATGAATTATCAGAACAACGCCGCATTTAAACCAGTTCTATTTTGAATAATAGATTCATTAAAATCTGGTTTCATTTCATCATAGTATCCGTTTGCGATTAACAATACACACATTTGGTGTGTCGGTAACATTTTCAATCTGAATGATTCATGGTGTACTACAAACGGATTGTAGTTTTGCACAATATGAATGTCATGAATTGAACAGTTTGTCGACCCGCAACCTGTTATCATTAGAAGTGGATACACAACATATGTGTATTCTTTGATGTAATGAATACATACACCGAGAGATGATTTCAAACAGCATCAATTGAATCACCTTTTTTATCAAGTCATAAAATAAATCAGGAACACATCGAACACTGTGATTACCTATGTATATCATGGCTGGCCGAAAGCTGATTTTCTATCGCTCTCTCTTTCTTCCTCTATCTTTTCATGTTTGTACGTAAAATACAACGTAAAAAAAATGTTTAAATGGTATACTCTCTATTTGTTATGGCAATTTTTATTTGAAATAAAAAAAAAACACTACTAACAGATTAAAACACGTACTGCAACATACTCTTGAACTCAAATTGTATAACTGAAGTCGACCTCAGGCAACGATGAATATTGGATTTATTACCCAAGTTGTTACATTATGCTGCAACAAGAAATGCTTACCAAAATGGTATTATACGGGAATGAAATTGGACGACGATTTTAAATGAGAAGAAAAAAAAACCACACACACACAATCGATATATTCATTGATTGATTTTTGGAGAAGTTTGTTAAAACATGAGTATAGAATGCAGAATATTGAAGTTTCTTCCGTCCAGTTGGCAAATATGAAGGACCTATTCAGTATTCACTGTGATTTAGTTCTAGGGTGGTAATGTATTCTTGGGATTAGTCCATATGCAAAGTACATACTTATGACTTTATAACTTTCATCTGCCACATGATCAAAGTTTTGAAATGTACCAAAATTCCTTGCCCTATATCAAGTTTATAATTTTCAATTATAATAATCAATATTGATAAGCAGAAAAAAATGGGGCGATGGACGTTTCGGATTCAACATCCTCGTTACATTTGCTGCAAAATGTGTAATTTTTGTTGGAAATCGTAGCAAAAACCGTTAAATTTTTACTTTTTCTTTGTTGTTATTCGATTTTCTTTGTATACTTGTGGTCAGAATGTGGCAAGAAATTAATTTATGAACTTTAACCCACAAAACTCAAAATGTTCTAAACAAATTATTTTAACAGAAAAAAAATACGAGGGAAAATGTTCAGTGTTTCATGAACTATGAAATTTATGATTAAAGTTTTTATGCTTTTGCACAACAACATCAACGGGCCATTTTCTATAGAAAAAACGCACTAAAAGAGTTTACTAACCAGAGCTAACCAAAAATGTTTAGAAATACACTCCTCCCAAAATACACTTCTCGTCGGGGAGCGACGAGGATAGCGGCGACTTTGGCTTCACCCGAAGGGCTCTTATTTCAACGGGTACTGTTTGCTTACCATCAAAAAGGTCTCAGCCCGGGGACCAAAGGCCCTATTGTTGTCGGCCATCGTGGTCTAACACGGCCATTATGGCAAAAAAAGCATATTTTGACTGTAATTTTGGACATTTTATTGTCAAAATACGAGACCGCTGTAAACCGTGTTGTGATCGTCCGCATTTTGTCACAGAGCCATCATTTCTTCTTTAACATAAAATGCAACGTGACAGATTAAAAAACATACTGCAACATACTCTTGAATTCAAATTGTTTAATAATATTGATTTTATAACCAAAGAAATCATTATGCTGCAATAGAAATGCTCATCAAAATGGTATTATACTGAACAGAAATTGAACGACGATACATACATTTGCTATTTGACGACTAATCTCTAAGACAAATGTTTAATCACTACGTTGTTTAATTCGAATTTATTTTTTTCGATTTTAGAGTTATTTAAAACGACGAAATATTCTCTGAATTTTCAATGTACGACGTTTATAAAGAGAGTATTCATGTTAAATGTAGAAAATATAAAATTGTTTCGCTTGAAAATTCACGCATATTTCCACTTGTTGATAGCGAGATGTGGATGGAACATATGCACGTTTGAAAGGCAATGGTCACATAGTTTTGTGCGAGCATCAAACAAATGCAATACACACTGATGCAGTGCTTCGTAGCGTTCACTTTTAAGCATCCATGTGTTTCTTGAAAACGTTCGTTGATCAAAATGTGAAACACACACGTTTAATCGTTGCAATGTTGATTTTGTAATGCCTTTGAATATCACCTAATCGTGCATTACGATGCAATTTAGCGCCACTCAAATGAACTGGACATTCAAATATTTTTCCATTTGTTGCACGGCCTTGCATTCCATACACAAATTAACCATCGACGAAACATTGAACTGACAACGGGTCATCGTAACCGGAAGAAATGCTGTGGATGCTGCAATCAAATACAACAATCATTTGATTTTATTTTGTACACTGTTAGTTTTTTGTTTGTAATTATTTATTTTACATAAAGTACGATCATAAAGTGCTTTTATCTGATATTTAAAAAGAAAAATTAGTGGGTTTTTAATGGTCTAATTTTGAGTGATTTACTCTAAGTTTATTACTGTGGATTCATTCAAAATTCGATTTAAGAACAGTTATTTTTTATAATCTAAAACCATCTTCCTAGCCATCAAAATATTTGTATCTTAAATCCGTACTTTGTTTTTTTCTATCTTTTTTTACAAATTTTCAGTATCAAATTTCATACATATTCGTTCATTATATGAACTGACTCCGTGATTGGCAAGGTTGTTATCACTTAGAGACCTTTTCACTTCTATGTAAAATGCTACCTCATATAAAGATCGTGACTGCTTATCTCTTCAAATTCGGTGGGACTTATCTGGTAATGAGAACTTGATAGTTGCATGTGTTCTTTCGAAATTTATTTTTTGTTTTTGCTTTTCATTACATTTTCAGACATTGAATTGTGCGTGTATCTTTTTGTGTGTTGGACAAAAATGAAGGGAGTTCTATTTTTTGGATTCATGTGTGCAACATTCATGGTAAATTTTAAATATAAAACTTAAATGTTCATTCCAGTTTGAAATTTCAATATTTGCTTTTTTTTTTGTTTTTGTTCAGAATTGTTATGGAAGGGTTTGTAGTGATATGGCATATGATATCCCGATGGCTACGTGGAATAGTCAAGGCGGAAGATGGGGTACGGTGAAAACATTGTTATCACATACGTATCCTGATGTCGAGGTACTTGCATTGCAAGAATGCGGCAATCCGCCTATTGATCCAGCTATAGCACTTGTTGGAAATGGTAATATACCAACACAATGGTCTGATAATAGACCATATTTGACTGTGCAGTGAGTAAAACTTCTGTTGCATTTTTATTTATAAATTATGTTGATAACTATAAGTGAATCTAACTAATATAAAACAATTTCTATAGATATATATCCTATTTCTATAATAATGGTGATATTAATCAAAGAGATAATGGAAGTGGCGCAAAGGAATATACTATCAATGTGAGAGATAGAGGCCATGTTCAAAGAATATATTATTTATATCATTACGAATTACAATTGGCTGGAAATGTAAGAACAAATACTGCCATAATCACGAAAACAAGAGCGAATGAAGTGTTTGTTTTAATTGATCCAAATGAATCAAGACCAGTAATTGGCTTCCGAATTGGAAGTAATTATTATTTTAGTATGCATGCTGGGGCTTATCCGAAAAATCCTTCTCCAGATACAGTCTCACAAATTGCACAATTTGTTAGCAACAACGCAATGCCTATGGAAGACGTTTCATTTGTAGTAATGGGCGATTTCAACACAGAGCCTAATTATTTTAACCCCACCGTAATACCTCGGGGTTTCCATTTTACAAAAGTTCTACCATCTGAGAAAACACAAGGTCTTGGCAATACTGTAGTTAGGTTATACGATTATGCATTTATTGGAACAAGAAACACTTGTGAATTTCCAAATTTTATTGTAAACGCTGGGAATAAGTACGACAGTGATCATCGAGTTGTTGTATTTCGAAGACAATAGCAAGTTTTAAGCATAGGACTGGACTAATAAACGTCAATAGGGGTTGTCATTCTTGTTTAATCAATTTACTTCAAATTTTCAATAAAGAAAAAAATGTTTCAAATATATATGTTTTAAATTGATGTTTCAATTGCCGTTTAATTGATCTAAAATGGCAAACTTTTATGAAAATGTCTGACCAAGACTTCTCTTGCAACCTAAAATTTGGTTTTGTTTTTTTCACCAACAGCAACCATTTTTTCAACCAACATCATCTGTAATTTAAATTGTATGAACCGTGGTTTTTTCACTAAAACGTACATTTTTGCTTCATTTTTGAATGGTACATTTCTTTTTCATATCAGAACACATATGATAAAACACTTGATAATGAGTCACAGGGCTTTCAGTTTCAAAAACCTTTTTCGTCGACAAATTGGTCTACTCGCTGAGAAAAAACAATTTAAAAAAATGATAAAAAAAACTATTTTATATCATTACTTAGCAATAGATTGATATTTTTCTTCCATTGAAGGAACAAACTTTATTTCATATTCATAACACATTAAACATATTTATTTCCATAGTTTGATCACGCCGTCTCTGCTTGAAGATATAAGTACGGGGTACTTTTGAGTTCGGCACAACAGTAAATCGGTTACAACATTATTATGTGATGGTAGAGGCATTTCGGGGCCCGATCTTGGTGAATAATCGTCTGATTTCATTGTATTTGTCAAACCCGATGCAATCGCATGCGATTTATTTTGCATTTGAACTTCATAGATAACTCGCGTTCCATCTATGAGTCTTGAGCTACGAATTTGTAGAGCATAAATGTAATTTATTAAATTATATCATAGTCTTATTATTTGAATGGAATACAATATACACAAATTAAAGAGACTTACTCATAAGAGAAATTGGATCCAGTAGCGTAATCACGGCTAGCAGGTGCAATCATTGTGCAATTTGTTCGTGTATTTAGATCCCAATAACGTATACGTTGATCAGAACTGCCCGTAAATAGGACAGGTGATCGATCTACAATGCACGATACTATTCCACAGACACTTGACGTATTTTTCTAAAAAAAAGAAGAAACAAAACACAAAAAAATTGATTTATTTAAATTTTGAAAAAATTCTCGGGCACAAGACAATCAATTGAATAGCATACCGATTCTTTCGATAAAGGTGGTGCATTACTGGCCCATAATGCGGCTTGCCGATGACCGGTTTCAATATTCCACACTGAAACCTCATTATTTCCATGCGATGTGGATATCAACCATGACGATTCCGTTGGATGTGGAATTATTTTTCGTATACGTGTTGCAGATGGATGTTGGATTTTTGCTACGAATATAAAAGAAACGGTCAATTTTATGCAGTAAAAAAAATCAAGTCGAAAATTAGAAAGTTAATTCATACCGATTGGCAATTTAAAACGAAGATCCCAACAAATGTGATTGCCATGACTTGTGCCACTGGCCATCCATGAATGATTCGAATCGATACAAAATGTTGTGATAACACCTTGCTTGAGATCACTATTCAAACGCCATGCATTAGTTGGCATCCGAAGATCCCAGCAAATTATAGCACCGTATAATGTTGCATAAATAATCACACTTTGTGAATCTGGATCGAGTGGATGCATATCAACAACGGGCCCATCGTCGAAACCATTGTAGCCACCGGCATTTTGCACTAGATGTCTTGCTTGTTGTAGTGCCATTTTTGAAGAATTTGGATCAATTTGTAGTAGTAGCAAGGATCCGTCATTGCCAGCAACCGCTAACGATTGCCCAGAATCACAGGCTGCTATGGAATATATTGGAACGTTGGCCGAATACATTTGACGCGATCTAAATTGGAAATTTAAAAAGAAGAAAAAAATGCTCTATTACGCAATCAACCTTCACTTCCAATTAACATCATTCATTTGCGAAATTGTTGAAATCTGACGGAAATATCATTTTTCACATTCCGACAACACTTTTCCCTTCAAAACTTGAATGATTTGATTGAAAGATTTATTTTAAACTGAATAATTAATATAGAAGAAATCATGGTACACTCTACCCGCATTTCATTTGTTCGATAGAGTGTAAAATGCATTTGGCTTACTTATTGATGCTTTGATGACCATTCAATTTGTTGCAGTCGAATAAGCGTACGGTTCCGTCAGTGCTGGCGCTCGCAAAGAGTGACGAACTGGAACTGAGTGCTGTCAATTTCGTTACCGATGACTTGTGCTCATGAAGATGGGCAATCAATGTACCCTTTATACTGTGACCAGGTGGTATCATCGATGCACGTTTCAATGCTGCATTTGAATCACTGTTTGCATTCAGAATCACATATTGACCTTTTAATTTGTTATGCAACATATGCAGTTCATTTCGACAATCCGAACTGCGTTCTATTGTTTTCAAAGAAAAATGTCAACGTTTTAGAGAAAAATTCATTAAAATAAGAACTAGTGGTATGAATTTAGCTTTCACCTTGAATAAAATTCTTTTCGGGCATGCTGTATTCAACTAATGACGTCGACGGTGTATCATTGTAATGAGCACTCGAGCTCACTCCGGATGAATGATATTCACTCCCAGGTGACGTTGATTTATCGGAATGTGGATACATTCGTTGCCATTCTAAATTCGAACTGTCTGCATCCGATTTTCGATTCGATATCAATTGCTTTTTACTGTCGACCAGTACGAGCTCTTTTCCAATTTCTAATGTTGAATCAATGAAAATTTTTCCATTTGTTGAGTATTTATCAGCAGGAACTTTTTTAAGATATTTGTTCAGTTTTAGTATCGACGATTTCATTGATAAAATCTGTTTTTCTACGGTGTCAGTTAAACCTTCGCACGATATTCGTCGGAAGAACTAAAGTATAATGAAAAAATTAATAATTAAATTTATGGATTGGACTTTAGAGCATCATTAATACGTATGATAAGTAAAAACTCACGTTTCTTACGGGCGATGTCATTTCACAGTGTTGTGGAAGTGAGTCAATGGTGCTGTCGCGTGCTTTTTTCCGTTCTTCCAGCAACGTGAAGAACGATTCCAATTCCGTAAATCGAACAACACTGTCATAAATATTGCGTGGTATTGATGGTTGCAAACAGTCCATTAAAATTTCCGATTTTTCAACTTGAATTAATGGACACTTCAGATGATTGATGATGGCTGGCATAATTTTACACTGAACATCAATAGCTCCAAAAATCTCTGCTGCACTTGATATTAGGCCGCACACTTCGTGACGTATCCATAAATTTGGATGATTTAAATAGCAGGCACATTCTGTGATGAATTCAGACAATGCTGATTTTTGAATTAAGCCAAGTGTTGTCAGTGCTGTTGTTGCTCGAATCGCTTTGGCTATAACAAGTTCTTCGGAATCGGTTAGGCCTTGTTGTAGCAATGGAATTAAAATATCGGAACATTGCCAACCAACAAATGTTGCAACACCAATAATACTATCGAAAAATGAGCCGCGCAAATTTTTGTCCTCTTTGTCATTCAAAAACGTTATCATATGCGATAGAATCAAGTCATTTGCTTTTTGTCGACCAAAAAATACACATAATTTATTAATGCCACATTCCATGACCGTTTGCTTGACTATTGGCTGTGGATCGGTCAACAAATGGGACACAGTTTGATGTAGCATTTCATGTAACGTACTCAATTCGGCTTCATAACGGACCGTTGTCACATCTTGAGCGCTTATCAATTGAGTTTTGTCCAGGAAATAGAGTGCCGTCTCAGCAATATCGGCTATTTTGAACAAATTTCAATGGACATTGATTTAATTTGATTTAATTCAACTAAACTTAAATTGACGAAGAAAAGAGTACTCACCAACATTTCTAGCATATGCAATTCTCACCACAACCGAATTATCCATGGCCAATGGAGCGATTGACGGAAGAACATATTCGGGAAATATATTTGCATCGTTTCGTGGTGGATCTTTGACTAAGCGAATGCACATGGTCAATGTATCAAGTGCACTGACTCGCACTCGGGCTGCTGGATCATTGCATAAATGTAGCTATAATATAAAAATCAATTTGTTAATAGAACATTTCAATCGGAATCGAATTGGGACTACATACAATGTATGGTAGAATTCGGTCTAACACAGTTTCAGATGTTGTGTACATGGATAATTGTTGTAAAATTTCTAAGCAATGTATTTTCGTTTTACAATACTTTAGGCCTCGAATGCATGATGTGACCACAGCTGTTATTAAAATCAATCCATCGTCGTCGGGAATGGTTCGGTTTGTTTGTTCATTATTGGTCGGTAAAAATATATCAATAATTTGCTTGATATCAGAGTGAAGACGCATAATTTTATCATCAGGCGGTAGAATTTGAAGTGATGAAAACATTTGCATATACGATTGCAAAAATGTGTAAAAGTAATCGGGGAATAGTCTGCAAATTCAAATGTTTAAATTAAACCATTTACCGTACGAAACAATCAATTCTATAGCAATCTTACTTTCCACGTTGTTCGTCTAAGTAAACTTCAGCCGATTTACGATCGGTTGGATTACGGCTGATCATCGATGCGATTAAATTTCGCAAATTTTCATTGCCCAATTTGTCCAAGTGTTTAGTCACCAATTCTAAATCTCCTTTTCGATAAGCGAGCAACTGTGAAAATTCAAATGCTGCCGTTCCGTCGCTCCACAATTCCAAAAGTGCGCATCTGCATTGTATACGTTTTTTTAAATCATATTCACAAGGTTTTTTCTCTTATTAAAAATCAAATCATTATATTACCCAGCCGAAAAAATGTCCATTTCAGGCAAAAGATTTGCCGTATTATTTTGTTCGCTTGACTGTAGTCCGTCCATTATTGATGCTGAAAGTAGCGAACTACCACCGATTAGGATGCCACTTTTGGCATTGTTTGCATCGTTTGATAGTGATTTCACGAATCTGCAAAACCAAAAACCACACCAACAATGAAATGTATGACAATCAATTGAAACATATTGTGCGCAGCAAACATTGAACTGACCTTTCTGGTGCTACGTAACATGTTCGTCGTCGACTTGTGTCAAAGAAATACGTATAATCAGCTGGATTGTCTTCGGGCAAATATGTTGGTTTGAATGAAGCAAAGTCAGATAGCAAAATCCAATTCCATGATGTAATCAAAATATTTTCCAACTAAGTGGATAAAAAGAAATGGTTGTTCATTACTTTTGGTCTTATGTTTGTGTTTTTGTATAACTTACTTTAATATCACCATGGCAAATCTTTTGACGATGACATTGATGCAGTGCACACAACACTTGAAATGTGATCCATTTCTTTTCCAACGATGTTAGAAATGGTCGGGTCGAGACACGATCATAAAGGCTATGTTTTACGTATTCACGCATAACCAATGCCACTTTTTCGGTGACTTGAACACGTTGAAATGGCAAACAATTCACAGCGTTTGCTAATGATTTTTGTATGTACATAACACGATCTGCATGCGTTTCTAATGGTAAACTCGGATCATGCTTAACAAATACTTTAATCACAATTAGCCCTTCATCCGAACGAACTCTGGCCACTTTAAAAAATCTCGTACTGCCCATGCTACAATTGAATTTTAATTCGAAAATTAGATATATTGCATCGATGTGGATCATTCAACTAAATAAAATTATAATTATTTAGCTAAATTACCTTGATTCATATTGTAAATCTGATTCAAATGACCCCATCAAATAATGTTCGACGGGATAAATTTGCGATGGAGCAATTCCAACCAAGTGATTGCCCATATTTAACTAATTTTCAATTGAATTCACTTTCGTATGTGTATAAATACAATCTATGACAAACCAAATGCTTTTGTTTTCTTTTTTTGCGTACTGTTTGCTTTATCATCTGTAGAAACAAAATGAGCCAATGAAAACAATGATGTTTTCTATTCTTTTTACGACATAAGCTCAGTGTGACAGCTGCAAATGTTGCTCAGTTTGACATTCAGTGTGTGTGTGTTGGTTTCAAACGATAAAGAAGAGTGCGTTTCATTTGATAAGATTTGGTTTGCACTCGAGAACATTCGATAATTGAAGAAAAATAAATCACTATTACTTACTTTATTATCTATCTGAAAAAATGGTGAACAAAGTTGCAATTTTCGGCGGAACTGGTATGACTGGCAAATGCGTTGTTGAATATGCATTGCAAAAAGGTGAGCAAATTTAAAGAAAACAAAACAATTCATCAAATAATTATGAAAAATGTATGATTTTATCAACAGGTCTTTCGGTTCGTTTGTTGTATCGCACCGAAGAAACCGTCGAACCATTCAAAGGCCGTGAAAAAGTTGAACTTGTCAAAGGTGATGTTACCAATCCACAAGATGTGGAAAATACCTTGAATGGAACCGATGGTGTAGTTGTTACACTTGGAACGCGTAACAAATTGGATCCAACAACTGTTATGTCTACCGGACTTACGAATATCATAAACGCAATGGAAAAAGTAAATTTACGCAAAATTTCTGTGTGTCTATCATCATTTTTATTTTGGGATCAGGCTAAAGTTCCCAAACAATTTGAACATTTGAATGCTGAACATAAGCGCATGTTGGATATCTTAAAAGCTACATCACTGGATTTTATTGCCATTTTGCCGCCACATATCGCCGATGAACCATCATCTGAGCACAAAATTCTTCACGATGAATCCCCCGGTCGTGTAATTTCCAAATTGGATTTGGCCAAATTTTTCGTTGATTCGTTGGATCAAACTGAACACTATGGCAAAGTTTGTGGCATCGCTAAAGTTTAATAGACCTTCAGAAAAATAATAATACATAGAATCATTGTTTTGTTTTATTTTGGTACATTGAGTTGCTTCCGTTTGTTTTTTTATATACAATTTTTCAAAATAAATTGTTGGTGATGAGCTTGAATTGATATGGTACATCTTTCACTTTAAATTGCAAAAATAAATTACTCTGGTTTTATGATATAAATAAATCTCTGATTGTTTGTCATAAACACACGTGCAATTGTGCATACACAATCGTCTTATATCTCTCGTCTTTATATCTCTTTAAATTATCTTAGCGATTTTTTCATATAGGTTTTTCGTAAATTACTTAAACATGGTAATGTACAGTTTCGTGGCCCAAACATATTAACTGGCGGGCATATAATGTAATTTAATTTCTGATAGAATCCAACCTGATCAATTGTACTTAAATAAATGGTATCGAGTAAAAGAAATTCACGGCAATAGTCTTCAGCATATTTCATAATCAATTTACCGAGACCTTGACCTCGAAGCTTTCGATCCACAACCACTGATTCAATGAAACAACAACGCATATTCGAATGTATAGCGCTTATTTTCAAATGAGCCAATACGGTTTGATTGTGGTCTCTTGTTAGAACCAAACTAGTGGGCAATTGATCACACGATGCCTCCAATGATCGCATCCGTGCCACCTCACTGCGTGGCCATTCAGAATTTATCAATTTACAACATTGACCAATCAGTTCCGGGTGCTTGTGTATTGCAACCACATTGTACGAACCAAGGTAGGCAGTGTCGTTCGGTAAAAGTCCCTGAAAGCATAAAAAAATAGAATAACATTTTGGAATAAAATACAGAAACACCACACACACACGACGGATCGGATAACTAGAAACATATATTCACATCAACAAAAATGGCAACAACAGATAGGTTTTTCACTTTGCATTGGATACTTTGTATTCGATATATAAACACATAACACAGAGGAAGATTGAAGAGGAAATTTTCTCGATGGTTTGTTCCTGTCTGACTGACTCATTACTGACTGTTACATTTTTCAACACTTTTTTATACATGCAACTTGCACATACCAATTCTCGAATGCGTCTTCGTTTGAACTTTTTTACACATTTTTTCTGTTTACTGTTCTTCGTCGATCCAAACAAACGTTCCAAAAACCATTCAAATTGTTTAAGTAATATAATAAGAGAGAAATAGAAAAAAAAGAATATTAATCAGAATTTACCATATTTTAACCATTATTCAAAAAAGACACAATTGTTATAGATTATGAGCAAAAAAAAATTGTATGGAAAAGGAAAAAAATATTGGCACAAGAACAAATTCGGTACTTCCGAACTGAAACTACAAGGTAATTGAAGACAGCACACATTGTAAATAAACGAAAACATAAATCATCCATTTCACTCCATTCAACAAAGTGTTTTGAATACACATGCACTCACACACATACACACAACACACATAAATATATAGAAACGTTTACGGTATAAATTTGTTTGTTTGATGTGTGTCTTACACAAGCATTTTAACCGCAACCAAATCTGTCAAAATTCCAAACTGAAAGAAGCAGTGGATCCTTTTATAGTAATTCTTTTTTTTATAGAAAAGAAAATCGCTTTATCTTTTCGAGTGAGTATCAAATCAATTTGAATTTATTGTTTAAAAACAAAATAATACCATTTTGTGTGATTCTTATTGATGAACCCCTGATTGATTCGGAATTTTCGATGAAACAATGAATCGAAGAATTGAAACAATGCACTGACAATGATACACAATTTCGTGTCCGAAGTATTTACAGTGGGTTTCTTTGCTTATTGTCTGAACTGTTATTATGATTTAAAAAAAAAAAAACGATGTTCGACCCGCAGCCAGTCGGTTGCGATATTAAGCAAATAACCCACAAGTAGGAAGCTCAACGTTTGTTTCCGTCAAAACTATTTTTGAGAATTCATACATCTGAAATACCGCAGTATCGTAATCGAACAACAACACACAAGCTATATCAAGCTCAAGGTTTCTTCATTTTCATTTTCATGGTTAAGGCGTTTTTATATATATATGTGGATTTATGTGTGTACATATATAAATATATACAGAGGCGTACGTGTGGATTTTGGTTAGATGTGTAGCAAACAAAAACTATTTTTAACGTCAATCGCACACATCTCCGTATCATTTCAGATTAATAGGCTCATCGAAAAATGATGCATTCGCGTCTAAATGTACCACTGTCACAAGAAAACCCGTTGTGGTTATCTTGGCATGATTCAGCATGGATTGCCGTCCTGAATCCAACCAATGTCATGGATTATTTCATGGAGAAATCAAATCCATTCTATGATCGTACGTGCAACAATGAAATTGTAAAAATGCAACGTCAAAGCTTTGAACATTTAAAGTGAGTGGATTTTATAAAATTTGATAAAACACCTTTCCAACTAGGACATTTTTACGAACAATCGATTTTCTTTTATTTTTCATATGACAGCAATATGGTTGGAGTGGAATATATTTTATTGCATGTTCAAGATCCAATTTTGTATGTGATACGAAAGCAGCATCGTCATTCACCAAAAGAAGCAACTCCAATGGCTGACTACTACATAATTGCTGGAATTATTTACCAAGCACCCGATTTATCTAGTGTATTCAATTCTCGATTGGTGAATATTTATTTAAAAAACCAATCCAAAGAAATTCAATCTAAAATGATTTTAATTATTATCATCAATATTTAGCTATCGACTGTGCATCACTTACAAACTGCATTCGAAGAGGCGAGCTCATATTCACGTTACCACCCAAACAAAGGCTATACATGGGATTTTGCGAGTAACAAAGCCTGTAATTATCAATTCTATCTAAATCGTTGTTTGTAAGAAGAGTTATGTAATGATTGTTTTTTTTTTTCAATTTATTGACGCAGTAACTGATAAATCAAAGGCGCAAATGAAGAAAGAACCCGAAAAAGCAAAAGAAGAGCCAAGTTCGATGTTCCAACGACAACGAGTCGATATGCTGTTGGGTGAACTTATGCGAAAGTTTCCACTACCAATGTTACCCAATCCGAATGCCCCGCCAACGGCAGCATCCGACCAGCAACCACAACGACCTGATTTAAAAGAAACAAATCCAAATAGCATTGTCACAAACACAACAGCGAATACCAATGGCAATAATCAAAATGGTGAATTTAAACCGCCCGAAAAGCGAGCCAAATGAATATCACTCATAGTTTATAATTTTATTTTCAAATATACGTCTTTTTTATTTACCAAAAGAAAGAAAAATCTGTGTCTGTGTTTTTTAGTCTATATTCTAGAATACGTGGTTTTTTGTCTGCATTTATGAGAAATAATAATTATGATTAAAACTAAAATGAAAAACTAAATAGCTAACAGATCGGCCTTTCGCTGCCGTTTTTATTATTATCATCGCTATTGGTTGTGGAATTTTGACGTGTCGATTCAGTCCCCGTCGTCGCCGACGCCGTGCTCGTCGTCGTCGTCGTCGTTGTTCGAGCTATTCTTGTTGAATTGGAGTTGGTAAAGACGTGCTCATGTTGTTTCAACTTAAGCATTAACTCATGATGTTGTTCTACACGATCCATACATGACTGGCAAATTGTTTTCGGTAACAGATCATTTGGCTTTATCTGTGTATGCAATTAAGTATAGAAAAGAAACAAATAATCATATACGATTTATTTGAATTGGTTTTTTGATTTAAGAACTCACTGTTACAGGTAAATAGGCATTTATTTTTCTGGCCAAATCGTGTTTTTGTCCCTGATCTCCATAAATATGAATTACAGTTCGATGCATCTCCGAACATAGACGACACAGAAAGCCAGCAATACGCGCTGCATCAATACTTCCCATTTTTATGGTCTACAGTTAAATAAATTTATTGATGCTAACAATTTTATATTCACTTGATTTCCTAACACTTCGCTTGGATCTACGTTCCTATTTTTTTGTTTTGATTGTTCGTATTAAAAGTATACCATCTTTATTTACACCATTTATTATTTTTCATAGTGTCATGTATGTGTATGCATGTCATATGCTTTGTTCCGGTTAAAAATGAGTAGACAAAAATGAACCGCAACTTTGTACCCGTTTGTACCGCTTCAATGTGTCGTAATTCAATTAATTCGTTTTTGATGATTTATTTGCGCATAAAGAGATGATGATACATTTAGAATTACAATTATTATTATGTTAATTTTTTTTATTAAATAATATATTTAAACTTTCATAATTTGACAGGCAATGATATTGTTCAACGATGTTGTGTCGTCGTTGGCCGGTGTTACGACAAGTCGACTGAATGTTCCATTTGTTGAGCTTTGATTGTCCCACATTGAGCCTGGATTGAGTATCAAACAACCATTCGAACCATCTTTTACTTCTCTGGCAAAGCATTTAACGTCGCTTTTTAAAATCAAAATATTCGGAACAATGGACAATGTAGCAAACTCCTTCACCAAACCACTGTCCACACTCACTTTTTCTGATGGCGGATTCAATGGATAAAATGACGCTTGATTGAATAAATAGCTTGCCACTCGTTTCACTTTGTCACCAGCATTTCTGCGATAATTAAAAATGGGATTTTTTTTTTAATCAGTAAAATCTTTCACCGTGAACCAATTACACACTTACACAGCAATTTCGGCATCTGTAATATGACTGTAAATATCGGTGGCTGTCATACCAATTGTAACTCCATTCAATTTTATGATACATGGATCTGGTAGGAATGTTACATTTTTATATGGGCTGCTGTGTGCATATGGTGCCGTTGGATAAATAAACGTGCTGTGCGCGTCTTGGCTGGATGAAACAATAAACACTTCCGTGTCGCAGCTAAAATATTTTTAAAAAAACAACCAAGTATTTCGTATTGATAAATCAGATTTCGAGAAATGGATGTTGAAAAGTTCAAATCAAAGAAATTTACCCAACGCTATTGACGATGCCAGAAATCATCGTTTCAAAGAAATGTGTCTCCAGTGGCACTTTCATTGTACCGTCTAGTAAATTTGGATGATCAGCATCCAAAAATGGTCCCAGCAAAATTAAAATGTCTGGCTTATGTTGTTTGCAATATGCAAGAAGTTCATTCAATGGTTCGTAAATTAGATCGGTTTTCGATGTAAACGGTCCGGATGCAACAATAATATTTAGATTTTCTGTCACTTGTGGTGTCCGTGAGTACGTTAAATTTCGTTCGCCGATAATTTCGTCGACAAAAAACGAATCATTACGTGGATTAGTGCCTTGCACAAATACCGTTTGGCCCGGAAACAGTGAGAAACCTTTCATTCGATCAAAATGCAATCGATATGGTCGTAACGTTATTTCATCGGCTCCAATTAACATGGTTGAATATAGACCCAGTCGATCATCACTATCCGAACAAATGCGACCAACGCATCTCATAACACCCTGTGACGATGCACTATATTCGAAGGCCTCTTTGTACAAATCGTTTCCGTACTTATCGGAATGTTCTTTGATTAGCTTGGCACAAATCTCTTCACCAATATCAAATATTCGATCGGCTGCAATGCTTGTCTTTTGCAATAAATTGTCATACATATAATGCTGATCAACGGCCAAATTGTCTGATATTCGTTCGCATTTTATTGTTTGCTTTCCCGAATTTACCCAATCGATTGATTTCATTAGCGCAGCTGAACCAAATGTGTACACAACTTTTCCAGTTCCGTCTTTTAATGTGGCTGATCTGTTAAAGGGAGACATTTTAAAAAATTTGGTGGTTTTTGGTCTTAATATTCGAATATTAATATTCGTCTTACATGGGCGATTCCATTGAAATTGATCCGCGGTCCTTCAGACTACTGACAGGTGTACTGATTCCACGTGATCGATTCAGCTTATTTGCCTGTTCAAATTTATCAAATTTTGTTAAAATAAGCCATTTTATACCGGCGAATGGATCAACTAACCTTTGGCGTAGTACAAACATAGGAACCCATTACATCGTTATCATCGCCATCGGAGCCAATTTCATCATACTCAAAAGTGTTGATATTTTGTTGTGTTTTTGCATTGCTCTTTGATTTGTAATTTGTTAATTCCTTTCGTTCGAAATCGTCAAGTAGCGATTCGGTTACTTCGGTACCTGCCTCAGTATTTACACTGAATGTCACATAAGTTTCCACAAAATCATTTGGAACAATCGAATAACTGATGCACAACTCGACGCCTATTCGACAACAAAAAAAAATACAATTGCAATAATAATTGTGAGTGAATCACTCAAAAATGATGTTTGTCACTTCTTACATCTTTCAGCCGACGATGGTGATATTTCGAATCCATATTCTTCAAAGTTTTCACATATTATTTGTGGTGTGGCCATGGTCAGATTTTCATCTATTATTTACAACACACAAATAAATTTGAATTTCTTCACTGACTATAAAATCGATGGAATTTGGTGTACGAGTGTCTTCATTGGATTAAGCTTGTTTTTAACCATCTGACTAATGAAATTTGGCGCGCAAATCATGACAGCTGCACGCATTGAATGAAACAATTGTGTGACTTTACGGTAATTTTCTCTTAAGTTAGGTTAGTTGTCTGTCAGTTGTCAAATCTTATATTGTTATAAAACGGTGTGAAATGTAATCGACCAACAGACCCAATTAGATTATTTTCAATATTTTCATTTGTTGAAAAATAAAAAAACCATTCAACAAGATGAGTATAAAAGATGTAGTTGCCGAATTGACATCAAATAATCTATTTACAGCTGGATTTGGTTTGTTCGGTGTTGGAGCTGGTGCTGCGCTATTGCGGAAAGGAATGCAAGGCGCATTCATTTTGTTTCGCCGTCATTATATGATAACATTGGAAGTTCCGTGCCGTGATAAATCATATCAATGGTTATTGCAGTGGATATCACAGAAAGGTGCACGAAAAACACAGCACTTGAGCGTTGAAACATCATTTGTTCAGAGAGACACTGGTCATGTTAGCACACAATATTCATTTATTCCAAGCATTGGAACACACGTCATGTTTTATCGAGGTCATTTGATTCGAGTAGAACGAACAAGACAACAAGCAACACTTGACATTCAAATGGGCATACCATTTGAAACGGTTGAATTGACCGCATTTGGACGAGATCGTAGCATCTATTTTAATATGCTGGAGGAAGCACGTGAAATGGCACTTAAATTTACCGAAGGAAAAACACTTTTGTATACAGCACTTGGTCCCGAATGGCGACAATTTGGTCAGCCAAGAAAACGAAGACCAATCTCATCGGTTGTGCTCGGTGAAAATATAACCGACCGAATTTTGGCCGATTGTCGTGATTTCATCAGCAATCCAAAATGGTATTCAGATCGATTATTCTCCGATTACTTATCGATTATTTTAAATTTTATTCTTTCCTTTTGTGATTCTCCCCTTAGGTATTCAGATAGAGGAATTCCATATCGTAGAGGCTACTTATTATATGGACCACCTGGATGTGGTAAATCATCATTCATCACTGCTTTGGCCGGTGAATTGGAGTTTAGTATATGTTTATTGAATTTAAGTGAACGTGGTTTAACCGACGATCGTCTAAATCAATTACTTAATAATGCACCCGAACGATCAATTATTCTGTTAGAAGACATTGATGCAGCATTTGTGTCACGTGAAGAGTCCTCGGCACAGCACGCTGCATTCGAAGGTTTGAATCGCGTCACATTCAGTGGACTGTTAAATTGTTTGGATGGTGTTGCATCAACCGAAGCACGAATCGTATTTATGACCACCAATTATTTGGAGCGATTAGATCCAGCATTGATTCGACCGGGTCGTATTGACTTTAAAGAATACATTGGATTCTGTGATCGTTATCAATTAGAGGAGATGTTCAAACGTTTCTATACCATAAACAATACGGATCAAGAAGAACCACAAACGCAACAAACACTACACAAACAATTTGCTGAAGCTGTTTTAGCCGTTGGCAAATCAGCAAGTCCAGCTCAAATTCAAGGATATTTTATGATGCACAAACTATCGAAACAAGAAGAAGTGATCGCCAATGTTCGACAAATATGGGATCCATAATTTATTGTTTATTTTATTTTACTTTTTCTATTTTTCAAATAGAAAACATTTTGTATAGAAAATGTAGACACTTGAGACCAAATAAATTATTGTAATTGTATAACCTCAAAACGTACATATTTTAAAAAGTTGCGGTTCAAATATTACCGTAACTCACATACATATGAAAGACAGCATTTTTTGCACGGTATTTGTTTATTTGATAGCTGTTTGCGAAATGTCAAAAAGTTTAGCATGACGGACGAATAAGTGTAACAATTTTTATTGATCATAGAGAAATTCTAGGTAAATTAGATCATGGTTGTCGGAGCATTTCCAGCTGTTAAGCTTGCGGTGCTTGCATTCAAGCAACTCAGCAAGCCAATTGCAAATATTATGAAAGAACGAGCCAAGAGTCATCCATTCTTTCGCAAATATATTTGCATGCCCCCAGCTCAATGTAAGCGAAATTATGAGAGATTCACACATCATTTTATGAAAAACACTTTTATTTTCATTTTTCTAATATTCTTCTCAACAGTTTACAATTGGGTGGAAGTTCAAACCAGAATGTGGGTATTGAATTTGGGTAAACCAGTCAAAATACCCCAATTAAATGAAACTCAAGCCATTGAATTAGGTGCAAATTTACTTGGTGAAACAATTATATACTCAATCGGTGCTGGTTTATTGATATTTGAATATAAACGGTACGTTCATTTTAAAAGAAATATTCTAATAAGAATGTTGATTGAAGCAATCGTATCCATTACATGCCCGAAATAATGTCCTTTTCCATTCACAGGCAATCGAATAAGGAAACTGCTAGAGAAGAAATGGCCATCGAGGAACAACGTGAACTTCAATTTACACTTCAAGAGTTGGCCTTGAATATTGAGCGTCAGGATGCACAAATTCGACATCTACAACGAACTGTAGCCGAACTAGAGTCTCGAACATGGTTACCAAAGATTAAAATTCTAGGCACAAATAAGGACGATGACGATGATAACAAACCACCTGAACCAACGCCACCTCCACCAACACCACCAATACCAACGCCTCAACTTGAAACGGCTGGTGAAACAAGTGGTAACTACAATCCTGGACTTCTCCTTAAATCATTAGATCTTATTGAAAATGAGATTTTTTATAGCCCAAGCAAAAGCGACACCGGCGGTCATCAAATCATCCACGAAGCATTAGTATATTTAAAATTGTATTAAATGAAAGTACACAATTTGAATTGTAAATAATTAAGCGAGTTTTATTGAATAAAATTATGCAATTAATTTGTTATGCGAACATATTTTTGATCATTTTTTTATAGTTTTGATCCGATTGTTTTAGCTTTCCAGTAATATTGTTGTACAATAGCTGGCATTCTTTTTTATCTTTGTAGTTAATACGTTCGATTGTTTGCTTTGCATCGTCCAATCGACCAAGTAAGTAGAGAGCGTTTGCACGTCGATAAATGTGTTTGTCCGTAACATTTTCGGGACGTTCGGCAAATTCCATGACATGAGCCGCTTCATCGTAACGTTCCTGTTTAATCAAACATGCACTGATATTTGATAGAATTGTTTCAAGCAATTCTCGTAATTTTTCCGGATCGCCTTCAACCATGCCCATGTCACGTTCACCCAACGTTTCAAATGGTTCGCATGAAATTAAAATCTTGGCTGCCTTATTGAAATAATAATGTGCAAACAATGGATATTGTTTATACATTTTTACACCATTCTCTTTGTAATGTAGTGCAATTGCCATGATTTCCGGTAACTTTCGGGCATACATGTACCCGCGGAATTCAACTCGAATCAATCGCATGACAAAACTGATGTAGTCTCCTGATTTGGTTTTAATCGAACAACAACTCGTTTCTCCAATTAACATTTGCTTCAAAAACAACTCCACATAACAGTCAATCGGTGTAAGGCCATTTGATAATGTAATCCAATAGTCAAGATTTCGTTGTTCATCGCGTAAATATTCAGTTGCATGATGGTCTTTGAGGCCATTCAATTCGGTTATAGCAACACTACATTTTGATAAATCATTTGCTTTTGTTGTTGATTGGAATTTAAACGAAATCAACTGTTTACGAAGTCCCTTCTTCTCATCAATCCACTCTTTTTCAATAGGATATTGTCCAACAATTTTCGGCTCGTTTTCTGCCATATTTTCATCGAATTATTTTTTATTTTTTATTTTACCTATATTATGAATGTACAATGTTTGCCATTTGACAGATTCGAATCAAAACAACAGTAAATGTTTATAAAATTTGCCAATAACCTCGAAATATTGCGATGCAGTCTTCAAGTGTTGCCAGATGCAAATGTTTTCTTTTTTACTTTTATTTTCAAATTAATTTGATTTCGTTCATTTTTGTTGAATTTCTTAATTTCACAAAACTTAACATAACATAAAAAATATATGATATAAATTAATGATTTCGGTCATCTCGATCCCGATATCCTGACGGATCGGTGAATTTCACAGTGAATATATAAAAGAGAGCGGGAAGCGGCACCATTACGAGTAAAATCACATTGCTTGCTGTTAATGACATTATTCCATAGGCCAATATCAACCAATGTCCAACTGAAATTCCCAGGTGAACAATACGATTAGAATGAAATGTTAAATCAATCATTTAAATGCCCATAGATAAAAATTGATTACCAATTATTATGCAATTCTTTGTCTCTGTAATTGATGTTAAAAATAACGATTTCATACTTTGATCGAGTTTCATTGAAAAATGAGCTGCATTTGATATCATCGATATGATTATACTCAAATATGGAAAGGCATAGTCTGAAATTGAATTTAATTATTGAAGTTACAAGATGAACAAAAAAAAAGTCACGATTAATGAATACAACGTACATATGAGTCCACCAATGATTGTATGAAAAAGTGCCAATATTGGAATGAAATACAATGCACTATAAACTGCCATCTTGCCTTTCTTTAAAAAGTATGCATTGAGTGTGGGCCGAACAAGCATCATCAAAACAATGCACAGCAAATAAAATACTAAGACCATCGTTTGCCTAAAAGAAACAAGATAAAAAAATCAACTTTGTAAGCAAAGAAGTGGCTGGAGTTTTACTTACAATGGATAGACCGCTTCTTGTGTGCAATACAATTTTTTCTCATAGTTTGGTGTTGGATTATGAAATAATGTGTACCAATCTGACAAACGATTTACGGTACATGAATGAATTTGCAGTGACCAATACGGTTCGTATATCAATAATGTTATTGTAGCTGATATAAGGACTTCAAAGAATGCGCTGAGATGCACGATGATTTCGCCTTTTGTGAAACTAAAATTATGAACAAATGATATGAATGAAACTGAATTTATTTTGAATGTTTTTTGCAACAAACCATCGTTCCTTTGCCGCCAAATCGATGAAAAACCAATGCAAAATCAGAGGCAGCATTGACATGAATCCCAAATACAACCAATCATATGTGGATGGATTGTTTTCACATGCCATACACTGACTGTATTCACTCATAATATTGACACGATAACCTCTTGGGCATGCACCACAAGGCACCTCATTCCAAGCAATCGATCCATTTATTGAGCCCGTAAATTGTCGACCACAATAAAGTCCGGGACATCTTGTTTTTGTGTCGGCCAGTGTCATTTCATTCGCTTGATTACGTTGAAATCCACACCAGATTCGATGAAAATGGTAAACAAAACACGACCAAGCAGCTGTCACACACTACATTATATCATTGTATAAAACTTTTATAACACTTTGAGCGCTGTGTATGCGAGTGTATAATTTTGACATTACATTCACTCTGCAGCAAACAACCGTATTCAATAGTCGTGACAATCTCACAAAATTGTCTTGTCATCCATTCGTTGAACGAGAGTTGAGTGGTATTTTATAGTGGTACATTCACATATCAACATTTTAATTGGAGAATCATCATCTCCGTTTTTCAACGAATTTAATGATTAGAGTGATTCGGGTGCTGAAAAATCAATTTGCTTACAATAAATGCACAACATTTTCATTATCAACATTTAAACATAGCCAACAATTGTCAAATCAGAAAAAATCAACCATTTGTAAGTGGATCATTTCACTTTTCTTTATTTTCCAAAAAAACTTTCTAAATTTCCATTTTTTTTTTAATTACAAAAAAAAATTGTGAGACGTATATGAGAATAATAAGGAACATCTCAGATTAAAATATTTTCGATTTTTTCGACGATTTGTTAGTTTTGGTACAATTTACCATTTTATACCCGGCAAATAACTTTCACTATGATTCATTGGCCAACTCATACAAAATATTTTAATTTTTTTTTTTTTTCAATTTTCAAGTTAAAACAATCATGGTCGGGGGCAATCCTGTCGATAAAACACACTTTGTTTTACCCAATAATCAGCCGGTCGGTGATTTAGAGTGTTCAACTGCCTTTAAGAATTTAACAGACAAAGAGAAGCTGTACGCCCACTACTTTAGTCAGGTAACACATAATCAAGCCTGTAAAAACTGTGAAGAACAAATTATGAACAAAATATGTTATGAATTAAAGGCATCATGGAACGGTGGCCTGGTGGCACTAATCCAATCCAGTCCGGAAGCTCCGTTAATTTTTTCCTTGTTGAATCGCATTTTCTCAACCGAACCAATTGAAGAGCTAAAAACTGCTGCACTGGCCGCTGGAGTCAGTGAAGATGACTTTACGGTAAATATGTCGTATTTATTTTGAAAATAAAAAAGAAGCACATACTCGGTATTTAATTTTAATGTTTGACTTTAAGGCATTTTTGGTTTATGCTTGCGGATTCTTTGCAAATGCTGGCAATTACAAAGGTAAGCTCATTTCATCGCGAGACTTTTAGATTGATTATTTTACCTTAAATATGTACAATAGGTATGGGCGACACAAAGTTCGTTCCAAATCTTGAGGCCGACCAATTTGAGGTGATAGTAAAATCAAGCCGAGCCTATAAAACGAAAACGGATGCTATAAGCAACTTGTGGACCAAGCTAAAAAGCCCCATTTTCCATTTGACTGATCGCACAAAAAGTTTGGGTCTAAGTGATAATGGTATCACGACCTATTTCTCCGACAATTGTACAAAAGAAGACTCGGATCGTGTTAATGAATGGCTGAAACTGAAAAAACTCGACGCTTACATTTGTCGAACCTTCAAGACTGAGGCCAACGGTCATAAGACCTACGAAATTAAATTGGCGTCCGTTGAACAAGGTGAATGTGAAGGCATTACTGTAGCACCTGAAGAGTACAAGGGTGATACGTTTGTCGTGACACGTGGTGATTATTCTCGCCTGTTGGCATTAGTTAATTCAAATCTTTCTCTTGCTAAGAAATATGCTGCCAATGACAATCAAATTCAAATGATTGATCAATATATAAAAAGTTTTGCTGAAGGTAGCTTGGATGCGCACAAAGAAGGCTCACGGTAAGGATTCCAAATAAGTAATTTAAATGCATGGTTTTAACTTTATTTTTTTTTTTAAATAATAGATACTGGATTAAGGATAAAGTGCCAGTTGTTGAGACGTATATTGGTTTCATTGAGACCTACCGTGATCCGGCTGGTATGAGAGGCGAATTCGAGGGCTTTGTTGCAATGGTGAACAAAGAAATGTCGGCCAAATTTGCAACGCTTGTGAAAAATGCCGAAAATTTAATTGCATTGCTGCCTTGGGATAAAGATTTCGAAAAAGATGATTATTTGAAGCCAGATTTTACATCACTTGAGGTACTAACATTTGCTGGCAGCGGAATTCCAGCCGGTATCAATATTCCGAATTACGACGAAATTCGACAAAACGAAGGTTTCAAAAATGTTTCGTTGGGCAATGTCATTGCCAATTATAATATTAAAGATTCCATTCCATTTTTATCGGAAGCAGATCAAACTTTAATGAAAAAGTACAAAGTTCGTGCATTTGAGGTGAGTCATCAGAATGATCCTTATATTAATTGATTAGTTAATGGAATATATTTTGATAAAAAATTTTTTTAGGTACAAGTCGGTCTTCATGAATTGCTCGGTCATGGAAGCGGAAAATTGTTGCGCATTGATGAAAATGGCAAATACAACTTTGATGCGGATACTGTAAAAAATCCGTTGACCAAACAGCTCATAAGCTCTTGGTATGAGCCAGGTGAATCATACGACTCGAAATTCGGTCCAATGGGATCATCTTATGTGAGTATTTCATAGTTGTTGTCTTTTTTTTAAGTGGCCATACTTTCACCTCTTTTTCATCACAACCGTTCATTCGTTTATATGACAATTTTTGAATGTATTTTTTACAGGAGGAATGCAGAGCTGAAGCAGTTGGACTGTATCTCAGTTTGAATCGTGATGTTTTGGGCATTTTCGGTATCACCGACGAACAAGAGATTGAAGACATTATTTATGTGAATTGGTTGTCTTTGATTTGGGCTGGTGTTGGCGTTTCAATGGAATTGTATAATCCAACCACCAAACAATGGTTGCAAGCACATTATCAAGCACGCTATGTAATAATGCAAGTTCTTTTGGAAGCTGGACAAGGTCTTATCAATATCGAAGAAACCGAAGAAGGAAAGAATTTGTTATTGACTGTCGATCGCACAAAAATTGGAACAGTTGGTCGTGATGCAATCAAAAATTTCTTATTGAAATTGCAAATCTATAAATCGACCGGTGACATTCAAAATGCATCCAAAATGTATAATCATTATTCGTCTGTATCCAATGACTCCGAACCATATACATGGGAAAAGTGGCGAGACATTATTTTGGCTCACAAAAAACCAAAAACCATTTTGGTACAAGCCAATACTGATGTTCAAGGTAATTCTACTTTTTCCTTTATTATCATAAGCAACCCGAGTGGAAAAAAGTGACTATAGTTAGCTAAATTCATTAATTTTAAAATTTTGTATGGAAAACAATCGACTATAGTTACTCAGTCAGTCAGGCGATTATTTTGGGACGTTTTGAATATCGGGTGCTATGATTATTGACAAGTATAGTTAACTAAAAACTAAGGTTGCTTGTTTTTAGAGTCAATAGTCAGTCAGTTTGTCCCAAAATAGTCAGTCACTTTTTATGTACACGGGAAAAGTTACGTACACAAAATTTATATATATGTAAAAATTTCGTTTGATTTCAGGTGAATTGGTAACATTGAAAACATATGAGGCATCGCTTCCGGGTTACATTGAATCATGGGTCGATCGTTTTCGTTCAAACAATGAAGTGTGCAACGCCCTTGAAGCCATTTGGGAAGAGGATAAAAAATATTTCCCATCTCTGATTGAAAACGGAAACTAAACTGTCCAAAATAAAACAATTATTTTTCATGCGTTTATTAATTTTAAATAAAAACACATTTCACGATTTCTATTTTTGATGTTTCGTAAACAAAATAAAAAAAAAACGAAATCGTGCAGTTTCAATAATAAATTATCATATTATTTTTGTGTGAACAGAATTATAAGACGTTCTTTCTCTAAAGATATATGAATCAATTGTACCAAAAGAGAAATTAGTTTGGTGGGGAAGTTTTGAATGAAGTATGCATTTGCATCACAAGATGGCGCTGTCATCTAAATTTTTTGATTTTGTTCTTGTCAAAACATTGATCTAACCTATTGTAACGAAATATTCGCACTCGGTTCAAAATGTTGATGGGAATTTCATATTTACTTACACCAATTAGACGTATTTCAAATACTACAATATTCGCTCTGTCATCAGGTAAAGTACATTGGTTCGCTTTAACCCAAATTTAATTGAATTATCTACTGCAGGATTTGGAAAATGTGGTGTTGCGGTCGTTCGTGTGTCTGGTCCAGAGACCAAAACAGCCATAACATCATTAACAAAGACTGTACCAAGTACAAAAAACCTGAAACCGAGATATGCATCCTTACGAAAATTATGGCATCCGAAAACAAATGATTTAATTGATAAAGGGCTTGTCCTATTTTTTCCCGCTCCACACAGTTTCACCGGCGAAGATTGCTGTGAATTTCAGGTGCACGGTAGTCCAGCTGTTGTGTCTGCAATTTGCGATGCACTAAATAGTATTGATGGTTTTCGGCCAGCATTGGCTGGTGAGTTTGCAAAGCGTGCCTTTCGAAACGAGAAATTGGACCTGATTGAAATTGAAGGTTTGGCCGATCTCATTCATGCCGAAACTGATATCCAACGAAAACAAGCACTGTTACAAGCTGACGGTGCATTATCAAGTGTATATGCTGAATGGCGACAAACATTATTACGAGCGGTTGCATGTTTTGAGGCATATATTGATTTTGCCGAAGATGACGATATCGAGCCCGAAACTATAAATCAAGTGCAAAGCGACGTTGATAAATTGATTAATGAAATAGAACGATTTCTAAACGATAGCCGAAAAGGTGAAATGCGAAGGAATGGTGTAAAAACGGCCATTCTTGGTGAGCCAAATGTTGGAAAAAGCAGCTTTATGAATCACATATGCCAAAAGCCAATTTCAATTGTGGCCAGTATTGAAGGTACAACACGTGACATTGTTGAATCATCATTCAATATTGCTGGTTTTCCTGTTGTAATTGCTGACACAGCTGGCTTACGGCATCACACACATGATCCGATTGAAAAAGAGGGCATACAGCGTGCAAAGCAATATGCAGCTGAAGCTGATTTAATCATATTAATAGTTGATGTAAATAAACTACTAGCGTCCGATATGAGTCTTCATGAATTTAAACGAAAACATCTGAATAAAATGGGAATTACCGAAGACAATGAGATTATGCAAAAAGAAATCATTGTTATTGCGAATAAATGTGATCTCGTTGATAAGACACCTGTAATGCAGGACAATGATATCGTTTTTGTGTCATGTACAGAAAATCATGGTATTGATGGTGCACTGAAAAAAATTGAAGAAACACTTCGACAATTGACCGACTATAGTCCATTGGGTTTGGCGCATGTGCCACCAAATGAACGGCATCGTCAATTCTTGGTGAAGTGTTTGCAACATTTGAGAGAATTCAAAACTTATTCGAGTTCGGATGGGTTTGATTTCTCCATTGCCGCCGTTTATCTACGTGAATCACAGCATCAATTGGAAAATATTTCAGGCAGAACAATTCACATTGAAGAAATGTATGATTTTATTTTTAAACAATTTTGCATAGGAAAATAAACAACATGTTAATCTTATAAGCCAAAATGTGTGTATTTTTTTTATCATTTATTCCATGGCTTGGTTTAATCTTTTAAATTTATAAATAAATATTTTTTTTTTTTTTTTTTTTAATTTTCTTTTATCATGTTCGCCTGTAATAATAATTCACTTTTGAATTAGACACCCTCAATATGGAGCATATCGGTAGGTTGGTGATTGTCCACGCATACCAGGACGACGATCAAATGAATCGAACGAATCTCTTGGCGGCCGTCGATCGTCAAATGAATCACGACTAAAATCTTCATAGTTACTGTTTGTTAAAGAATGAATCAAGTCACAGTTTAGTCAAAAAAAATTTTTTGGTCGAAATATAATTTTTTTTTTATTGTAAACAAACCCGAATCGTCCGAGCCCGTTGCTGGATCGTGGTGGTGTTCGTCTGCTAAACATAGATTCATATCCAGAACTGCTTCTCATTGAATTGCTTCCACTTAACCCACGCAAACCGCCTCCCAAGCTTGGAGGCATTGGCATTGGATCGCGTCTTCCCATTGGGATTCCACCTGCTTGAATATTATTAGAAAAACAATTAGATCCCAGCATGAATTGAAAATACACAGAGAGAAATATTTGAGTACGATAACTCGCACTTGCGTAAAAACAGAAAATAGAGTAAAATAGAGTGCACAACTCATTTTGAGGGGAGAGCATCTAGCTCTGCTAACACCGCACGTGCGAGTCACCGTACTCAAATATTTCTCTCTGTCCAATTTTATCTTTAAAAATTACCTCGCATTCCACTGTTACCCATTCCTGAGTATCGTCTGTCAAATAAGTCTCGGCCATCATCGTATCTATCATAATAATCGTAGTCCTGAACAAAAAAAAATTGAGTATGTTTTTTTTTTGTTAAATGATTATCCAAAGTAGCAATAAAATTATTAATAAAACGAATTCTCGTAAAATCAAAGTGCAGTATATATATAATATATGTAAGTTCTTTTAGAGGGACCGATATTTGATTTTAATTTAATGAGTATAATTATTGAATCGCGATTCATAAATTTTGAATAAATGTTTTTCTTAATTTTTTATACCGCTAGATTTGAACAAGTTCACGATAAAGACCGCGCTCAATGTGACACACAGAGAGAATGAGAGTGAGAGTTTTTAAGAGAGAGAAATATATATGGCGACGCGTCAACAAAGAATTCAGTCAAAATGAAAATTGAATAGGTTACCCGAAAGCGTTCATGTAAAAAGGGTGGTGGTGGTGGCGGAGGATACGGATCTCGCGAATATCGGTCACGAAAACTGCTGCCGCCGCGATCTGAGAACATTAACCGTGGGCATTCTTTGGACCAATGACCAGATCGGCCACATCGGTAGCACTGTTCTGGGTCTCCCATGCCCGGTTTTGGTCGAACGCGACTTGTTGATACTTGCACCTTAAGCGGTTGCCCATCAACCATTTTTCCATTTAGCTCGCGAATCACTTCGTTTACATCGCCGACGCAATCTAAATGCACAAAACCATAATTGCGTACGATATCACATTCGACGACTGTTCCGTATTTTGTAAATAGTTCACGAACTTCCGGCGCACGCATTTTATCTGTTAAATTGCCCACAAAAATTTTGGTGGTCGGTGTATTTGGCGCCCGACGACTTTTAGCCGCTTCGACTTTTATTGGATTGCCATTAACAACATAACCATTTAAATTTTGTATAGCATCACGACCCTCTTGTTCATTTTCCATGTGTACAAAGCCATAATTTTTAACGACATCACATTCCACGACAGTTCCATACTTTTCGAATAGCGGACGCAAATCCGCCGGCGACGTTTTCTCTTCAATATTACCGATGAATAGCTTAAACGTTCCAGTACCCGGCATTCTGAATCGTTTGTTCGTTTGTTCGTTCGTACGTTTCCAAAGTCGATTGAAACGATTGATCCGCGAATTTTCTTTGTTTGATTTGTATTTTTTGTTTTCGTTAAATTAACCGTGCGACTCGTACTAACGTTTGACTCGTAATTGATAGATCGTATGTTTTCGTTTTTGATTTGAATTGGTTACAAAGTTTTAGATTGTTGTATTCGTTTCCGAATGGTTTCAGGTTGCGACGCGAACTCGGTTTTGTTTTTTTTTTCTGTTTGTTTTAATTCGGTACTTTTTTTTTATGAAATCTGCACGAAATAAATGGACGCATATATATTTATATATGTATATGTCTTGATTTACTAATTCAGCAACTTTAAAATTCAAAATAAAAGAAAAATGTTTGTGGTTTTGGTTTTGCATTATTTGGTGAAAAATTTCCAGGAAAAATTTTTACAAAATTGCTTTACATGATCACAATTGAAAAAATTTAATTTGTCATTTCAGTTTGTCAAATTCCAACACATTTGCTACCATTGTCAACATTGATCTTCACGCATTTAATAAGCCATTACCAAGAAAATGTCGAACTTTTACGTTGTAAAAAAAATAAACGACATTTTTATGGTGACGAAAGGGAAAAAAAATTTCATCACATAATCGGTTCATTCTCTAACTTTTTTATTTAAATACAATTTATTCTTGTGCAAAATGGCGGTGCCGATAAAATGTAGACACGTAGTATCAAGTGTTACATCGATAAAAAATACATTTTTTTCTCGTAAATTTTTCACACACCAAAACAATTTTCAATGAAGTGCTTTAACAATATTTAACAACTTACAACTATCAATTAATTGATAAATATTTGGATTGCAATCAAGTTGAATCCACTTGAATAAGTATGGTGTGTAACCAAACTTTTAATGACGCCGGAATATTGTTCACTTTTCAGTAAAAGTATTTCGTTGTGCTGTACTGTTTCATTTCATCTCTCTTTTTGACGGATTCACATCGGACACCACACATAATCGTTTTATTGTTATGGCTGTTGTTTGATATATGTCTGAAAATTGGTGTTGCTAGTGTTTGTATATACAAACACAAGCGTACCATTTCAAGCACGCCAATTCCAGTGTTAACCACTGACTTTCGGAAATTCGATTTTTAATTTGAATTTAAAAAAAAAAAAATGAATTTTTCTAATTTAATATGAAAGGTGTGCTAGATTTGTACGATAAATGATTTAGTTTTCAATAGAATTTGTTGATTGAAATGGAAAGCCGATTGCCAGCGCCACCAACTTTAATATACATTACACACTCGCACACACATATACAAACAAAAGCATCATTGCCAATAAAATGTTATAGTTTCTCACTGTTTGTGTGTCCAGATTTGTATTAGAAAACCGTTAAATATTTTATTATATGCATTTAATTCAATGCAAATACATTTTTTTGTGCCATCATTAATTTTAAAAACAATTACAATATAAATAAAACTGTATCAACTCCGAATGTTCGAATGTTTGTTTCCATTCCAGTTTGCTGAGTATGTGTAATTGTGTGCGTTTGCTGAATTCCATTCCAGAATTATAATGTAAACTAGATTTATTGCACAGTTGAATTGGAACACAATACGTGAATCCTTTATTCCAATAATAAGCGCTGAAAACGAAAGAGGTCGCTCGCTTATATATACACATCTATATGTTGCGCAATAATTGTTGATGCTTTTTTTATACAAACAATAGTAGTGTTCTGACAGTGTGTTTGGTTGTTTCGCAATACATACAAATGCTTGTTCTCACATTTAATTTACGTGTTTTATGTGTGCTACATAATAATAATAAGTAAATTGGTAGCGAATGTGAATTCGAATTGTTTGTGATTTAAATTTGAATGGAAAATAATGCGAAAAACAATTGATCGTATTGATTTTGCGTAAAAACTGGTGAAAATTGTCATTGTGCAAAAAAAAAAATAAGTGTGTGAAAATCAGGATTGTTGTTTTGTTGTTTGTATGTTTCTCCATTGGAAATGTGAAACAATCGAAAATTGATGGTAAACAATTCATAGATGTCACCGTGTGTCGAACAGTATTAGCGCGTCAGATAGACGCAATAACACAGTTTTCCATGCAAAATGGCTACTGATTCAAAACTTTTATTAACTACACAACCAGAAAAACCAAATCATTACAGGTAAGTTTTTGGCTTTTGTTCGGTCAATTTGTGCTAAATGAATGCGATAAAAAAATTCCAATTTGATTATATGAAAATTGTGTGGTTTCATTGCAGTTATTTGAAAGAATTTAGAGTTGAACAGTGTACAAGTTTTTTGCAACACAAATGTAATCAACACAGGCCATTCGTTTGCTTCAATTGGCATTTCATGAATCAGCGTCGTCGACGTCCTGTTCGAAAAAGAGATGGTACATTTAATTACAGTGCTGATAATTATTGTGTAAAATATGATGAAACAACTGGCATTTGCCCGGATGGTGACGAGTGAGTGTGAATCAATTGAATTCATAAGTTTATTTTCATATTTCATTTAGTGGGGAACCTGATTCGTTCGTACCAAAATCACAAACAAGAACACAACACACACACATACGCACACAAACATACATACATACATAGTCATCAACATACACATATACGAATATAAATTAATCTCACGCTACATATATTCAATATAAACATATATAGATATATATATGTATATATTCATACGCGCGCACACACATAATGAGTATAGCGAAACAGAGACTGTATACACAAACAAAGCAAAATAAACACAATAAACGCGATGCCCGACTTGCGAATGCGTTATGTATGGCGTGTATTGACAGCAGAATATTTCATTCAAACGAGTGTACAATATAATATGTATGTATAGAATATGATTGTTGCTGTTTATTACTGATGCTGCCCGCGCTGTTTTTGTTCACCACAATGTCGCCGAATATGAACAACGTTAAATGTTATTATGGGTTTATATAATTGTGCCGGTCGTTGTATACCGGTTGTTTTGTTTTTATTGTTACCTTTTTTTTCTCCTGATATTCTTTAATCGCAGCCATCGTCATATATTTTAGCGCTCGTTTTTGACATTTGTGCTACTAACTTTGATCGCTTATTTCAATTGGTTGCCGTTTCTTGTTCGGACTACTACGCAAAATTGCTTTCCGACTATTTGTGAATTATATTCTATAAATAGTGTGGCATCGATTTGTTTACATATTTTTGGTGCCTGGTGAAATGTACGTGCGGTATACGGTTGTGCATTTATATACCTATTTCTCTCTATATCTTTGTGTGTGTCGACTCATGTTTTTTTTTTTAATCTGCTGAATCAGCTGATTTTATTTATTTTGTGTTTGTTGCGAACGTAATCCGAATTTCTGAACACAATCAATACATCAACATTTGTTTTAATCGAAAATTAATTAATTTTTCACGTTTTCTATGACCAGTTGCCCATTTTTACATCGAACCGCCGGTGATACTGAACGCAGATATCATTTACGCTATTATAAAACGTGTATGTGTGTTCATGACACCGATTCACGCGGTTATTGTGTGAAAAATGGACATCATTGTGCATTCGCGCACGGTGCTCATGATCAAAGACCACCAGTATACGATATTAAAGAAATAGAAGCTGCTCAGAATGCTGAAGCGAATAGCGAAGCCACCAATGGCCCCAATGCACTCGACAAAGAGCGCAGTCTAATGAATGAAGATCCAAAGTGGCAAGACACAAACTATGTGCTGGCCAATTATAAAACGGAACCATGCAAACGTCCGCCACGACTATGCCGGCAAGGTTATGCATGCCCACAGTATCACAATAGTAAGGATAAACGAAGGAGCCCGCGAAAATTCAAATATCGATCGACACCATGCCCGAATGTTAAACACAGCGAAGAATGGGGAGAACCAGCGAATTGTGAGGCTGGCGATAATTGTCAGTATTGTCATACACGTACCGAGCAACAATTTCATCCAGAAATTTACAAATCAACCAAATGCAATGATGTACAACAGGCTGGATATTGTCCGCGTAGTGTTTTTTGTGCATTTGCTCATGTTGAACGTAAGTTTAAACATTTAAATACAAAATTATTAAAATGCATAACAGATATTATGCTATGAATGATCCATGACTTGAACCATTGTTGTTTATTTAACAATTTTTGTTTGTTATCACGCAGCATACGCAATTACCGAGGAAGCTCAACATAGAGAACTAGATGGTCCATCGACAAGTATACCTCTTAGCGAAATGATTTCTAGTGCGCTACCACAAGATAAGAAGGACAAACTTGACCTAAACAATGTAAGCGATTAATTTTTTTTTAAATAATTTCAATAATGACTTGATTTCAACTTTGGAAACGTAATAATTGTCTTTTTTGTACTTGCTCCAAATACAGGCGTTACAAAATGGAAGCAGCGAGAGTTGCGAATCAGCTAGTACTTCAAGCATAGGCTCTAATAATTCACATAATAACACAAGCAAAGCGCCAGGCGCGCAACTACAACATAAGAATAGTAGTTTATATCAAAATAGTCTATCGAATGGCGGGAAGGCAACATCGATAGTTTCTAATTCAACGATATCTAGTTTCCCCGATTTTACACCTGATCTTCGAAAACAGGTACGCACACTTTGATTCTTAATTCTAGTTAGATGATATCAATTCAATCGATTTTATGTTATCTTTGAACCAACAGCTTTTGGCCATAGAAAATGATCCGTTGATTTGCCCACAGGAGAAGGAGCAACGAAAAAGAATGTGCTTGACATTTAGTATGCAAAATATTGGATCATTAGATAAATATTGTAAGTATAAATCGAAATAAAATAAAACGACCAATCTAAAATGTTACCATTTACATTCGCAGCAAATTTGGATGAGTTATCAAATTTAATACAGAGTTCTACGACACCGCTCAACATACCTGGATCTCAATTGTCAAATTCTCTTTCTGGTGAGTCAATCAGTTAAATCTATATTTTTTAAAGAAATTTCACCATAGATGTTGACGACAAAGATTTTTAGAAAGGGTTAATGGCAAAAATGCAAAGGTGGAGGCAAAAATAAAAAAAATCACTTGGATAGGGGTGGGGGGAGTTTATTTTGGTCAAAAAGAATCACGTCACAATTGCTGGACGGGGGCATTTCTATATTTCTTTGTCGGTGCACAATAGAGATCCTCGGAAGTTGTGTCAACACCTATGAATGTCATTTTGATATTTTGAAAATCATCATCGAACATTTAAATGGAATAAAACAAAATTATAGGTATTTTGCAAGGAACATCAGCTCCAGTAAATATTCCCGGTAGTTCACTGAATAATTTTAGTCCAAATCATTCGAATATGTTCAATGTGTCAGATCCATTCAGTCTGCATAGTGACCCAGCGCCAAAAATCAACAATTCCTTTGGTCACAATGATAGTAGTTTGTTTTTCCAACCACATTTAATATCGCCCAGTCTGGGTGAAACATTATCAATGAGTCCAGATCTAAGGTATTTATATTTCATTGTCCAAATGTGTACCACCAAAAATTAAAAGTTCCCCTGGACACTAATTGAATATTATTGATTTGATTTTTATAGCAGGCTCTCTGAAATCAATCCAATTCGCGATGAGCTTTCAACTGGTTCGATAGGAAATAGCTTATTTGAAAATAGTTTGCACAATAAGCAATATTCGATGTCACCATCTCTATTGAACAATTCCAGTCTAAGTGATATTCGTTTGCGTGATGATTTTGCGAATCAATCGACAAAACATCTCCCAACACCATGGGAAGATCAAATTTTACAGGCGACTAAGGCATGCGAGGCATGGAAATCGGAGGCCGATGAAAGCAATCGAAAGGTAAAATCAAATTAAAAAACACAAGGATGTAGGCACTTCAATTTAGCGCATTAAAACATAAAACATTCACAGGCCACTGAAGCTAAACAACAAAGAGATGAAGCATTAACTCATGTTCAATTGCTCACGGATAAGCTGGAACAAGTCAGCACTGGTCAAAATGGATCAATAGCTATTCCAAAAGATCTGAGAGGATTGTCGATACAAAAGTTAAAAACATTGCAGGTTTGTTTATACCTTTGAATTAAACGAATTTCATCTCTACCACACGAATCATAATTTTATTGTAGACAAAACTGCGAACGGATTTAGAAGAGGTTGAAAAGGTATTGTATTTGGAAACCGCAACAAAATGTATGAATTGTGAGGAGAACAACCGTTCGGTAACACTTCCCTGCAATCATTTTGTTTTGTGTGACATTTGTGCAAAGACAGTGCGCGAATGTCCGTATTGCCAAACATTAATCACTTCCTAATTAAATTTAACACACATACACACACACATACAAAATTTCGCTGATGATTTTGAAGGATAGAAAACAAATATACAACAACAGCTACACGAAGATGATGAAAATAAAAACAAAACAAAACAAAACACAAAAACAATAAGATAATATGCAGCCAGCCAAGTACAGTAAAATAGTTCAAACGTCTACGAATTATATTCAAAATATTCCTGATTGAATGAAACAAACGCAGAGAGAAAAATACAATTTACAATAAGCTATGTAAGATGTAATAGAAACACTGATGTTTAGAAACAAGGCTACTCTATATATGATACATTGAACGTACGGTCTACTTGTTATGTGGAGAGACCGCTAATTAAGTGCGATACAGAAACGGAAGAACATTTAAAGAAACATAACTTTATATACATATACACAACCATACAAACACATACACATACACACTTCAAGAAGACAAATGAATAGAAATATTAACAAATCTATTTAAACAAAAGAAAAAAAAAACAAAGAAATTATTTTGAAATGAAAACTAAGGAAATGTTGACCGAATGAAAAGCATTCTTTTATTTATCGGTAATGCACATGTTAAATGAAATATACATCAAGAAAGAGTTTTAAGGTCACTCCCTTCAAGACATACAAAATTTAAATAACAAATTTGGTTTGACGCAGACATAAATCACGTGTTCAAGTAGACACAAAGTGAGCGACAGACTTACATGCAGTGAAACAAAAGAAAAAGGGGGGAAAAAAATGATGGAAAACCAAGGAATGAAAACAAAGTTTTGAAGATCAATATTTTTTAAATGATATATACATAATATAAATATTATAAAATGTATTTAGAATAACCTAGTTCTTTTTTCAATTAATATTACAAAAATGGAAAGAAAAAACAAACAAACAGACAAACAACAGATAAATTGATACGATCCAAGCTATCTCCATGATAATTATCGTTGTTTATTGATTTCTTTATGTGTTTTTCGTTACAGCGATTGAAATTTACGTGCGAGTATCGATAAAATAATTTTGCAACTTATAATTATTTTTTTTTTAGTTTTATGGCTTTGACGAATTTGATTCTTCCATTCAATTTTTGGCTTCATGACACACAAACATTACACATTCAACCAATTAACTTTTTTCACGCGACGTCAAAAATTCAATGGACATATAGTAATGTGGCATAGTACTTTTTGTCACAATCCCACATAGCATTTTAGAATGAAAACTAAACAATTCGATTATAAGGATAATTTTCTTTTCATTTGGCATCACCATAAATCAGCTGATATCATTATTAAACAAAAAAAAATCAAAAAGTTATACCAACATACATTCATCTCATTTAAATATAAAGGAAAGTACATGACGCTGTTTTAGATATTTTCTATAGAGATTTGAGACTATGATGTCGCGTGATTCGTTCTAGAATTCAATTTCAAAAAACAAAAAAAAAAACAAATTTTGTTGACGTAAAACCACTCTATGTATTTCGGATGGATATCCATCCGAGATATTTTAGAATATCTGGATATTCAACGGAACTGCACAGCGCCAGAGCTGTGTGCGTCGCAAATAGAATCTACAGTATGTCGCTACGCATATGTGTATCAAGTTCCACACACACACACAGTCACACTGTGTCGGTATTTTTCGTGTAGCGAAATACCGTAGATTATATGTGCAGTTGCGTTAAATATCCAGATATTCTAAAATATCTCGGATGGATATCCATCCGAAATACATAGACTGCGTAAAACAATGAAGTCCTGTCGTAATTTAGTTGGCATTTAAAGCAATTTTGAAAATTTTGGATCACAAATCTTTTGTTTTTATCCCACTTTTTTTTCTTTTCTTTTTTTTTGGCATACATAATTCAATAATTTTTTTCAGTATACGTTTGTATTCCTATCATTTTTTGCGTTTCTTTTTCGTTTCTCGTTTTATTTAATTGTATAAACCAGAGACGAACACCAAATCACATTATTTCGCTAAAACAAATCCAAAATATAAAAGAAAAACAAAACATTGCATTTCAACTGTCATTGGTGTACGTTTTCGCCATTTTTAGAATGGATAATGCGAAAAAAAGTAATTACATTTAATATTGATTTATTTTAACAAATAAAAAAATTGATTTATTCGATTTATTGTTCATTATTTATTTCCTTTCTCACATCACCTACCTCTACTTTTGTTTTCTCGATGTTTTTGTTATCTTATGATTTGAGATTATCACATAAAAACGAAAACTAGCACAATGAACATTTTCCAAATGGAATGATTCAATGCGTTGGAATCTTTTTAGTTTTCATTTTCGGAAATTTTACAGAATGTTAAATATGGTACTTTTTTCAGTGTTTTACATTGAATTATTCCAGAATTTCACAGATACAGTTTTATCCGCTGCTAAAAACTTTTGTTTATGTTCTAATGTTAAGATAATTACAAATCGTAATGATAGCTCCCCAGCTCTAAGAAACGTTAAAATCGTAGATCGTGTCGAAGCCATGAGCAATTTTATTTTTATTTGTTAAAAAAATAGCATCCTGAATAAATTATATATTTAAAAAGTGTTTATAAACATACAAATGAGTGTGGTAATGAAAATGAGTGACGAAATTTAAGCAAAAGTTTAAAATTTTGATAATTAATTTTGACCGTGTTTTGTAGGACTCTAGCGGGAATATTTTACCAAAACTATATCCATTTTGGGAACGATGTATCATTTTCGCTTCTCTTATTTTGTTTCAATAATAATTTTTCTAACTTATGAAAGTCAAAATGTGGCCACTTTCACAGTGGATAATGATTTTGGAAAATTTCAAACCATCGTCAAAACAAAAAGAAACTGAATTTGAAGCAAATGTTCAAAGTGGACATAATTTTCGTTAAATATTTTTTTTTGTATAAACGCGGAATATCAAGTGATTTGACAGGCATATAACAATTGTTTATAATGTTCAAGGAAGCTTCCAATATGACCAGGCTTTTTGTTACTTCACTCGATATTTTCGTGAATTCTCTTAAATTTTTTAAGTGTTTTTGATGAGATATATAAACATAGAAGAGGAACGAAAAATAAATCAGCACAATTGGTCGATTAAAATGAATCAGAAAAGTAATAAATTACATAAAATACAAAAATTGAAAACAAACCAAATTCACACATTCAAAGAAGCCATAAGAAAACCATAGATTTATTGCCTAAAACGATAAAAAATAAAATTCGTATATAGCTGGTGCTGCAGTCTATGCAAACTTGTTTTCCGTTGCAATGGAATAAGTGGAAATAGAATGTAGCGCCAACTATACGTGAATTTTATTTTTTTATCATTTTAGGCAGTAATCTTATCGCTTCTTTATTTAGACATTGGACTTAATTCCAGATTTGTATAAAAAAAATCATTTATTTTTATATATTTTTGTCTAATGATCATTTTTTTTTATCAAACCATTTGTGTGATTTTTTTCTTCTAGGATCAAAATTATTGGAAAACAAATTTTAGCAACCACAAGCAAAATAAAAATGTCGAATTTCAAATAATGAAAAACAAACAAAAAACAAGAGTTTATCGAAAACAAAGAAAAGTATTATTATGAAATGAATTATTTATCAAATGTAATGAAGACACATTGAATGAATATGTTTTTTCTTAAACTTTTCACATTGTATTATGTGTTGCAGTATTGAATGGCCATAAATCACTATCCGATAATGGCCTAAAATGGTTTCGTTTCTTCTCAATAATTCTCAATTTGTATAAATCCCAATTCTGTCTGTTTTCAAACATACTTTACATACACTTTCGTTTTGATGTGGACAAATGTCATAGTTTAAAAAATACACATTTTTATGGATAAATGTTCAATATACGGTTGACACAGTGATGATTTATGCTCGATTTGATCTTTTTTCTCTGTTAGTTTTTTCTTTCATTCAATTTTTTCACTTGATAAATTAAACAAAAATTCAAATCACATTTGTTAGTAACTATAACTATCGTTCCGTTGCAATAGTAAAACTGAGCTATGCGTAAGATTCTTTTTTCCATTTTTTTTACTTGGATTTATTTCATTTCTTTTTTATTCAACCATCAATGTGTTCTTTTAGTTGTGAGATTTTAAGTCAATTCTAATTCTTCATTTCGTTAATTAAAAAAAAACTCAACATTCTGAAATCTGAACTCAATTCTATATACTGCACACAAAAGTTCTTTTCTTTTCATTTATCACTTTTATCTATAAGCATTTATTTTTATTTTTTTGTTACATTAAATTTGATTTGATTTGAGAAAAAGAAATGTTCGTATAAATAGATTTAATAAAAAAATTTAACGAAATTACATTGAATATATGAAATGAAATGACAAAAAAAAAAAACTATTAATAAAACAATACAGAGATGAGAAAATAATCGAAAATAATGCATATTGTGAATAATAATAAAAAGAAAACAGAGGAAAAAATAATTTAGAAATAGCGTTTATTTTTAAATTCTTTTTAAAGAATAATAACAAATTGATGAATGAAAATGTAGAATTTTATTTTCTTTTTTCATGTTACAGCTATGGTGTGTGCATGCAAAAAAAGAACACATTCAATATATATAGCACACATGCAAAATACATGACAAAAAAAATGAAGAAGAAGAAAAAAATATTTTACATGTTATGATGAAGAAAGCGTGCAGGTTATGAAATTAGAGAAGAAATAAACTGAGTAAAAGAGACGAAGAATAAAGAAAAAAAATCGGCGCAAAAATGTAGTAAATGTTGAAATTGACCGTAGACATTTAGATAATATTGCAATTTTAGTACAGTTTTCAGCAATATTGCGATCATTTTTCTTTCTTGCGCAAAAGAGCTCTCATTTTGTTTCCATAAACCAAGATATTTACATCAGACAATATATTGAACTAACTGGTCAGCTGAGCTGACAGTACGTTATTGTTTTATTGATGAATCACTTTTCTTGTTTTAATAGAAGTGATTGTTCATTATAACAATAACTTCTATTGTTTTAGTCCATTTAGCTGGCTAACGTACTGTCAGCTCAACTGACCAGTTAGTTAAATATATTGTCTGATTTACATAAATTCAATGCGTACAAATCGTTCGACATCGTCAGTTTATTTTTTAATCTTATTACATTTGTGTTTTATTTCGAATTAATAGATATCACAGATCAGATTGTCAATCATATACAAACGATTGGCACGAAGTCAGGATACTGAAAACAAAAACCAATAAATTCAAGAATAAAAATGGCAGTGCACAAAAATTGTGCTGTTGCAAGTAAACATTTTTTTTTTTGAATATAATATGATGGCAAAGACAATTTTTCATATTACAGAGGCTGTTGTAAAGCATATTAACGATACCGACATTATGCGATGTGTATTTTGATCAAATGTATAGCAATATACATGCGATGAGATAAACTAAAATGGGAAACATTTCGCTTCATCAACTGAATGTTCAACAATATGTTTAATCGAACAAATTAAAATTCTGTGTAAAAAAAAAACAAATAATAATAATAATAATTCATTGCACATTACGCTTTATTTTGCGCAAAATCGAATATCCCACCTTTAGTTGCAGAAGCTTTATGTTTACCATTTATGTTCTTTCTCTCGCACAAGACTTGTATTATTAGATTGAGCGTGGATGCGACAAGAAGAAGAAGAAAAAAAAAACAAACAAAACAACATCTAATGATCAAATAATCAATTTAAGCATAGCAATTGACAAATTTACGGACATTAATACAAAAGTCATGCAATAGAAATCACATTCAGTTTCACTTTCATTTTATATTAGTTTATTGATTACGAAAATAATGGATGATGACGATGATAATAGCAACAACAGTTGAAAGAAAGAAAGAAAAAAAAAACATATATATATATTTAATTGAAGTTGAGAGAAATTAACAACAAAACAAATTACTTAACGCTTAGAAATTAATTTAATTATTATAATGATTTACAATAAATGTTTTTTTTTCATCAGTTTAATTTATTTAAAATGAAAATTAAAATGTATTTGATTTGTATAAATTATAGAGAGCTGAATTGAATTAAAAACCAAATATGTGTCGAAAAAATCAGTATTTCTATGTTTAACATGTATAAGTCCCGTAAGACAAGGTAAGAAAGGTAAGTACAGTATAGAATATGATCAACATTCAGACAGTTATCAGAGAACGTAATCGACGATAGAAAGAGCTGCACCGCAAAAGCTGAAGAAAGAAAAGAATATTTGATGGAAAAGCTTTTGGATGGCGACATTATTTGAACCAATCAAATACCTTTACGCACGTATAATGTTCAGATTCACAAGAGGCTATGTTTCGTGAATCACACATGAATGTATATAATATGTTGACAATTATTTTATTCATTCTGTCGGATGATATCATTCAATTTTTATGAATTTTTTACAAAAATACAAAATGTTGCACACAAAATTAAATTTAAAACGTTAGGTTTTTTCGTTCTTATACCACACCATGGGTTTGGTAACACACAAAGCATATACTTCAAACATTTTAAAAACTACGCCGACACATTCAATATCAGATACATATATGTTACCATGCTGTTAAATGATGCTGCTTTTGACTCAACATTCGTTGAATGAATCAACAACGTATAGTGAACGCTCGCCAATTGGATACTAGAAAATTGAAGGTAACAAAATAACCAACTAATTTAAAATTGAATCCATAAACAAGACTAAGGAATAATTTTCAATTAGAAATGTTCCAGTAATACATACTTAACCGTAACGATTATGGTGATCACTTAAAAGCGAAGTAAGTGTAAAATGTATGTTCAATAAGCTTAAGTAACGATCTATATCGGCGCATGGCTGCATTTTTTAAGCTTAACACCGTTGCAAGAACGTTAAATCAATTTTATTACAAGAAAGAATTGTTCCACTTGACTGCTGATAAATTTGAAATTAATTCGCTGGAGAAATTCATAAATCGTGTTCCATTTTGATTTAACTAACTATTGATGATAAAGTTCATGATTTCACGTGTAGATATGTGTGTTGTTGCACGTGTTAAAACGAACGAAAAAAATACGAACGCATCATGCATTTTTAGTGGTTGCGCATCACATAGGATATGCTGTGAAATGTTCGAAAATTTCTTCCTAATAAGAATATATTTAGTACAAAAAAAAAATCTAATTGATAAGAAACTGTGAGCGTCAAAGAAGCGAAACGGTGAGAAATGTACGCAAACCATTACAAATTAGCATGTTGTTGGGTATTTAAATAACAAAAGTTTAAATAATCATGCTTAGCCAGTCAAGTCAATTTTGTACAATTCTATATAAATATATGTATAAATATGTGTGTGCCCCAGCTATCTCTCTTTCACATAAGCTAGATGGTGTTATTAAGAGGCTCCGCCCATGATATGTATTTAAAGATGCCTTAAGTGGCATGTATTCAACGATGCTAATTCATAAATGGTAAGAGTTGTGCCACAAGAAATAAAAGAGAAACGAACATGCAAGAAAACACATGAAACACATTTATCCGAGATCGAAGTAAAATTCGTGTTTGAAACAACAGCATCAAGCCGAAGCTTTGTATGATCGAATGAGTGGGGAAACCAAATTATTATTGGTAAAGTGAATTTGTGCGCATGTATATGTAGCACAATCGAGCCGATTACGAACGATGTGCGCATTATAGAATAGAAAGGTCCGTCTCAATAAATACATACGTAACGTCACCTTCTTGTTTCGATAACGAAAAAGAAGAGCGAACAATAAGGAAAATGATGGTGCAAAGAAGGGGGAGGCCAAAAAAAGAACGGAATGAAGAAACGACTCTTTTCGAATATATGTATGTAGTCATAACAACAAATGACGAGGTGAGAATGTTTAGGTGTCTTTTGATCATGTTCCGTAACAGCCTTCCTCAATCGATCGGCCAGCGCACACACAAACATGCATATGTACAAATTCTCATTTATGAACGTACACTCTGTGATCGACGAACACCGAAGAACCGAAGAAGAGATATTGGTGACCAAGTGTGTATTGAGTTTGTGTGTGTATGTGTCGATTTATGTGTGTGTTTTGTAGTCGATATAACCGAACGGTATCAAGGATAGAAATCTTACCTGTTGTTGAGCTACCGTAATAGCTGTTTGGTTCATTGGTGTGCAAAGCTGTTGCACGAATGCCGTCACTCAATGCGCACACACCAATAGATTGGCTATGGCGATCTTCAAGCTTTGCGATCATTCCCCTAAAACGAAACACGAATAATGAGAGAGAAACAAAAATACACACGAAAAAACAACCGAAACGACCAATACACAACGCCATATACATAGACACATGGAAGTTTGTTCGCTAGCCGTAAGCTAGCCTCATATGTGTGTGCATTATTATACATTTCTCTAGAGGTAATATTGTGTTTTTTTTTCTCTTCTTCCAGTGAGCTCTTTACATCTGATTGTAATAGTTTTTATTTCTCCAAGTAAACTGAGAGAGAAGAGTGTGTGGCAATCACTTCGTATAATGCATTTGATAGTTGTAGAACATACACATATCGGAAGTGTTAATCCTTGATTTGTTGTAACCAGTGACTGTGACTGTGACTGATGACAATTTAACGAAATTCATTCATAATCATCGTTTTAATTGACTGACTTATTTCGATTGTTACATTTTCATTAATAAAAATGCGCCAGCGAGAAATTTACGATAAATTATGCGATTAATTTATGGTTCAATGCAAACCACTGGATTCGCTCAATTATCATTATCTTTTTTTTTCTTCGTAAAGAATTTTTTTTATATATAATGAATTAAATGGAGAAGAGTATTGAGTGTAAAAAAATATCACAATTTTTTTTTTTGCGAAAAAATATAAATATTGAAGAGAAAAAACGCGTCGGCCAATTGTGACGGACATAATAAAAAGAAACCTGTACAAATTTGCGTGAAAAAAAAAAGAATCATCCGAATTTCAGTGAAAATTTTAAAACAAACCTATCCGTTCTGAGAAATTATGAAAGTGCATTATAAAATTCAATAATTAAAAGCCACAAAATGACCTATATAAAGGCATAACATGGCATTAAATGAGATTTTTTGTACTGTATTTCAAGTGCTTCAATTGATACATTTTCAATCACACCATACACAGGATTAATTTAAAATGGAATTTTCGAATCAACAATACGCTATTACCTATCTACAGACCGAATAAACAAAACACCGATAAGGATTAAACTGATTCGAATGGTTATAATATAACGAAAACAAAAATCAACAAAAAGTGCGCTCAAACAGTGAGTTTTATATGTTGTAAATGAGCAAAGAAAAAACAAACGAATAATAAAATTTCGAAATTCAAATTTCTAAATCAAAATCTATTTGCAAAATCAAAAGTTTCGTTTCTCAACGCATTTTTCCATTTCCTAAACAAACGAAAAAAAAAGAAACAAAATTATCAAAATGTCGATGTTAGTGATATTAGTATTGTTTGCAATTTTCACATCGGTAATGCCGTGTGGTCCTGGACGGGGCATCGGTGGGCAAAGACGTTTTCGAAAACCAACACCATTAGTATTTAAGCAGCATGTGCCAAACGTTAGTGAAAATACGATAAACGCATCTGGTCTACAAGAGGAAAAAATTACAAGGAACGATGAAAAATTTAAGGATTTAGAAACAAATTATAATGAGGATATAATATTCAAGGATGACGAGGGTACTGGTGCTGATCGTGTTATGACACAAGTAAGTAGGCGCAGAAAAATAAAGGACAAACCTAGAGATAAGCACAAGAGAGAAATAAAAACAATCAACCCAACAACTGAAATATGTGTGGATGAAAATGCCACAATACGTGTGACAAGAAAACACAACCAAACATTTTTTTTTTGGCTTATTCATTCACTCAACTTCTTTCTTTCGTTGTTTTATTTTTATTTTTTGTTATTTTCATTTTATTTTCTTCATTGTAATTCTGTCTCTCCGTATCATTTTAAATATGAATTGCTTTTTATGTTTTTACATCGATTTTCAAGGAGTTATTAATAGCCATAAATCATGATTTAAGCGTTAATCTTTTATATCTTTTGAGTGAGATTTGGTGCTTGTTCTACTGACAACATTTAATGCATTTTTTGATTTGAATATTTCAACATGTTCCATTGTACAGAGCGTTTAGCTTCTGATCATCAATCATGCGACGTTTGTGGCCGTTACATTCGCTTCTGCAAAGGTTGCCATTACAATTTCCCGTAAAGTGTCTGACAGTAAATTATGATAATAATAAATAATTTCATTTTTTAAAAATGTTTATTTGCTGTATTTGTCCGTTTAGCAGAAGCCGAATGTTATACATACAAGTAAATTACCTGAATTGTGCGTGTTTGTTTCTTATTTTCTTTAAATTTATTCACGCATATAATTTGCAATGAATTTGATTTCATTTCAAATTTCTGGCCCATCAATTTTTATTTAAATTTTGAACCGCATTAATACGGGAATGTAGCATAGCCGGTTCTTTCGTTTAGAATTCAATGTAAACTATGAAAAGAACGAGCTGCGTAAAGCACTAATTTGATTGAAGCGAAAATGAAAAGCGTTGGTTTGATCCTTCATCATTCTCATTGTAACTGTTTTACGATACAAACCCAATCCAGCTAAAACATGGCATTAAGACCAATAAACATGAAATTTTTTCATTCAAAATAGGTTTAGTGGTTTATGTCCACTTAATGTTTGCCATTAATTTCGCGGTAAGGTTTCATCTGAACCAAAAACGAAACTGAACACAACACAATACATCATCAACAACAACAAAAATATTTTGTTCCCTTCATCGTTCATCGTACCACTCTTTGAATGAGGATGGGTAAACCGCAACAAAATGACTATATGGCATCAAAGTGAATGTTAAATGGTACTAATAAACAATATACAGTCAATTGTCACCTACTCTGTCATATCGTGGTTTACATTTTATGGATTCTTCCATTTTTCATTAGCAATCGATCCTCAGCTAATAATTTTGGTCAAATTATTATAAATGTTTTTCTCTGGGTAGTTTTTTCTCTCTTTGTCCGCTTTTTTTTTTTTTTGAACTCGATGCAACAAAACTGCAAAATTTATTGAAGTATTTTTCAAATTTTATGATATTGTAATAAATGGGCAATAAAGTTGAACGAAAACTTTTATGATGGGGGCTGTTGTAACCATCTCTTTTGCGTACCTGAGACTTAATAAACCGGAGCATAGATCGGTATGATTAATCAACGGCCTCGAATGATGTCAGTGCCCAATAAATCGACCGTTGACGGAAGTTTATCTATCTCTTGTGTGTTCTCTCTCTCTCTCTCTCTCTCTCTCTCTCTCTATCACTCTGGTTAGATATACAAAGTCATAAACAAAATGAAAAGTGCATTGTAAACATTATATATCCTCATGAAATGTGTAGTTTTTAATATATTTTATTGACTTATGATATATGATATGAACAATATGAATAAACCGAAAATAAAACACACACCAATGGTGAGAGAAAGAGAGAAGAGTTTAAATTCATGATAGGCGTTAACATCAATTAGTAGACTGATCAATAAGAATAAAATAATCGTTGTTTATTGTGCCGAATTGTTTTTTTTTTCATTTTGCATTCGTTATTGATTGTTAATCTCTGTCGAAAATAGCGTCTTAAAGAAAGAACGAAAACTGTAACATTGTTGCAAATGGTGATTGATTACTTAGCTAAATCGAAATGAAAAAAAAAGTAAGCCGCGGATTTGCATTGAATCTTTAAATACGCTACAAAATGATCTGTCAACACTTACTAGACTTGGCAAAGCCAAGGGCGCCGCTTCATTATCATTTTGTTTTCATAGAAACTAGTGAGAATGTCGAAGAAGATATTATGATTTGTTACCATTGAATTTATTTGCTCAATCAGACGGGAAAAAATTGTATTTCGATCTAGTTGTGAAGCATCAATCTTCTCGCATCGTGTGCAAACCCTGGTGAATCGTGAACACAACGGCGTATTAACATCAAATTGTATACACAGACACAGACCCAATATTATCAATTTCATTCCCACGGGACTCTCTGCGCTAATTTGTTTATTCTTTTATTGAATAAACTGTACTGATATTGAATTCAGAAATGAAGCGATTGCATTGACAGCAGACGGTTTCATTTTCAAATGAACGATGTCGCGGTTTTCCATGTGGACATTGCATTGTTTAAAATCGAAATAAACGGAGTGTGCTGCAATTTTAAATGATTTTTTTTTAAAGCAACAATGATATCGCATAAATACACAAAGTGTGCACAGATTTGTTATCATTATACGACACGCTGACGTTATAAAATCAACTGAATATTAAAAAGAATTGAGAAGTTTGCAAATTCAACAATTCTTCAAATGGAATGCTTCACAATGTGCATCTATGACTAACGTTTCTATTGATCATACAGCATTTATCCATTGTTGAATTCCACAAGGATTGAGCTACAGATGCCTTCATCTACTGTTTTTTTCCTTTCTTTTCGAAAAAATAAACGGCATTTTTGTTTGAAATATCTTTGACTTGTTTATATTTGGCGCAGCTTGTTCATTTTTTTCTTCTTCTTTACTGTAGAGAGAGAGAGAGAGAGAGAGAGAGAGAGAGAGAGAGAGAGAGAGCGGCTCGCATTAAAAGCCACCCTTGGGCTGAAACCGAAATTCAACCGACCCAAACATAACAGATTCGTTTAAAGTCAACTGATATAATTCACATTTAAAATAAACTACAATTGATACCTTCCGTAAATTCAAGCTGCACAATCATAATAAGCCAAACAAAGCAAATGTGTGCAAATAAAAAAGAAAATATATGTATACACTGGTATATCTCAACAAATATCATATTCCATGTTTCTTTTCATTACCGCAGTCTCGTTGGTGACGGTAAATGCACATTAAAATGGTTCTCTGAAACAATTTTATGCTGTGGAATTTGCCGCATTGCTAAACAAAACAAGACAAATACAAAAACAATAAAATGTCAAAAAAAAGAAACATTCACTTGTAAGTCTATGCAACAAAATTCATAGATTTGCAATTTACTTCTTTTTGAAAGCCGTAATCAATGTTGATGTTGCTATCTTTTTCACAAAACGGTGCTTTTCACGAACGGAAACTGTTTAAAAGTGGAAATTCACAACCGTCCATATCCAATATCTTAGATATTGCTTTATTTTTGAAGAACTAATGTAATAAAAACAAAAGAAGTTCCCAATTCTTATCTACATGAAAATTGCATGATGCATCGTTTGGCGGCATCCAATCAAACCGAATGCTGATAGAATCGTGTAAAATGTTGGATGAAAAATAAAACAAAGTATGTTAAATCTTTAAAATGCGAATTTGATTGTATGTTATTTGTATTGCGCTGCCCTATATGGCCATAAAAGCACCCACAGCGGTTGTTCTTTTTCGCTTACTCTCTTTCAGTCTCTCTTCACAGACGGAAAAATTGAAGACGAAAAAAAAAGATACACACGAAAAAGCTTGAAAGGCAGTAACAAAAACAATCAATAAATTGAAGAAAAGAGAGGAAGAAAGAACCAAAGACAAAAAGAGCTATTGAACGGTTGTGAAGTATGTGAAATGTTTACCCGTCAATGTGCAAACAAATCGTCCTATGTAAACAGACGCTTTTTTTGTATACAAGTGACGTTTATTTGTTATTCACTTATTAATTTTAAATCATTTAACACTTATATTTGTTCTACACACTTTAAAAATGAATTATTTGAATAATCGGTTTCTCTCTTTGTTTCCGAACGGCATTTGTTTTCGTTTTCATCATTTTCTGTATGTGTTTATTCGTTCTCCATGTCTCACGTTTAATTTTGCTTTTTTTCCAATTTATAATGCAGTCGGTTTTATGTTCTCTGTTATTTAAAAGCAAGGTGTACAATTTTTGGTATACCGTTCGATATATTTGTGTGTGTGTGTTCCATACACAATTGCTCATTCGCTTGCTTGTTCTCTCTCTCTATCTATCGCGCTGCATTTTGTTTTATCGGCTAAGCCGTGTTCGAAATAAAGTGTTTGCGGTTGTGCTTTTACGTGTACATTTCACAAATATTGACTGTTCTTATGCATCAAAGTTCCCAATCAATATATTGATTTTGTATGAGGATCAGACTCATAGTTCGATGTTGAAGACTATAATTTTCATTCGTTTTTTTTTCGTTGTTGTGTGGTTTCTTAAAAACAATTTTATGCATCCTTCATCACTTATTTCTAGATATAGTTTTCAATATGGATGGAATCTTTTTCGATAACTTATATTGAAACAAAACGAGAAAAAAAAAGTCTCATCAAATCATATCGGATGAGGTAAACATGCACGCACAAACGTAACACCAACCGATCAATGTTGGTGTCTGTCTCAAAAGAACTTCAAGTAGTTAACCTTTCTCCCTCTCGTTTCCATAATGTACACACCAAACAAGTACAGTCATATCAAACCATTCTCATTTGATTCGAGATCAAAACTGACGTGATGAGTTTTATGCTTTTACTTTTTGATGTATGCTTTCATCGTAGACATAGATGTTTTTTTGGCTTCCAAACTAAAATTCAAAATCAATGAATTCTACTGCGTTCACCTTTATTTTACAGCATGTCATTTTAAAATCATTTTATGACTAACTATACCACAGATACTTATTTTTGAATAAGTTTTTTCAAAAAAAAGATGCAA